CAGCCTTGAGTTCAGTCAAAAGTCTCGCAACATTTTTCCCTGTCTTTTTGTGGTACTGTCACTCATTTTCCAACGCCTGGACATGTTCTGCCAAATCAGTTTTGGCAGCAGAGAGGCACTAATTGGACAAACAGACCAGCTGCCTTTGAAGAAAAAAAAAGCAAAGAAAACAAGTAAAATTGAAGGAATTAGAAATGGGAGTTAAAGGGAATATACAACATTTGCAAACATCGAAAAATAAAACTACCAAGTTTTTGCGAAATACCTTAATAGGATGTTGGTAAATGACAGTCTAAAGCATCCTGTAAAATTATGGCACCTGGTATACTGTCATTTTCAAGAAAAGTGGTATTTTTGTATCAATTTCCAACGCTGATCGGCCGATCAGCGTTGGAAACAACTGGCTTTTTTTTCAAATACTGGCCCCAATTGACCATTGCACTTGTTTGCAATCGATTACAAACCTATGAACGGGTACGAGCCAGCTAGACTGGTTCCCTGACCTTACAATTCCCCAATGTATGTAAACTGCTCTGTTTCTTCTTATATGGAGTCAGGGAACCAGACTACAGGACAATGATCGTTTTTCTTGGTTTTTATAGCATTTTCGAACCAAAAACCTCCAAAAAGTCAGTGTAACTATATTTGCTTTATATTTCCAACCCCCCAATTCCATCCATTTCTGAAAATTACAGCAAAAGCAAATGATGTATATTCCCTTTAAAAAAGAATCATGGTCAGATGTGTAAAGAATTACAGTACTGTGTATACAAGTTTGACAGTTTTAAAATGTTGAAAAACTTTGAAACCATGAAGTTGTTACATATGTATACCACATATGTACATTGTATCAATTTTACAAATACATGTACATAGTAGTATCCTATAGCTCCATGGTAGTATGTTGAACCCTGTTGTGTTGCCTGTCAGAGTGCACATATACTGGTATGTAATAGTATCCTGAAACGGAGCACTAAACCTATCTGAAGGAGACTATTTTATGGCATCATTGGAATGTGAGAATGGTGTGTCATTTCAGTAACTACATGTTGCACATGCCCTTGTACACGCTACAAATTACAGTGTGAATGAAAGATTTATTCCCCTATCCTGTACCACTTTTTGATCCCTAGTAAATGAAGTCAGGAACACGCAAAATAAAAAAAAGTTGGCAAAATATACAACATGACATTTTATGACTTACTCTACAAATTGAAAAGAGCCCTGTGACCCTGTGTCCACTTAGACTTGATTCAAGTCTTAGTTTTGTGCTTCTTCTGTGGCCACCAAGGACATGAGTGAAGTTACAATGCCGTGATGCCCATCGGGTGGACTAAAACGGGGAAATGCAGTCTTGTGTCGAGTCTGGCATCCAATTAGAGATCATGCCTTGTTTGTGTAATTAATTTGGGTGCCCTGCTGATGTTGGCCAAACCCTCTCCTGATGACCCCCCACAACTGTGACCCCAGGGTCAGGACATTGTCTGTAGGAGGTGCTCAGTGGTCATTGGATACAGTGACCTTGTAGTGGGTCACAATTAGGCCTGTCCCTCCTACCCCAGCTGGCCATCAATTGAGTATCTTGATGTTTGCGAACTGAAAATTGTAAAACTTGATTTACGGTAGGGCTTTACCTCAACAGGCATTGGATTTTGTTCGAAATAGGTCACAATCCCTGAAAAGCATGTTCAAGCTGCTGCAGCGATCCAGGACATCATCAAGAAGATGAATCAAGTCAAATCTTAGGAACTGAATGGAATTTACTGAAGGCCAAATCCTGATAATGTACATTGCTGCTTTACCTGAAGTGGCTCAGGGCTCGCAAAATTGGCTGTCCTATGTCCTGGACAACCAAAGAATTTTGTACTTGGCTGCTGCGCTATTGCCATTTAGCAAGCGTGCGTGGCCGGCAGTGGCTGACCGTGGCTGCGTGCGTGTGTACGGTACCCACGCACCGCACCGCGTTGGTAATGGTGTACAGTGGTGCTGTCATAATATTAGAGGAAACTCGCATACATTGTGAACAGAGGATTGCATTCGCTGCCTACACACATAACGTACGCGGTAATATTTAGTTGCCAGTCGGGCTGGCAACCTGGAACTTTTTGTTGTGTGACAAAATATTTTGGTTGTCCTGGGACGTCAGGCAGCCGATTTCGCGAGCCCTGTCCGCACATGTGCGGAGTTTCTCGGGTTCTGGTGCCAAAGTTCCTCAAACTTGATTTGATTCATTTTTCTGGTAGCACCCTCTTCCACCACGGTGGCTTGACAGAACTGGTGAGGTTGATGTGTATGGTGGGAATTTTTTTATCTTGGTGCCAAAATTCCCAAGACTGAATTTTATGCATCGTGTTTGTAGCGCTCTCTGCCTCCATGGCAGCTTGATCGTGCTTGCCAGGGGTAGGACATGGCTGCATTTGGGGGAAGTATCCAAATCTAGCCTTGGAGGAGACTATCTTTAGGGCAGTCGGTGTGACTATAAGAGTCATTCCAAGTTGAGGATTTCACTTTTAGATTCAATCTGTGGTTTTAACAAGACAGTGTAACATTGTCTGTCTAGCCAGGAAGCTGATGTATTTGAACGTGGCTGACAGATCTGTGTATAACTCCCCCCAACGCATGTCTGAAAACCATGGCCTCAAGTTAAGGCCATCAGAATTTTCAATCCCTTGAAAGTGCAACCTTTGTCAAGTGATTTTTCTTTTCACTTTCTCATGATATTGAAAATTGGGGTGAAAGAAAGGGATTATGTACCAAACCACAGTTCTAGAAAATGTCAGAAAACTGCAGCAAAACCCAATGTGGTTATGTTTTAAAAGCGCCTTTTCCATTGCACAGTTGAATCAGATTGTACATTAAACCATGGAGGTAGGAAACTATAGCCAAGTCTGGACAATATCTGATGTCAGAATATTGTAGTTTGAGAGATTAATTTATCATGTTCTTTTAAGTTTTATGTCATCACAAGTGATTTTTATGTCATTTGGAATTCTTGCACTAAAAAAGGGGGGACACTCAAGGCTTGAGGAAAGGCTCTAGGGAAGGGGTCTCCACAGAAGTGTCCATTTGTTCTCCTATCCCCTTAAAAAAAAAATCACCCAACACCTTTCCAGACACAACGAGGCTGTCACACCATCACAGAGGTCCTTTCTACCTCGATTATAAATTGCTGTCGGGTCTGCTGCAGGCAGAGAACAAGTTGTTTCTCTGTGTTGCTCTGTTGAGAGGTTGTTTTAGGGTTGGGTGACAGGGCTGACATGGGTGATGAAATATCACAATGAACAGGCTGTGCCTGAACATTTTTTTCAGGGACTTTTGCTTGTCCTTGTCTTGTAATTGTTTCGGAGGCAAAGTGCAAAGGAAACTTTTGGCTTAGACCCCGTTCCCACTTGATCCACCAATTGGGGGATCTGATCCACCTTTTGCCAAATTGCCGGATCAGATCCCCCAATTGGTGGATCAGATCCGGCAATTGTGTGTAGTGGGAACGCTAACCGTTATAAGGTGGATCAGGATCAGATCCACCTTTTCTGATCCACCTCTGGACCAGGATACAGATCCCCCAATTGGTGGATCAGATCCGGCAATTGCCGGATCACGATCAGATGGGAACGCAAAAGGTGGATCTGATCCGGCAATTTGACCTGTTAACATCCGCCCGGTGCACGAGTGGCGCGAAAATGTTGCGGTCTCATGAACGAAGAAACACGTTTTCAGGCGTGTAGCTCATGTGAACATTTCCAGCGTATACAACATGCACAATAAACAACCGCTGAACTACGCGGGGATACGGGCTAGCACCGCGCATGCAAAAGCGCACGTGGTATCCTAAACTACACACTATATATAGGCCTTATTTTTGTTGCGTGTTCGTCCATTACTAAACCTTTTTCATTCCTGAAATTTTACTTATTTTTCCATCCATAAATGACTCTGAGTCCGCACTCACCAAAAGACTTCACTTTGGCACAGAATCATGGAAAAGCTTACGAGTATGCGATGAGAATAGTGCCGATAACGCGGTACGTACGGAGGTGACAAATCTGAAGTATTGATTATAGAAAATTGGAAATTGATGTCGTAGGACATCTTGTGACCGTTTCTAACCAATGAGAAGCTTCAGAACCAGGGAATCCCTTATCGATGCATTGGTTTCTGCCATGATGTCACACAATGAGCGGCTCTGTTGGATTTCACCTGTTAATTTATGCACGCACGGATCCTCTACGGATCCGTGATTTATGTTGGTGAATTCGCGTAATTTTTGTCGGTGAATTCTGATAGTGCTATTTGAAAACTGACCCATCCTGGCCTAGCATGCAACCATGCAACAATGGCACTCCCACAGAGCGCGCGTAATTCCGAACTCAGTGACCTTTCGGACCCAACATTTCCGTACGAAAAGGTGGATCAAGCATAAGTGGAAACGCGACTTGCGGTTTCGTTGCGGTAAGATAACGATCACACTAAAATGCTGGATCTTGATCCACCTTTTCCCAATTCAAGTGGGAACGCGGTGTTAGTGCTTGGTTCCTTGCTTGAGGCAAAGCTGGGGTATTAATCCCCTTCGGGACCTTGAAATCCCAACCCAAAAGGGTACAGTTCTTAAATGCTATCAGTGCATGTTGTGCCAAATAGTTTGGGTCTTTTTTAATAGTTTGGATCTTTTTTTTGGTTATTGTTTTAGGCTTTTGAGGTAAAATTAAGAAGGATTTCCCCTTTCCCCATCGAATAAATACTTTTCTAAGTTACTTTATCTTTAAACAAAAATATGGTGTTGTAACCTCGCAGATAATAATTTTTTTGCCATTTTGAAACTTGGGATGAAGTCAGCACGTTTCCTCTTGATAAAGAGTTTCACACATGTTTTCTCCAGTGATGCTAAAAAACATTACATTTTTAATATAGCGTGTCATTGATGTTTGCAAGGTTTGACTATGTTTGCGACTTTGCGTAGTTTATTTCCAATTCAAAAAATTTGCATTTCTTAAAAGTTTTCAATGAACATATCAGAAACTTGTATTTTAGTACTTAAATTTTCTCCTTTTCCCTCTACATTTCTGCAGAATAACACAGTATGGGAGCTAGACCCGTGCACGACGTGTTCTTGTCTAGGGGACCTGGTCATCTGCGAACCCAAACAGTGTCAAGATCCTAGGTGTGATTTTCAAAGGGTAAGTCTCGGAAAGTTTCCCAAAGCTTCCCAAAGAAATTCTGAGATATTTCATATTTCCCTTTTCGCAGATGTTTCCTCTAACTGTGGGTTCATACATGTACATGTATGTGTACTTCATGCTAACACACACACATACAAAAAGGAATTTAATTTCACGTCAACAGTTACTTCAAGTGTCTTCGGGGTCGTTCAGATGGAGGGCTATCTCTGAAGATAGCTCCGGAGCTAGCCAGTTGCACCCAAAATAGGTGTCGGTGGGATAACTCTGCCTCTGGAGTTACATGTATCTTCGGAGCAGGCCCCGAAAAATGTGTGGGGCTAGCTCAACTTTCTGCTTAGCTGAGGACCTAGCGTATAATTTAACTCTGCCTCTGGAGTTACATGTATCTCAGGAGCAGGCCCCAAAAAATGTGTGGGGCTAGCTCAACTTTCTGCTTAGCTGAGGACCTAGCGTAACTCACCTAGCTCCAGGCTGATGCATCTGGTCATTTGTCTGATTCACAGTGTCACCCATGAACATTACTTAACCTTTTTGGTGACCTTTTAGCTCCACTTTAACTCCAGCTCCGGAGTAAACCATCATTTATGGTATGAACATGAGCACATTTTAGATTTTGTCACTACCTCCACAGAACCCCTGTTGAGTTTATTAATTGGAAAAGATCTAGCTCAAAAGCTGCCTTCCATTTGAACATGCTGTTTGATTGCAAACATTTCCAGCAGCACTGCAGTTGTGCACTGCAGTTTGAATGCTCACTTCAATATCGGTGATTTTGTCTCCATACCTACATGTACCGGTACATGACAGATTGAATCACAAAACCCTCCCATCTCACTCAAGTCAAATCCTTCTTCCAGTATTTACTGACCGCGTGCTGGAAATTCTCTGCCACGCTGTGCCCAGTATGGCATCACATGGTTGCCGTAGTACAAATCATGAAGACGCCCCTCAGAGATAACAATATTGCCTTGTCAGCACTCCGTTCAAGAAAGACCTCGCAAGAAAGTAGGGCCACAAGAACCACCTAATCCAATTTTCACCGTCGCATTACGCTATGTAAATAGCCCGCTGGGACCACCTAGGCGCGCGCATATCTCCGCAGATGGGATCGCAGCATCTCCATTGGCCGCCAGCGAGATTACCATACCGACGGTAAATTGTAGCAATTGATTTCTAACCACCTAGAGATAATGTAATAATTGCTGGGATGGGCGACCGTGGTGGTTCTCCTTCCCTCTGGGAGGGTAATGGCAAGCAGTGGGGTAGGAGCCACAAATTTGGGAAGCGGCCAAGGCCAAGTTCATTTCAGGTTATTTCTTGGGTTGGATTGGAGATTTTTATTGGTGGTTCTACATTAGATACTCTCAGTTTTTTCTTTGCTTTGAAATTATGCATGGTCCAACTTTGGAAGCTGTGCATTGCAATGGTGTCTTGTGCCAAATGCAGTATGGTTGCAATTGTTATTCCTACAATCCTGGCCAAATCTCGCTGGGCCCCCAACTCCCCGGCCCCTGTTCAATGTTGTCTCTCATTGCGCGGTGTGTGCTCCATCAGCTGGAGAGAACAACATTGACCGGGGGAGCGGGGAGTGGGTGACCGTGGCAGGCTCAGGAAGTGTCCCAACCATTTTGGCTGGGATTGTAGTCTTAAGACTTTGCAGGAAGTCTGAAAACCTGAGAAGGGATTATATTAGCACATCAATTTCAAACATGACACTGTCACCAGACTACACTGCACAGTCGGTTGACAGGTCTTGTCTTTTGCCTGGTCTTCACACCAATGCATCTGTGCTAAAAATGGCTGCAAACTGCCCTCATGTGTCAGTAACTTTCACTGGTTTAGGCCCCAAAAAAATTGTTCTGCTTCCGATTACATGGCATTTGAAAATACGGTAGGTAGGTAGGGAATTTTTTTTTTTTTGCCAATTTTTTTTGTGTACGATCATATTGAGGTGTCTGCATGTAGTCAAGGGTAAAAGGTAAAAGTGATGGTTTTGGGTGTTTTTTCCTCCTTTTTCCAATAAAAAAATTAGGGTAGGGGCTGTCAGAATAGGGTAGGTAGGGAAACGGGAAGCAGAACTATTATTTTTTTTGGCCTTAGCACCAGAGGGTAGTATTGTGAAAAAGAGCCAATATATTGTTATTAAGTTTTTTTAACAAAATTTGTAAATTAATGATTCAAATGACAAAACGAAGGCCATTTTTTGGGGGTCGATGTCTCATTCAAAAGTGTACAACTTTTGCATTGCTAGAAAAATAGCAATTCAGAAAAGAAATTGATGTTTTTTTCAGTATGAAACTGAAAAAGAGCATGAAAATGCATCTTTAACCTCAAAGGAAATACTCTGCTTGGAGATTCCCATACCTTGGTGCAGAGTCACCGGTGTGTGCCAGTAAAACTCATCACCAGATGCCTGAATAAACATCTCCCTGCCCCAGTCGGATCCTGCTGTAATCCGTGGATGATCTTATTGTAAATAAAAAACGGGAAATCAAAACGGAAGGTTCAGGAGCCACCATCTGTCACCAGTTTTGTCTGATGGATTCCGATGATTCTCACGCAGCTGTAGTTAGGTTTGCAGAAGACTGCATTTCTCTCTCGTAGTTGCAATAAGAGAAGAAATAATACATTTTCTCCCGAATACAGCAGGACACACCAGTTAAAATTTTTATTTTCAGAACCCAAAGAGGAATAACTACTCATGGTGCCACAGCAGACCCTCCTGAAAATGTTTGTTGAGAAATGTCAACAGAAATGCGACAAGTGGCTATTTCCCCTAAGAATAGCATGGGAAGCCACCCATTGCTGTAGGTAGTAAGCCCAAATCTGTGTAACTACATAATTTCGGCACATGTTCAAAGTAGTCTTTCAGTAACTACCAGGGTGTAGAGGAGGAAGTTCTGGAGGGCGCTATTTATTGAAAAGTGAGTACTGGAGCACCGGCTTAAAATCATTCAGCTTAAAATCGCTGTATACCGAAGGATCGCTACTACGAACAATTTCTGTGGATCCTGCGGTGTTCTTTATAGGGGCATTCCACTGTAATGTTTGGTACCAAAAAGACAAATCTCCAAATTAAATGTGACACCTCCACATGTACACTAAATGCACTTAAAGATAACAAGTTAAAGACCGATTTATAGTGAATAGAATTTGTCCTCCGTCCAATCATTTTTCCAAGAGCCCACCTACCATCCAGATATGACCCCTGACCTGGCCTCCCTCTGGTCCAAGATGGTACTGCCCAGCTGATGACCTCTCTCTCTCTCTTTACTTTGGGGAACAACTGTTTCAAATCATTTTTGGTTCAGTTCTGATTGAAGTTGACCGGTCAGTAATTGTCCCCCAAGCGATGGGAAAGCCAGAAAAAAACTGATTTTTGGAGGCCCACATGATCTACCTTAAATTGCCTGGTTGAACAAAACATACTCTAAATTATCGGCCTTTGATGGAGAAATGGAAATTAAGCGAGATGATGTAACAAGGTTTTAAAGTTGTAAAGTCAGAAATGTAATTATTATAGAACATTTTCCAAACTTTTGCCAAATTATGACTTTACTATTTTGTACATAAATCTGCTCACAAATTTTGACTCAGTTACATGTATTTTGACTGTTTAGTTCATTCAGACTTCCAAATCCTTACTGCAGTTTTTTCAGCAGATTTGTCCCCCTCCCAACAAAAAAAAGACCCCAGAAATTGTAAATTACAACTATGTGTACATGTAGGACAGTGATGAGTTGAAACTTGACGCAAAATGTTCAGTTATTTAATATCACTGTTGAATCAAGTTCAGAAATTCATTCAAAAGTGTATTTTACTTTTTGTTTAACCTCATGACTAATGACATGTTTTGGGTTAACTAGCCAAATGGTTTGTGACTTTGTTCCCAACTAACTCATCCGTCTTGACACCTTCTTGACATCAAACTCCAACCCCCAACAAGTAGATATTAAAATGTGAGAAAGACACCCCTTACCCAGGCCATCTATCACCAAAATCCCTTTCCCCTCTGAAAAAAACCCCAAACCAATCAATCAAAACTTCTTGTCAAAATTCCCTTAGGGGTCCCATCCAATGGTCACCTCACAACCTCAATAAATTGGAAGGGCTTTAAAAAAAAACCTAGCAACAATCCACCTTCTTAGGGAATTACCTCACTGAAGACATATTTCACACTTTCCGAGGGTGCGAGGGTCATGTCCCTGCACAATCCCATACACGAGGGTCTCTGTACAGGCGCTAAGGTTTGTTGAAATTATTTTGTGGCCTGTCAAAAAAGTTGCAAGTGTCTTGGGTGTAATTTTCAGATGGGTGCATACCACCTGTTCTGGAGAAGTTATTGGACAAGTGATCAAGTTCCTTCTGTACTTTCATTCCATTCTACAGCGCTTGAAGGGATGTATTATTTTACAAAATATAATCTGTACAAAATACACAGGCATGCAACTTTTCCTCGGATCCGTTGATTTCCTCGTTTCTACTTCTCAGGGACTGCCATTACAAATTGAAAAACACTTTACAAATTCTTGTGTGGTTTGGAATTTCCTTATTTTTTCCTAAATTCCCAGTTGCATGCCTGAATATAGTCTGTAAAGTTTGTATTACATACAAGTAATGCAAACTTTTACATTGTAATGTCACCTTCCCTGTGTCAATTACAATGAACTTCAATGTGTATTGTAAAATTTCTAATCCCAAAAAGTGCAGATGGGGCTCATTTTAATTTTTTTGAAAAGTGTCTGTTAGTTATAAGTGTGTCTGTATTTGTTATTAACCATCCTAGTGGGAGTTCAGTCAGTATTCGGCGCAATGTGTAAAACCCTCTGAAACCCTGCAGGTCAGTTTGAAGTGAAGGGATATGTAGTGTTATAACTGTGTTACACAGAGAGTCACTGCACAAAAAACAGCACCGTGAAAAGCAGTGAAATGCTACGAAATCTGCCTGCTTGCCCTGAGCTTAACCACATAAAAGGGATGTGAAGTGTTATCCATCCTCCACAGACGATTACCTCAAAGGAATTTGAAGTGCGGATGCTAACTCTACGGGCAAAAGTGGTTTTGGAAAACTTGAAGGGTTGTGAAGTGCAGAAGACGAGGAGGATTACTTCTGTGCATGTATGTAAATAATTTACGTTTTATATTTCTTTCTTTTTGTGTGCAGGGGGAAAGACTAAGAATAGAACCCAACAGATGCTGTCCAGACTGTGCGCCTGGTACCGGCTCCTGTGAATACGAAGGAGAAATAGTAGGGGTGAGTTGATTGGCTGGCTGTACGTTTCTAACAAGCTAGTTGATTGGTTAGGCTTGAAAACTTGTAATTGATTTATTATGCACATGTGAAATGCAGCCATGGTGGAGAGAGTATAACAAAAGTATATTTTGCTTAATAATCAAATTTCAGTCTATACTTGAGATTTTTAAAATTGTAATCAAGAGAAACAAACCACTATTAAAGAAAAAAGTTGCTCCACTGGAAATCCAGTATCACCGGATTACCAGAAGTGGTTGCATAGCTCCATGTATTGAGTAACATCAAATTTCTAGCCATAAGAAAAAAATGAAGGGAACAAGTGCAGTTGGCCCAATCATGCTCCAGGGGTATGTACTGGTACATGAAGTTTGATTTTGGTGAGAAGGACTCGGATATACCAACTTGCGGAAATTGAGAAAAATTACTTTCATTAGTCTGTTAGCCACATCATGCCGCTGCATGTTATGGATTTCAAGATGGCCACCATCTCAAATGACTTTGTGTTCCACAAAAAATGTTGTTGTTTCATTACAAGCCCACATGCCCTAGGGGTGGACCAAATCTGTCAGCTCATGTTCATGCAGGTGTTTCGAAGAACAAAAATTCAATAAAATTTGTTTTTACAAACTGTTCAACTCTTCAAAAAACATACGTCGCATTGCCTGTTATTCATCTTTTGGAAGGCTGTGCTGCACTTTTTTAAATTTCTGGCACTGGTAGATGTACATTTATCCATCTGAGAAAACAAAGAGGGGGCCAAATTTGCAGCTGCTACTGTTACAGAAAAGGAGGGATATTTGTAGAATTCCCTAGGGGACTGGGCTGGTCTTTGGAAGGGGAAAGGGAGGGGGGGGGGGGGAGAATGCAGATGCTACCCCTGGGCTAAAATCTCTCAAGTCCGTTGAGCGTCCTGTTGAATGTGGTTTTATCAGGAAGTATTTACTTGTTCTGCTCACAAGGGTATCGTTTGCCTGCAGCTGTACAGTTGGCAAATTTACTCGAATTGAACAAAAGTAGCCCCTGTAATTTAGGAAAGCGGACAATAGTGGCACTGTTTGTTGGAAGGTAGTGTTATTTTTATGAAGGGATAGGGATGGTGTCAAATTTTCCTGAAATTTGATATAAATTGGTGCAGCGATAGAATTAATATTTTGACTTAGGTTTTGAATTATTTAATTTTTTTCGCATTAGTTTTGAAAAACTTGTTCCCAGAAGTATCATTTACAAATTTGGCCTGTAAAACTCGGGCAGATAAATGTCTTGGAATTTGGAGAAGGGATCTGTATAGGGATTCAGGATTTTTCATCCAGCTGAAATTTGTTGAAAATTGGCGAGGAACGTAGAAATGGTTCTTTGTGGTTCAAATAAATTCAATTTCACTTCATCATTTGGAAAAATATGCTCCCAGTCTTCCCAGAGATATCATTTTCAACTTTGATCCATTACCGGCGGAGAAAATGTCTTTAAGAATTTTGATAATCAATTATTGATTAAGGGATAGGGACTTCAGAACTTTAATCTTGTTAAATTTGTTTGAAATTCCCGGTAGCTTGGAAACAGAATTAACAATTTTTCAATGGATTCAAATAAGTTAATTTGAACTCATCACTTTGAACAAACAAATTGTTAGAGACATCATTTTCAACATTGATCTGTAAAAGAGGCAAAGTACATTTGGATATATCTTAGAAATTTGTATTGATATTTTGTGGTGTTTTTTTTTTATTATTTAGAGAAGTCCAAATCCTGAATATGAATGAAAACTTTTGACTGAAGAACTAAAAAAACCCCAAAATACATGCATAATGCTTTCCTTAATTATTACAGCAGACTGGGTTGCTTATTAAGTGTTCAGTTTCATCCATGATAGGGTTACATGCATACCTTGTGAATTCCCCCCTTCAAATTCAAGCTTTATCAAGGGATCAATGAGGCAAGGATTACATGTAGCATTATTCCAAGGATCTGTAGGAATGTGGACACAATGGAGGATCTCTCTCCAAGGTGGATTACATGAAAACAAATCAATAAATGTCTGGTAGGCGCAGTGTTTAACATGAGCATCAAGCAGTGGTCTTCAATAGAGTGTTTGTACATGTATGCTGCTAAACAGGGCCAGAATCGATTGAATTGGATCTGGGAAGTTTGGCATGGTGAAGATTATGAAAGAGATTAAGTTGCTGTGGATGGTTTCTCTGAGGACAATGCCCTGAGCCATGACTCATGTTCATTCGTTTGGATGGGAAGGTGGCTTGGAAATTACAAAAGGGAGTAATAATGTTAGTACAACTACAAGCAGATTACAGATGAATGAAGTTTAAGCATGGAGGTATATGAAACTGCATGGTCAAAGGGTCTAGTGACATGCAAGACAGAAGTCAGTTTCATTTTCCATTAGCACATGTACAATGTGGAGTACATGTACATAAATGCCAACATTTTTAAAATTTAAATATATTATAAGATACAAATTGAGCTATTTTATTTGCTCAGCTCGCAATGTAATCATAAGCCTGTGTATCAACTGAGTGTGGCTTAAAGTTTATTCTTAATAATTAATAACTTAGAAGAAATAAAGAACAAAAAAATTATCAGAAACTGCTAAATATTTTTTATCGCAAAACCAAAGTGTGATCAGCTTAAATTTGAGCTTGTTAAATAAATAATACAGTTTGCAATTAAGTTTTACTTAAAGTATACAATTACAAATTATGAATTGGCGCTGCATCATTATGAGGCTGCAAACTTGTCAGATTTTCTGCTTCAATTTAACCAGCTGTTTCTCAGACAGCGATAATTACAAAAATGGAAATTCCCAAGTGACCAAAAGAATTAGCTTGAGTGAACTTGCTCCAACATCCCCTCCAAAAACCTCCAAAGATCTCCAAGATAGACAGGATTTCTTTGTGACTAATAGGATGTGGGGATAATCAGCGGGTTTCCCCTAAGAGTTTGGGAAGTCGGCTGGTCATGCCAAGGGAGGGTGGAAAATAGCATGCAAGTGACGAAAGATGATGTTCACAAAATGACACGAAGGGTCCACAAACGCTGTATAGTTGGACACATTTGGGTAATTCCTTGGAACTATTGCCTAGAATTCTGCATTTAGATGGTGTAACAGATTAGCTCAATTTGTCGACTGAAACTCATTCAAATTGTTAATGTTTTGTCGACTGTAAACTTGAAGAAAAACGGACTCTCCATGGCAAACTCTTGGTGGCGCACTCCATTGTGAATCACCCGAATTGACAGTCAGTCAGTTAGTCAGTCAATAAGCAAGTCAGGTAGAAAGAGAACACTACCGGTAGGCTGCCCTCTATGATTAGCCAAATTTGAAAGCAGCAAAATGCCTACAGGTACACAGATAGAAATGTACAAGTACAAAAATGTACAAGTACAAAAATGGCAGAGATGTGAAGAAAGGACAGAAGCCACGCTACAATAACAGAAATGACGGATGTAGAATCTCACATTTGTGACTGTCCTATAAAGCCTACTGCTAACTCAATTATACTTAACAAGTGAAACGAGTTGAATGTTCCTTGGAGTCAATTGATATGGATTATTTTTTTTCTGAAAAGGGCTGAGCCCACACAAAGTAAGTTCAATTTTTTTCAATAACCTGCCTTCATGCACAATTGCGTTTCTATAAATGAATCTGAATTTGTTTTCAATCGGGATTACAAAAAAAATGCACCTTTCCACACTAAATGCATAAGGTTGTTCTTATCGCCTTCAGGAAGTGATACCATGCATCATGTCAATGCATTACGTTTGTAACATTTTATTACATTTAATGCACTTGTTGAGCTACGGTCTACCGAGAACCGAGTACTACCGAGTAGGTTAACGAGTACGAGTGCGAGTACTTGTATTTCTGAGTACAATACAGGTCTCCAAGTACGAGTACTTGTACTTCCGAGTACGAGTACGAGTATTTTTTATAAGTTGTATTCCGACTAGGGGAGTGTGTGGCCTAGTGGTTAGGGTTCGTGACTCATGATCAGAGGGTCCGGGGTTCGAATCCAGCCGCTGGTCATTTATTGTGTCCTTGGGCAAGGCACTTCACCCCCACTTGCCCCTCTCCACCCAGGAGTATAAATGGGTACCGGCATTAGCTGGGGAGTAACCTGCGATGGACTAGCATCCCATCCAGGGGGAGTAGAAATATTCTCGGTCGTTTCATGCTACTGAAACCGGAGATAAACGCCGGCCTGATGAGCCACATGGGCTCGGGACAGACTTTACTTTTTACTTATTCCGAATAGGAGTACGAGTACTTCTATTTCTGAATACGTCCATACGGCAAATAGTTCATTGCGTGTAATAGTCAAAGCATAGGCCTACATGTATCGGGTAGCTGTATTACTATTAGTTTTCATAACAATCACAGCCGGTCAATCCTGCTTTATGAAGGCAGGGAGCACTCACTGTTACAAACAGTTACCGGTATTTGATTTATTTTGACTGCCGGGCTGGCCTTGTTGAAATTGCCAGCCAGAGAGGGAGGGTTAATAATAGTGATGCGATCCTTCTCAGAGAGCAACATTTATGTCCACGTAACATTCAAAACATTATGTACAAGTACATGTACTAGTGTCTATTTTAAGGCGGCTGTTAAAACTGTGGTTAACCATAGTTCCTAGTCTAATAACTTGCCCAGTGTGTTAGGTGGCCTTGCAAAATACACCCTGAGCTATTTATGCTCTGAACTCCCTCCTATCCCAAAAAAATGGAAGGAAGAAAAACTACAAGGGGAAGAAGATCAAGTAGGTTTAGCATGCAAGGACTCACGGTTGGGCCAGGTAATTGTGGGAAGGATGTTTTTAATTCGGTCAGATTAAGACCGAATGTGAAGAGGATGCATCAGTGACAAGTGACATTCAGGGCAGGTTCAGCCTGCCAGTAGATTGGACGTGCATGTTTTGATGTACGTCGTGTGTAAAGTACCTTTTACACAGAATTTTTTTTAAAATCCATAAAACGACATTGCTTCAAACTGAAGTGACTTGAAATATATAGATCGCAAGTCAGAAGGCCTCGCATTTCGATGGTACATGTAGGTGGATCTTTCTCCAAGATTAAGAAATAGTTTCCTATGTGAAGGATGGAATGTTTAGGCCCTTCATCTTTTGTTGTGAATCATAGTTTTTCTTTTTCTTCGGCCAGTGTTGTTGTTTATTTTGAAAAAGACAAATCAGAGATACATGTACATGTACAACTACAAACATGTACATGTACTTAAAAAAAAGTGTGCACATTTCTAGTGATCTGGGTATTCCGTGCAACGGTAAGAAGTTCATATTACCATGGCAATCTATTCTTGAGCCATTTTCCTCAATTTCTTCTCTTTTTTTCGCTTTCTGTTCCCGTCACAGCATAATTCTCAATGGAGCATCTCACCCTGCCGTTCCTGCTACTGTAATAATGGCGTAGTCCAGTGCAGGAACCAATCCTGCGGGATAACGCAATGCACGCCGGATGAGGTCCTACACCAAGTGCAGGATGAGTGCTGCCCAAGATGCATCAGACCTGGCAGTAAGTAACCCCCTCCCCCACCCCACCCTTCCCAACCCCCACCTCCTCCCCAACCCCGGCACTTACCCCAACCGGCCACAACCATTTGGGAGAGTACAACTACAAGGACCAGTGAATCGCAGGTCCAAACTCGTACATTCATAACAACAAGTGCTCTGTCCACGATGCATCAGATGTGATCATTAGTAAACCCATCCCAACCTCCCCCAACTCTGGCCCCGCCCACCGTGCCCTTGGAAGAGGCTGCTCTAAAACGATAATCTGTGCATCTCAGCATCAACTCAAACATCCTTCAGAAATTTGGCTTAATCTACGAATTACACAGCATCAAACTCACTAGAAAGTCAATCACGTATTGAAGGTTAAGTTTGTAAATTTCAAGATCATTTTTGAATAATTGTGTGGTTTAACTACGAGAGTACCACAACAATGGGTTTTAGAAATAATGATCAGGAACACATATTTTTCAAAACAGAATCTTTAACAATTCTTTTCAAAAAAAAATCCTTTAAAAAATTCAAACAGATATTCTCATGTGATACCTTTAGTTCCCATAACGTTGGTTTCTGTTCTTTGATTTAACATCTATAAGATGCTATTTGATTAAAGGTTTTGAAAACTATTTTTCTCTGGTATGTTATTTAATATGTGATGTTGAGTCCACTCCCTATGTGTTATTTATGTGTTTCTTTCATCTTTCTAGGGCCATGTACATATAGGGGTGTGCCATATAGGGACGGGGCAGAATGGTCGCCAGTCAAATGCACCAAGTGCAGATGTGACAACGGCAAGTCACGCTGTTTTGTGGCCGACTGCCCACCATTATTTTGCAGTCAAGTAAGTAAAATATCTGGAAAAGGTCACTTTTCTCACTTCATCTTTTTTTAAAAACTTATCATTGACAGGCATGCAACTTTTCCTCGGATCAGCTGATTTCCTCTTTTTTACTTCCCATGTGTGCCATTGAAAATAGAAAAACACTGCACAAAGTCTGGGAAAAATTTGAATTTCCTCTTTTTTGTGTGTAATTTCCCAGTTGCCCAACATTTTTTGGCTTCTAACTCATTTCTAAAATTCCTGGGGAATTTTGTGGAGTTAACCTGCTGAATCCAACCGTATCTTACATAACTATTGGGTGCTGTGGTCCAGTGGTTACGGTGTTCGACTCGTGTACCGTAGTACATGGGTTTGAATCCTGACCGTGGGAACATGTGCTTGTGTTCTTGAGCAAGGCACTTTACCATTATTGCTTCGTCCTTCGGATTGGACGTAAAGCCGTAGGTCCCGTGTGTTGTGTAGTGCATGTTTAGTAGTTAAATTTAGCACTGTTAAGAAAAAGTAGCAAGGCATCAAACAGAAACTCAAGCATTTGTTACAGACATCTTAAACTGATCATCAGCCAAACTTGTGTTTCATTCGTTGTTGTTGCCTATCTTGCAATATTTTACTTTCCCAGTTCAGATCGTTTTCCTAGTTTGTTGTTCCCAGGATCAGACTTGTCACTGTGGAGCACGCAAGTTAATCGTTGCATTTGGAACCCTGTAACCTGTAACTCTCGCTGACAAGCTTCAATTTTCATTTTTCCCTCTCCCCCATCACAGAATGAGGAAGCAGTAACGCAGCCGGGCAAGTGCTGTCCCATGTGCGTAGGACGATCCTGTGAATTAGACGGCTTAATTTATAAAGTAAGTCATAAATCACACACTATCAGTTTGTGATAACATCTGTAGTCTTCCTGTATATGGGTATAATCGCTGATAGGTTTTGCCAATCCCAATCCAAGCCTTAGAATGGGTGGGAAGTTGGCAAGACTATATGTACTTATAGAGTAAGAAGCCTTTAAATATGAGATGTACAATAGACGGTGATAGCGTTCGGTGATAGCGTTCGGTCAAAGTTTTCGCTCCCATGATATGTTACTTTTTACATTTTTAAACGGTGATTTAGAACAAATTTAGTTTTGAGATGTGAGGAACCCTTTTTAAAAGTTATTAATTTTTTTAATAATCAAAACAATTTAAGTGGCCATGTTTTAATAGAGAGTCATGCCAAGCTCGTTTAATGTAAAATGCTTCTGAAATCTTTCTTACCAACTCACAGTTTATATTCAAGTTGTCACGCAAAGGGTTTGGCTTACAGCCACATATTTTTTTTCACTGTTGAGAAATTTAGTACTGATAATCAGTGTAACATTTTTGTTTTAAACTTTTTGCAGGATGGGTCGCAATGGCAAGCAGACCCTTGTACATACTGTAAATGCTACGCCGGCAGCATAGAGTGCAAGCAACAGCGTTGTGCACAAGACTTCACATGTAGGCAGGTATGTACATTGTATATCTCACCAAAAAAAATCCAAAACCCAAGATGCTGGATAGCTCAGTTGGTAGAGGACCGGAATGGTAATCCAGAGGTCACAGGCTCAAACCCCGCTCCAGTCAATTTCTTTGTTCAACTTTGAAAAGAGGGGAAAGAAAAATTATAATCAAACGTTTCCTTGTGTTGCTTGCAGGGAGATACAAAAGTCACCAAAGAGGGCCAGTGTTGTCCAGAGTGCGTTTCAAACGATGGTAAGTCATGATTAAACATACAAGTTGAAAATGTATCAATAGAAAACAAAATTGAATTTGTTGTAGAGCCCAGGAAATGCAACTTGAAGAGCATAGCCACTGATACTGACAGGACGGACAAACACTCTTGCATGTCTTTTCACCTTTTGTCTCTCTCTTTCTCTCTCTTGTTTGTGTGTTTGCTTTTTTTTACGTCATGCAGCCCCTTGCGAAGATACTGGTACCCTGCGGTACAGCGGCGACGTGTGGAACGTCTCGGCCTGCGAGTTCTGTATATGTCATCAGGGCAGGATAGAGTGTCACATGGCCGAGTGTGATAGACTGCGCTGCGAAGTGGTAAGACTTAAAAAGACCAATGTCGTGAATCTGTTAAGCAGAAAATAATCGCTTAGCAAAATTATGTGCTCAGCAAAAATCGGCTGAGAACCAGTCAAGAGCCATATCTGTTACTTACATTTTTGGCTGGTAACCAAGTTTTGCTAAGCAGATTTTTTTTGTGCTTAGCAAAGTTTTGTACTTAGCAGGCCCACGATTTTGGCACCTGGACTGAAATTTCAGTTAATCACATTTGATGGGTTACAAAACATTACATAAACGGGGTTCAATTTCGAGGCAACCGGATTCAGAAAATGTACAGTGAAAACTATTATTCTTAAATTATTATCACTATTTCTGGTAATGAAACGGAGGATTCCTCAAAATTGCCTCAGGCACTGTAGCTCGCAAGCCTGAAGAAACCTGTAGAGAAGACTGAGAAGAAATTACAGTTTTAGTGGTGGGAGGAAAAGCCCAGAAGAATATTCTGGGGGAAACCCATGGAATCAGGTAGGAACTGAAAACCCAATCCACATATTGGCCCAGGCAGGATTCGAACCTGGGTCACAGCGGTGGAAGGCGAGGAAAATACCGCTGCGCTAACCTGACTCCCCTTTGATGTGCATGGAAATGTCCAGGTAGACTGTTATTGAACTGTCGCTGATAAATTGATTTACTGCTTCCCGTGCTTGACACTTATGATGTTAATGAAATGAGCAATAGTTCCTGTGGCAATAAATCATAATTATGCCTGAGAGCATCATTGATATTAGGCCCAGACTTGGCGCTCAGAAACAGATATGCCCAATCTTGATACAGATATTATTTAATGTTCTAGTCTCAGTTTAACTCATTAAGACCTGTACTACACTGTACTTCATTTTGTTAAAGTTACCGATGAATCAATAACACAAAGAGTGGTCCAGCGGTTTCGGGCGTTACAGGGAGTAACAGGCAGGGCGGTTTGGGGCAGTACAGGGAGTAACAGGCAGGGTGGTTTGGGGCAGTACAGGGAGTAACAGGCAGGGCAGTTTGGGATGGTACAGGGAGTAAGGTGGTAGAGGGAGTAACAGGCAGGGTGGTTTGGGGTGGTACAGGAAGTAACAGGCAGGGCAGTTTGGGGCAGTACAGGGAGTAACAGGCAGGGCAGTTTGGGATGGTACAGGCAGGGCAGTTTGGGGTGGCACAGTTACCGATGGGTTTAAGGATAGTTTGTTGTCTGTTTCAACTTGAATGCAATCTCCAGTAATGTTGTAAGAGACAATTGCATATTAAAATTGAAGTTTTCCTTTTTTCCCCCTTCGCTTTGTGTGGTTTTCAGGGCGAGTCTCTTGTACATAGAGAAGGCAGATGTTGTCCGGAGTGTTCGTCTCCCGTTGGCTACTGCGTCCACGACCGAATAACTTATACAGTGAGTTCTTCGTTACAAGTTCCGGGTTCCATTTTGAGTTCCCTTTTGTTTCTAGTTCTAATATAAATTTTTACTCTAGTTGAAGTTAAATTGTCATTCAGCAATTGAGTTCATTTCTTTGTTTTTGACTTCATACTCAGTTCAGAACCAGGTATATTTTTTTTAAAGTTTTGGTCATAAATACAGTTTAATTGAGATAATATGCTTTCTGTCTGTGTATTATCTCTTTTTCTTTGGTTGATTTTTTTTCTTTTTCATTGTTTTTGACGCTTTTAAAAATGGAACTATTGTTTGAAATTTAATTTAGAAATGTTAAAGCCCTTTTTCTTTCAATTACTAAACCAGTGTGCTATTTTAAATGTGTCAACTAATGGAAATTTTATTCTAAATCAATAATCCTTTTTAAAAATCTACAGGCATAAATTAGATATTTGCATTTGCCATCATTAATATGCTAATGAAGCCCGTCTTTCCTCCAATCAGAATGGAGATACATGGGAGCCAGACAACTGCCGGACCTGTGTGTGCGAGGCTGGGAGGAGCAACTGTTTCAAAGTGGATTGTCCCCCTTGTCCGGGTGACCGGGTGCCGGTCGAGGTGGAAGGGCAGTGCTGTCCGGACTGCGTACTAGGTAGGACATAATCATCTATAACATCATCCAGCAGTTTGTGTATTGGAATCATCAACTTCTACATTAAATAGAAATAAAGTCCAGTGAAGCAAAAAAAAAAAAAAAAAAAAAAAAAAAAACACACCATATTTTTGGGGCTCTAAACTTGTGGCAACAGGCAGTCATTTTCTAACATTGATGATGTCACAATATCTTGGTTTACATGTTATGAATATTTAGTTTCTTTGAAATATTGACAGTTCCATTGACACATATGCAACATTTCTTGAGAGAATAGCTTCAGAATAAAAAAATCTTCAAGCTCTGAAAATGGGTAAAAATGTGGAAAGTTTCTAAACAGCGGAACACTTTGTGACATTTAGTTCTTATAGTACCAGATATTAAGAAAAATGGAATGCTCAGTTTTCTTTGAATAACTAATTACTAATAGGTGACAAAAATAAAGTAAAGTGTTTTTTTTTTCACCTTTGGAGTTGGTTCTTAATCCAGGGGGAAATCAGTCAGTTAATTTGGCGGATTATAGTAGAAGGTTGCAAAGATGCAAACCTATCCTCTCCCCCTGTGTGCATGTCCGTTTTGTAGGGTTTAAAGGATTCCAAACCAATTTGGCTAGGATGCCGGTCTATCTCTTGTTACCAAGGGGCTTTTGCTGTTACCAAACAGTTTCCCTTAGATGGAGACAAGGTGTCTCATTGGAGTACGGAGGATTTAGTTGAGGACTTTACTCTAGCATTGGTGTTAAAAGGTCGAGAATGCTGTCTGCAATAGCAGGTTTCATGTAGCTCTTCGGATTTTTCAAATTTCAGCGTTTACTATAAATTTCAGTGTTTACTATAGTGACGATTCAAACTTTGTACTGGTCTCTGTTAAAATGGGATAATTTTCCCCCTCCATCTATATCAATGTATTTTCCATACCTTATGAACAAATCTTTCCTCTGTGTAAACTATTTTTGGATTGCCCTGAATTTGAAGTTAAAGGGAATATACATCATTTGCTTTTGCTGTAATTTTCAGAAATGGATGGAATTGGGGGGTTGGAAATATATAGCAAATATAGTTACACTGACTTTTTTGAGGTTTTGGGTTCGAAAATGCTATAAAAACCAAGAAAAACGATCATTTTCCTGTAGTCTGGTTCCCTGACTCCATATAAGAAGAAACAGAGCAGTTTACATACATTGGGGAATTGTAAGGTCAGGGAACCAGTCTAGCTGGCTCGTACCCGTTCATAGGTTTGTAATCGATTGCAAACAAGTGCGATGGTCAATTGGGGCCAGTATTTGAAAAAAAGCCAGTTGTTTCCAACGCTGATCGGCCGATCAGCGTTGGAAATTGATACAAAAATACCACTTTTCTTGAAAATGACAGTATACCAGGTGCCATGATTTTACAGGATGCTTTACACTGTCATTCACTAACAGTCCAGCAAGGTATTTTAAAATGATTTGGTAGTTTTATTTTTTGATGTTTGCAAATGTTGTATTTTCCCTTTAACCACATCACAGTTGGACTCTAAATGTTATATTTTAGAATTTTATATTTATTTCACGTGTACATCTTAGTTTTTTTTTCTTCCAGGTTTTGTTTGTTTTGTTTGGGGGGGGGGGGGGACCCAGGAGGTGTAGCTTCACTGTTGAAAATAATCAGTGGAGATTGTTGAACATACCTTGAAGACAATTTTGCAGTTTGAGGAAATTGAGTAATATTATGAAAAACTGAAGAATGATTGAATTATTTCACAGTTTAGGTCAATGGTACGGGTTCACATCCCAATATATTTAGTTTTCAGTTCCTTCATTTATGTCTAATGCTTTAGTATTCTCTTCACTGGTACCCTTATCTTCACTGATACCCTTATCTTCACTGGTACCCTTATCTTCACTGGTTTTCACGGGGGTTCCAAGCTACGTTGGCAAAACCATGCCTTGCGGGTTTTGTATATTAGAGGCAAATTCACATTGTATGTACTGAATGGTTGTAGTTAACATTTCATCTTTGTGCGATCATTGCTTTTCAGTTCAATGTCGTCCTGACTGTCTAACCTGCAATGCCAACGGCTGCACCGCCTGCAGGAACCAGAGACTAGTCCAAGATGGCCGCTGTGTAGATTCCTGCGATATCGGCTTCTACAAAGCCTCGCAAACATTATGCCAAGGTGAGGAACAAGAGTTGTAGAAGACGGTGCTTAGCAAATCTATGAGCTAAGCGAAAAATCTGCGGAGGACCAATGACAATCCATGTACCTCTGGATCGAAATTAGTAAGAGGTTGAAATTAGTAAGAGGTTGAAATTAGTAAGAGGTTGAAATTAGTAAGAGGTTGAAATTAGTAAGAGGTTGAAATTAGTAAGAGGTTGAAATTAGTAAGAGGTTGAAATTAGTAAGAGGTTGAAATTAGTAAGAGGTTGAAATTAGTAAGAGGTTGAAATTAGTAAGAGGTTGAAATTAGTAAGAGCTGTACCTCTGGTTCTTTTCAGAACCATTCTCTTAGTTGAGAAACTATTCCCACATGGTGTTTCCGCAAACCTTTCATTATTTAGCATCTCCACCATGCAAAGCCTCAAATCTTCCTTGACAATCCATGTGTATTGCATGACATTTTGACTGGTAACCTGTTTTCTGCGTATCAAATGATTTCTGTGCCTTGCAAACTTCGATACTCGGCCGATCTATGATGCTTAGTTTATACATAAGCTTAATTATTTGTTGTTTTTCTCCACAGCTTGCCACGAAACCTGTCTGTCTTGTACCGCCGGCACTGAGTTCCACTGTCTGACCTGCACCGATTCCCTACTACTGAAATGGAGCCAGTGCGTTCCTGACTGTGGCAGTGGGTTCTTTGAAATGGAAGGAATCTGCTTAGGTACGATGCCGTGTCTGTTGTTTCTTGGAGATAACACCGCAAAGAGTGATGAAGTTGCTTACTCTTTAAGGGTTCCTCAGGACTACCCTGCTAAATCCAACAGAGTCCAAAAGTGACTTCCTGCTCAGTCCAACAGAACCCAACTGTGCCTAATGTTTAGTTGTCTGCTGGATCCAACAGAGTCCAACTTGGCATTATTTATCAGTACCCAACAGAATCCGACTCTGAATATGTACATGTACATACTGCTCAATCCAACAGGTTCCAACGGGTTTATGATATAGTTGGATCCTTTTGGATTCGGCAGGGTTAGGGTTAATAAGACTTGTTGGTTTCCGATGTGATAAGAAGATTGCAAATTATACTCCAGACTATTGTTAAAAAAAATATGATTCTTGTATGGGTCATTCTATAAATCTGGGGTTCACTTTTTTCCCTGTCCTTGTTATCTGACATCAATAAATTTTGGATACACTTCTTAATGTATTCTTCCTCCAAGGGTGATTATGTGAAGCAACCATTACAAAAATACCCAATAATTTCAAAATTAGTTTTAAGTCATTTTTAATGACACTTGAATGGCAAATTACATAGTTCAGAGGTTACATGGACAAGAACATGTCACACTTTGGACCCTTAATTTGTAGAATAGCTCATATGCTGTGGTGCAGAAAAAAAATTGCCGGGTTTAATCAATTTTAACCAAAGGCACAAATGACCAGGCAGTACTTGTTCATTCCTTCTTTATTTTTCCACTTCACATGTGAAACACGAAGACAGGTTTTTGTAGGCTACAGTCATGCAACTTTTCCTCGGATCCGCTGATTTCCTCATTTTTTACTTCTCATGAATGCCATTACAAATTGAAAAATACTGTACAAAGTCTTGTGTGGTTTGGAGTTTCCTCGTTTTTCCTAAATTCCCAGTTGCATGCCTGAGGCTAGAAATGGAGTTGGGGCTTGTAGTGTGCTTTGTGTGGGAAAAATTTACAAGAAAAATTTTGCGATAATAAATTTTGGTCTTCTCTTTGCACGACACAGAATGCCACGAGAGCTGCCAGGAATGCACAGGACCCAGGAAATCGGACTGCTTGGTGTGCTCCAACTCCACCCACGTCATCAGGAGAAACAGCTGCGTGCCTGAGTGTGGCCAAGATTACTACCTGCAAGACAACTACTGCTATCGTGAGTAGCCAGAAAGAAAAACTTGTTTGTGGTTGTGGTCTTTTCCCAATTTAGAATTTCAATCCTTTTCTTTTCTTTTTCTTCGCATGAAAGCTGGTGGCGTTGCATTCAACTTTTCCAAATAGTTTCCAATTTTTACCAATTTGTGAATATTTTTTTCTGTTAAAATTGAAAAGTAGCTTGATGAGCCAACAGTTTTAGAATTATTACTGCATAGTGATTGATTTTGGACAATAAAGCAGTAAATGATGGAAGGGTCATTTTATATATATGATGTCCACATTTTTTTTCTGTCCCTGTTACATTTGGCATCTGTGATTGTATAATTCTGATGCACACCTTAATGCAGTCGTCCTCCAAGAGTGATTATGAATAGCAAAACTACCCAACAAATAAAACATCTATTTGAAGTCATTCTTAATGATACTTGAATGGCAAATTACAAAGTACCAAGGTAACAAGGACAGGAAAAATGTCACACTTTGGACCTCAAATTTATAGAAGGACCCACAAGGGAGATAAGAGTCGTAAGAAATGGCATTACATTCCCTTTACTATCGAAAACTTACTTGGAAAGTTTGCATATCCTGCCTACAGAAATTCAACAAGTAACATGTCTCCACTTTGCCAACTCAATCATTCCATTAAAAGAAAAAAAGGAGAAAATGAATTTTTTGAGTGATTCAGAGATTGACGAGACAAGAAAAACTCCACCCTTTACAATTGAAACGCGAGTCCGCAGTGACTTTACATGTGCATATGACACATGCCTTGCTATAAATAGTGGACAACAGTTTCATATGTGGATCGTTCAAGGGTTACCAGAGGCATGTTGTGTCTGAGACATCTGGTGTTTTTGTGTAGAGGCCACCTGTCTATTGTGACTAGCGTGACGTGGCTAACAATGGCTGTTTGAAGGAATAGTCGCTCGTGGGAACACTGACTTGTGTAGCCACCTGGGCCCTTTCATGCTTAGCAGAATCTTTTGTTCTAAGCAAAAATCTGCCGGGAACCTGTCATATGCAATGTGCATTGCATTGCATTTTGGCCGGTAACCTGTTTTTTTGCTAACAATGCCTGTTTAAAGGAAAAGTTGCTTATGTAGGAACACTGACTTGTGCAGCAACCTGGGCCCTTTCTTGCTTGGCAGAAGTTAGCTGGGAACCAGAAACATGCAATGTGCATTGGCAGGTAACCTGTTTTTGCTAAGCAAAAATGTTCTATCTTAGCAGATTTATGTGATGAGCATCTCCATGAAATTGAGCCCTGGCTACCAGCTTCAGGAAGCTGCTTATCACAGTGATTTGTTAAGTGTGGACAAATGTTTGCTTACCAAAACATGTTTACCAGCTAAACTGCAATGTAATGTCTATTGTTTTGATTGGTACTCTGCAAATGTTGGCTGAGCATATATATTTGCTTAGTAGTAATACCGGTATCTGGTAGACAGATCTGAGAAACTTGCAGGGCATCCCCAGAGCATCTACAAAAAGAAGTTAGGGCAAATAGGTTGATGTTCTCGAATGTCATACTCATAGACTTCAGATTTAATAGCCTTAATTGAACAGAATGTAAAACATTGCACGATGACCTTTGAGCAGATACATCTATATTGGCTTTTATGCAGACGCCATTTTGAGCTGGAATGTTGGCCCATTGTCATAAAATGTCAAGTCTTTCACAAAAAATTTTACCTCGCAGTTACTCTAAAGTCCCTAGAAAAAAAACAGGGCCTGCCCTGAGCTGAACAAGATAAGGATGCATCGCGCTCGTAAAAACAACTTTGACTACAGGGACGTGTGATAGTTACTGTCCTTTCAAAGAGGGCGTCATTCCCATGGGATGCCCCCAGGTTCATGTTTGACCAGCACACACACCCTCACAGGAAACCCCTCTCTTGCGAAGAGTGCCCCTGAGTCACCGGCACAGTTCCGTCCAGATCTCTATCAGCAGGGCAAGGGGACTTTTCCTTGGACTCGTCATCATCGATTAAGAGATTACAAGTTTACAGACAACTTATCCCATCAGAAGAGTTGAAAAGTAGAGACTGGGGTTGAGTAACAGGCATTGAAATATATTATGTGTTGGTTGGGGGGGGGGACTTTTACAAAAATTGTTGTCCTACCAGTACTGAGTGCTATTTATTTTTGATCAAATAAAGGGCATTTTGCAAAAATGTGACAACAGTAAATGTTCATGTATTTTTGGCCAAATTCGTGAGCAGAACTATCTCTTGTTATGTTTATTTTGAGAGGAAAGGAAAATCAACAAAATGTTTAATTTAACCCCTCTTATACTTAATTTTTTTTTTTTCATTTAAAAACATTGAAATCGTGCATTGCATTTTAACGCACCATAGATAACGCTCCCCCAAAAAATGCAGTTTACACCGGAAAGCTATCAAGCCCTTCAGACAACTTCCAGGATTTGAATTTTTGGGTTGGGTTTTCTTTTACGGATACCCGGGTACCCGTGTTTTACTTCAATAGGGTACCCGGTTCCCGTACTTCCCAGTAAATTCACACTGCTGAAAATCAAGCAATTTTTCTACGGCCCAGTAGTTTTGATAATTGTTATTACGATCTCGATAGAAAGTCGACCTCCCCGGTTCCCAATGCACAATGAAATCGGTGAAGAGCGGTACCCTCTCATGCTCACAAGCGCGCCGTCGTTTCCTCTGCCAAATGACCCACAAAAAACCCATCCCCTTTATTTTCCTTGCTGATCGTGTCTGCGGCACGGTCAGTAAAAGAGTCGACGTTGCGTACTTCCTCGGAGAGACCGGACGACACACGGAAGTAATTAGGGCCAATTCTATGAGATCAAATCTATAAATGATAATCCTGAATTGCTTTTTTTATTACAAGGTACTGTACTTTTTTATGAGGTCGATGTTGAACCAAAATAAGAACCAAGGTTACGGTAGAAATTGTGTCCGTTTTTTTTTTTGGTATGGGCAAAATTATTTTTAAGGTTTAGGCTGAAGTATTTTGGGTAGGAACTGTAACCACAACATTGTGTGTGAAAGTATGAATGAAAAAGTTTCTGGGGCAAAACTTGTTGAGGGACATGTATGAATGAGCAAGCTAGTCATTCAAAAGGTGTTTCTGTGAATAATGTTTTCACCACAAAAGTCAGGAGTCTGTTTTTTTGTTATTATTTGTTTTAAAAGTCCTGATTTCGTTTTTCAAGGGCTGTTTGCCATACATTTCCTAAGATAGGCTGTAAAATTAAATGGAGTTGTTTTATTAAAAAACAAGCTCTATTGGAAATACATATATCTCGGAAGCTGCCGGCCAACGAATTCATGTTCATGCATGAGTCACGTGATTGTGCCATGTATTTTTTTTGAAGGAGTAGTGTTTTGAGTAAAAAAAATCTTGATTTTGACCCCAGTGAACCCATGAGGACCTTTGACCCCAGTTTGGTCATGTGACATGTTGGGGCTGGGCTGCTGATACATGGAAAAGGCTTGGCTAAAATCAGTCAATATAAGTAGGAGCAATAGACAATGTCAATGTTTGTTACTGACTACCGGTAACTAACGGACTAACGTAGAGACATAATGATTGTTGAGCTGATATCCCGCAGCTAAAAACTGAATATAACGTCTACTGGCTAAAATTAGCTTCACACTACAATGAACTTAGTCCAGAATTTAGTTGAAACACATAAATAGCAATGAGGTTTTTCTCTTGTAAAACTTGCCATAGCAACCAACAAAGTCGAAAACCAAAATAGTTTTCTGCTTGATAGCCCTGCAAAATTAGAAACTTGTCGGGCGCAACGCTCATTTGTGTGTCTCAAATCAGCTGTGAATCGCTGTAATTAAACCAAAAAAAATTCATGGCCAACTGCAGGAACACTTGACTGTGGTTATAGAAGACTACATCGTGGACAGGAAGTTACCTTCATAGTGTGTTGACTCACAATATCGTAATGGCTCCGCCAGTCGGACAGACTCGTCTGATGAGATGACGATATTGTCTGCTTAATACTTGAAACGCTCTGGTGTACTTGCTTTTTTCCCCCAGCATTATTAGTTTGATGGCAGTAGACATGCACTCATGGATGGCTGCCTTGCCAAAGAAGTCTCCGGCAGACGGGAAGTCTTCTAACTCTCAGTTTAATTCAGTTGGACATTTATTCTATTCATATGACAAAAGATTTTTTTTGTCAGACTTTTTTTTTTTTTTGAGTATTACAGGTACATTGTGTAAATATAAGAAATGAATAAAAAATAGATAAAGCTGAAACATCCCTACACCTTTCAAATGTGAGACGCCAGGGACCCCTTCTTTGGAATGAAATTTGACCTTCCTGCCCAGTGACATCAATTAGAGTATGTAAAAAGTATTAAAAAAAGACTTCTTCTCACTACGGTTGATGGTAATTGGGAGTATAAATATTACTTTAATTGCCAAATTCAGACATTAATAACTCATTGGAAATTAAGGATGGTAATTTAATAACTTATTGATTTATTAGGTTAAGACTTAACATTTAATGTATTAATATCTGTTATTTATCATTAGTAACTGCCGTGTGTAATCACAAATTGTACATAACTTAAATGTAGCTGTATTCTTTGTGAAGGGGCAGACTTATTGCAACCTTCCTAGTTTAGAGTAAAAGTCAAGCATGTAGCTGTCGTAGTTAGCTTAGCGATCTATCTGCTGATCTCGAAACCAAAAGTGTTATATATCTCTGAGCAGAAATTCAGCTTCAGCAGCATTATTCACACTTTATGGGTGACCCAGAATTAGCTTTGTGGAGGCCGCTTTTCAATTTCACAGTCCACTTCATGTTATGCAGTTACAATTCGTCGTTGTTTAAAGGTTGTTCCACTAAGTGCATCCGGAAGGTCTGTAAATACATGTAAAACCTGTCACGAAGAAATCTAATCACATTTGAATTGTGTATACCCTGCTGAATCCAAGCCACCTAGTGCCCAAGGAAAAATTAAAACAAAGGCCAAAAAAGGACAAAAACAAAATTTAAACTCAAAACAGAATGGCAATAGGTGTCAACGTTTTCCCATGATGCACTTGGGTATGGGCTGCGTGTGCCAACAAAAGAGGGCGTGTTTTTACCACTTTTGAAAACCCCGTGAACAGGACACACAGCATGTGCATACTGTATGGCACTGGTTTGCGCGCGAAGTATACGCGACTTCCTGAATGTGCCAAAGCTATTAGCCACAGCGTCTTCGCGTGATCGTCAGGCATCGTCGGCGCGTGAATAGTTCGAATTTAATTTGCGATGGTCTCCCAGACTAATCCCCGCCCCCAATAACTTTGGATCATTCAAAATGCACAGTGGATGGACCGGAAACCAGTCTAAGTCACCCCCAACTCTCCTTTTCTGGCCGTTGAAGGGTTACTTGTGCACGGAGCCTATAGCAGGATCACCATTGGCAGTGGAAGCTTATCTCAATTGTTCGTTGCTCATATTTTCAACTCACGAAGCAAGATTAAAACACTCATGATTAACATGGAAGTTACCCAGGCCCTCCCGAGTTCCGATGGAAGTTCCGTCATTCCCGCGTGACTTCCCATGTTCCATTCAGTGGGCATTTAAGGCTTTTCCTATGTTCATTCCCGTGGGAATTGTGCCTCCAGTAGAATGTGTTCCCTCTCAGTAGACCCGCATCCTGCGGTGTCTAGACCCTCAATAATACACAGGATGGCTGAGGTTTGTGACTGGCTGCTTTCCCTCCCTCCCTTTTTTTTCCATCTGAAAAATCAGGTTTTCCGACTCGAATCAGCTTTAAAGACACAAAGTCGGTCGGAACATCAACCATCGACTTTCTTAAATTGGCATGTCAAATTGCGATGTCACTGGAAGGGCACTGGAAGTAAAGGAAGCGAGGATGTTGAGGATTGGAGATGCATTTAATTGAGTCTGTCAGCTAACAACCTTCGTATTGTCAAATTTATAAAAGCATCATTACTCTCGCCTGACTAAACCTTTGAAGATTTTCTCCCAGCTTCTCAAAAAAAGCATTCAGCATACACTGCTAGTTTTGAAGGACAAATGTGTGTACAATTTATATCAAACCAGTGCTGCTACACACCAAACAAGACCATATTCCCTACTTTGTTGGCTGAACATTGTCTCGCAATTTTTTTCTTGTATTAAAATTTTGAGCTCTAGTTTGCATCCATTGCAATTCCTAGTCTGTTTTTTTCTTATCTTTTAAATTTCTTAGAAATTTACATGGATTTTTTTTTTTTATTTTCATTTGAAAAGATCAAGATATGTACATAATTACTACAGACTTTTCCTCTCAAGCTTATTGTTGGATTCTTTTTCTCTATTTTTCTTTTTACAGCCTGTGATTCGTCTTGTTTATCCTGTCACTATGACAACCCCCGGTGCGTCATCTGTCCAGCCAATCAGCTGCTCCAGGATGGCAGCTGCGTCACTCAGTGTGGTGCGGGCTTCTATGAGGCTAGCAACACTCACTGCGAAGGTAAGTTACTTCATTGAAAATGCGTTGGTACTTTGGACCCATAAACTCCAATATGCGACCCAACTCAACAAAATGATATGAAAGTTGCCAGAGATATGTGCACTTTTGTCTTATAAGCCGAAAATTAATTTTTCACCATGGTAATCAATTGGAGCTGTCAACTTTTTCATATGTAAAACTAACGAGTGAAAAAAAAGTTCCTTTTGAATTTCTTTTTTGGTGGGGGGGGGGGGGACCTGACAACATATGGATATTAAACGTCACTTTGTTAATTTTTGGTTCCAAGATATGTAACAAAATGAAATATCTTCTTTTTATATTTTAGCTCCAAATCGGATATAAAGTTAATGTCACTCCTTGATATAGTTTCAAAGTTTTCCATAGTAGTAGTTTTCCAAATGCTCCTCCTTCATTCTGCGCAATTTTTTTTTACATGCGAACTATTGCTACATTGTACAACTTGAACATCAGCAGTGGGGGTTGTCAACATAATCACAACATCTCTCTGCAAAATTCTGCCAATTTTAAAAGTCAGTGTCTATGGTTCCACTCTTGGAATGTCGAATGTCACCCTTTTCGATCCATTTTGAGCTACAATCCCGGCCAAAATGGTTGGGACACTTCCTGGGCCTGCCACGGTCACCCACTCCCCCGCTCCCCCGGTCAATGTTGTTCTCTCCAGCTAATGGAGCACACACCGCGCAATGAGAGACAACATTGAACGGGGGCCGGGGGGTTGGAGGCCCAGCGAGATTTGGCCAGGATTGCAGTTCCCTTCATACTGATCTTATCGACTCTTCTTCTGTTGCATTGTTTTGGGCCAGCTTGCCACCACACATGCCAGTACTGCAGAGGACCCAGCATCTATGAGTGCATGGCCTGCGACGAGCCCTTCCACCTGCAAGACGGACAGTGCCTGTACAACTGCTCCAATGGGTTCTTTGATAACCAGAGCACCTGCACACGTGAGTATCAGAGGTGACCGGGAACGGTGGTAAGGCAGGTTCATACTCCACGCGAAAGGTGGTAAGGCAGGTTCATCCTGCACTCGAAAGCGAAGGAGAAGCGAATGTAATGACTTAGGTTTCATTGTGACGAACTCCATGACCTTAATGAATTTGCTTCGCATCGACATTTGCATAAGTATGAACTGGCCTGTAGAGTGGTAAGACCTCTGCACTATTAAGCAGGAAGTCTTGGGTTCCATTGTAATCATTCATAAGCATTCATAAGCTGTCATAAGCTGTCAATGCTTACGAAGTATGTTGAAGGGCAAAACCCAATATTAAACATAAATCTTCTATTAAAGCACAGAAATATAGGTCCGTGCCAAAAAATGTGATTGCTCACGAAATTAGCCCGTGAGTTTTTTGTGCTTAACAGATTTTCATTTCTTAGAAGCTAAACAAAACTTTGGGCCAAGAACAGAAGCAGTCAGTCCATCTTGACTGGTTCCCCATCTCCTTTACCATCTTCTGTCTTCGCATCCAGCCTGCTACCAAGCTGTCAAACCTTCCAAGGGCCCGGTTGCTCATGGAAGTTGCTCATAGTGATTGTTTCATGCTAAGCAGATTTGTATTCTCGGCAGCTCTATGATTTGTTATTGGCCAAAAGTGCCGACAGTCTGGCTAAAACCTTGCATTATCTCCATAATCATCTTTGACTTTCCCTAACCAGCCTGCCACCTAATCTGTTGTACCTGCTTATAGACCAGTTGCTTATAAACTTGGACAATGATTTTTCATGCTTAGCAGATTTGTATTCTTAGCAACTCTGTGATAATGCCGTGCCAACAATAGAACCAGACAGTCTAGATTCTAAACTTGCCCTATCTCCGTAACCATCTCCCGTCTTGTCCCCCCTTCCAGCCTGCCACCCGAGCTGTCGCACCTGCCTGGGGCCCAGCGCCTCGGACTGCTCTTCCTGCCGAGACGCGACCCAAGTAGTCCAGGGTAGACCCCCGTTCTATGATGTCATCACGGGGCCCTGCAATGCCCGCTGCCAGCTGAGCTTCTACGCAGACGTTCACGGTGTCTGCATACGTAAGTCCGGCCAGTCCTAGACTTGCCCTGAGCATACCCCCCCCCCTCCCCCCACGAAATTACACCCTCTGACTGACGTATCCTGTGTTAAATTGTGACACCTCAGAGACCGACAAATACAATTTGGGATGTAAGTTTATAAAACTTTGAAGACATTTTCTTTTCCAAATGAAAAAGGAAAACAAGGAAACAACATATTTTGAATGACTCGAAAACATTTTTCAAGCCAAGACTAAGAATTTGTGACTACATTGCAGAAGATTTCCTTTTTGTGTTCCATAAAATGAAAAAAATTATATTTGGTCATAAATGAGGTTGTTCAAAAGCATGCATAACAAAGTGAGATGACAGTTTTTTGGTCACATTTTGGCCCTTGACAAATTTGAAATTGATAGAGATTAACTCTCATTCTACTTGAAAGAACCTCATTTAAACTCACTTTTAAATTGACAATTTGTTTTCCTTTTTTTTGGTGTGCTCGCTTCCCATATTGTTTCCACGTTGTTAAATAATGTATGCGTCTCAGTGTTCAATATATTGCAAAAAAAATCATTAGTAAAAAAAAATGGCCAATTTCATGGCACTGTTTTAACGGTGAACATATTGGATCTGAACATTAAACAATTGTCTTTCTTTGAAAATATGTCCATTTCTTACATCAATTATTGATATCCCTCCTTTTGTTGTATCCAGCTTGCAATCCGACCTGCTTGACCTGCACGGGACAAACCATTGACAGCTGTACATCATGTAGAACACCCTTGCTCCTCCAAAACGGTCGATGTGAGAAGCAGTGCATGGATGGCCAGTATGCGGAAAGCGCCATCTGTCTAGGTAAGGGATAAGTTCAGGTTCTTTGTGTCCGTGTGGAGGATACTTTACCACAATTTCTTTACTCTGAGATCTTGTTTCAGATTTAGTGCATACATGTAATTGGCAAAAATGAGTTGGATGACCAATTACTTTCTCCTTTCTATAAATTTGGATTCAAGTTTCAACTCAGGCATTGATTTTTATGTCACTTGTGTTCCTTAGCAGGATACTTTATCACAATGACTTTTCTCCTTTAACTTTCTTCTCTTGTCTGAAATCTTTGATTGGCCTCGGTGCGTAATAGGCATAAATGAGTTCCATGCCCAGATCCTTTTTCTTCTCCTAAACATTTGGATTCAGTTTCAATCCTTTGCATGACTTTTAAAGTGCTGGTGTCCATAAGCAGGATAGTGTACTCCAATGAGTTCTCTTTTTTGAGGGAGTAGTGGTTGGCACTCGTGACATTTTGTGTTTTGCTGGTCAACCAGTGTATCAGATTTAATTGTTATTTGTCCTGCATAAATTTCAGCACACACACAACTTTTAATCAGCCAGGCAACAAAGACTGTTTCGAAAATTAATTAACTTCAATTTTGGAGGAGGCTTCATTCATTGTGGACGATTCTAGTCCTTATTTGGCATCCATAGTTGAAGAAATGTAGCTTTTTTATGGAAGGGAAGGGGGAGGGGGGACATGGTCCATTGTACCTGAGTCTAATCCTTAGTTGTTGCAAACACAAAGCCAGCTTTTGATTCTAATGCTGCCATAAATTTTGATGTTTTTCTCTGTTAGATTGCCACCCAAGTTGTCGTGCTTGCTACGGCCCCGCTACCGACCAGTGCCTGGCCTGTCACCGCAGTGACACGCTGCGACTAGGCACCTGCGTTGCCGGCTGCCCGGGCTCACAGTTTCCCAACGACTTTGGTGTCTGCCAAGGTAATGTTGAGCTTCCTCTAAGATCCCGTTTCTATTTTTTTTTTACTTTCCTCTTTGACCATTTTACTTTGGATCACAACATTTCCTCAAATAAGGGCTTTCAGGAAGTCACCTGGAAATTGTTGGGTTTTTTTCCTCCAGCATTTGTAGCTAGCTTGTGCCATGAAGCGTTTTTCCTGCACCGCTAAAATGATTTTCTTTCATTTATTTAGTATAAAAAAACAATCCTTGCTCTTGAAGAAATATTTTCTCTTCTCACTCTCTAGAAACCCACACTCTAAGAAATTTGTCAAGGCGGTGTGACAAGAATTTTTGTCTGGAAACATGAAGTCTGTCTTATTTTAAGAAAACCATTTCCAACTGGTTTTTGACAATTCTTCTGTAAATGGTCACCATTTCTTGGTTTAGGCTTTTTTTTCAACGCCATTTTCACCATATACCACCAAGATCTTGTAGTTTTGGAATATCTTAAAACAATATCAACATGTCTCCCCAATTTTGAGAAATATGCATCTGAAAAAGTGTAAACTTTTTTAGGGGGACAACCCTGTAGAAATATAGCAGTAGTCTGTCACTAGTGACTGCGGACAATTTTACAGAAATGTGGTACAAGTCCAATAATTCACTTGACTGAAATTCTCAATGTTGACTATGTAAGACCTCAGAGGTGTTCACTAGAGGAAGTATCTTATCAATCGAAAACACTTCATGTGCAAAGTCCCTCAGGTCTGTCTAACTCCTGAGACTTTTTTTCGTCAAGTTGTCGTGCGTCTTTCACCGCCCCCGCCCTCCATCTTGAGTCAGATGTTTTGACTAGACAAGGTCGGTGGTCCGGTGTGCATGACTGTTGGTAATGTTTCCTGCCCAATAGGAATATGTTGGTAGGGTGGGGATTAGTATGTATTATAGGGCGTCTGTCGGAAATGTGAAAGGACTCCATCAAAATGAGGAATAAATAGCAAAATCGCTGTATGGTGTTGTACATAATGCTAAAATGAGTGTGTAGTGTCTTTAAGAGTATGGTTGTTTGGATGTAAAGTTAAGGTTTGGGGAAGCCAGATTTGAGTAAATTCCAGAACATTGCTGAAAGCACATGAATGGTGTGCTGTGTCACATGACAAGTTGATCACTGATTGTTGATTTTTCAAGTTAGAGTTCGAAAAGTAGTATTCAGAATATTGTTCTTGTTCTGTTCAGAATTAAAACGAAAAAAAAATGCATTTGAGATTCTTGTCTGCAAAACTGATTTAGTTAACAGGTCTTCCAAAGAGGATTGTGAGAAACTACACAATCACTTGTAAATTTAAATTTAAATATTTTCAATCTTTGTTTTCATAATTAGACATCTGACATTTTGTAGACGTTGCTTCATCCCCCATCAGTTTTAAAAAGTGGTACAAATTTCAAAGACTCAAACTTCACAGAGGCATTTCTGCACTATCGTCTCGCCTACCTGGGTTGAAATCAACACAGGTCAACCGTGAGCAGAACAGGGTTGAATTGAACATGGGTAGGGAAGGCATAATGTTCGCACTGACACCAGTTCATGCACGGATCAGGCGTTTAGTTTTGGATTTTCTACCTGGGTAGAGCCTCTAAACCCTGGCCCCAACCAGGATTGAGTTTTGCTCATGTAGAGCACTGGACCCATGTAGAAGACACGTTTGATTCTTGCTAGTGTAAAAGGGTTCCCAAAAGGGTTCAACACGGGTGCAACACAGAGATTTTGGACAGTGTGAAAGGGCCTTTGGAGTAAAAAGATTCTAGCTTTGATAAAAGACAGTCAGACATGAAGGTCTTCCGTTAATTATAAGGTTGAACCCCCTGCTAATTTGTGATTGAAATTTGTCTGCGATTGTGTGAAGTCAGTGTCATTGTCTGTGGTGATTCACATCATTTCCTGAAATAACTAATTGAAATTTGGCAGGCACGGTCATAATTGATTGCAGTCACGATTAAGTTGATCTGTTGGTGGGGGAAGGAAAGGGTCATCTGATATAGCAATCCCCCCCCCCCCCCAAAAAAATATAATCAATTTTAGGCCTGTTCTAAATGTCGTGCTACTGCCGTGCCGAAATCAATTAATTTGCCTTTTTGGGAGGAATTCAGCTAGGTGATAGTGTAGCGATTGAAACCATTTGGCTCGGCAATTTGAGTTCAGCACGGCACCTTTGTCAGGGTTTGAAGTGCTTTCGTCATTCCGAACCGCGGTGGCATGGCACTCTTGAATGCTGTGCCATTGCCGTGCCGAACTCGACTCAATTCGAAGTTGGGGCAAATATTTTAGAAACACGCATGCTCACAATGACCTCTCTCACATCTGCATCACAGGGTGTGAAATAAGCGTGAATATTTCATCGCGCTGGAAGTGCATTTAACTGCTTGAATGTTTTTTTTTAACCAGCCTTTCCGTTTGACTTTTAAGCTTGGCGTTTAGAGCAACTGCCATGCTATAGATGAGATAGTGCCAAGCTCAATTCAATTAAGTTATGCACGGCAGTGGCGCAGTGTTTAGAACTGGCCTGAAAAATACTAATTTGTAGGCATTTTAGTATTTCTAACCATCTGAATATGTTCCCTCTTCCTTCCAGATTGTAGCTCAGCCTGTGGCACCTGCTTTGCCTCTGCAGAGGGTGTGGGTAGTAGCCTTTGCACCGAGTGTGTAGACACCGGCGTCTACCCCCTGGAGGACACCTGCGTGTCAGAGTGTGGCATCGGCCACTTCCTGGATCTCACCACCAACATGTGTAAAGGTCAGTTGCCCTATGAGTCGCAGCACTGCCCCAAAGCACCCTCTTACTCCTAATGCCGCCCCAAACTGCACCAACACTCTATGGTTTATATGGATTCCTCACGGTGTAAACACAGTGTAGTACAATGTAATACAAGTGCTAATTTGTGAACTGAATTCCACCAGTGGACAATTTTGCAGCACTGTTAAGAACATAAGTTTGCACCCCCCCCCCCCCCCCCCCCCCAACAGACGAACTCCACATTCTGGAAGTTTTTCTGTTTTGATTAATTTATCATGCCCACATACTGGGAGAGACTCTAACTCATAGCCGACGAAGCCTGATGCTCACGCGAAGACGCTATGCAAATATCAGCAGCATCTTGAGTTTGAGCATCATCTTGAGTAATTGAATATAAAGTGCTTCAGTACTCTCCTAAAATGATTTTGTAATTAGATAAATACAGAATTAGACCCTGGGCATTATTAATACTCCTTGTTTTTCGTCACCAGCGTGTCACATCTCCTGTCGCACCTGCACTGGTCCTGGTGTCTTTGACTGCTCCACCTGTTATTCAGGCATTGTCCTGACCCACAATGGCATGTGCTCATCCAAGTGCTACGGGGGTTACTACAATGATGGTGGGGTCTGTAGAGGTAAGAAAGAGTACTTTGGTTTTGGGGTCATTTTGTTGCCAATCAATATGTTTCTGGTGATTGTGTACAGTATCACAGAGCTTTAATCTAGTCAGTACAAGTCCTGACAAGTCAACCACAAGTGGTTCGGTCTCAAGTAACGTTCAAAGTTCTTCCAGTGAACTGGGACAAAGGCGTTCATTTGTCAGCATTATGTCCCTCTTGCTTGTGACTTGGTTTGTGATTTGACTTGTGATTGATCTATGATTGACTTGTGATTGACTTGTGATTTGACTTGTGATTTTGTCTTGTGATTTGACTTGTGATTTGACTTGTGACTTGACTTGTGTTTTGTCTTGTGTTTTGACTTGTGATTTGACTTGTGACTTGACTTGTGTTTTGTCTTGTGTTTTGACTTGTGATTTGGCTTGTGTTTTGACTTGTGATGGCTAATTATTAAACTGTTATTTGGTTTTTCATTCGCTTGTGATTTAACTTGTGATCTGATTGTGATTTGACTTGTGACTTGACTTGTGATTTGACTTGTTATTTGACTTGTGACTTGACTTGTATTTTGACTTGTGATGGCTTGTTATTGAACTGTTATTTGGCTTTTCATTCGCTTGTGATTTGACTTATGATCTGCTTGTGATTTGACTTGTGATCAACTTGTGATCAACTTGTGATTTGACTTGTGATCAACTTGTGATGGACTTGTGATTGTCTTGTGTGTTGTCGTTTGATTATCCTAATTCTGATCAACCTAACCTTTAAAACATATTTTTTTTTTTTGAATCACCCCAGCCTGCCAGCCCAACTGCCTGGAGTGTGAGACCCCCTATGAGTGCCTGGTGTGTCGCAACCCGGACGATGTGCTCCAATTCGGAGAGTGCACACCGTACTGTGCTGACCAGTACTATCTGGATCCCATCACTCGATTGTGCCGAGGTAGGTATATAGTCCAAACACCCTCACTACGAGACTGGCTAGTGTGTTGTTGGTGCAGTTACCTTTGACATAGCGGTCAGCATAATTTTTAATATCTACACAAAATTTTCATTCATCACTTCATGTCCGTTGTTTATCCAACAAAATAACCTACTGGTCCAGTTTTGCACAGCTTTTTACTGTTTGGGTCATTATACAAATCTAAGGCCAAAGTGTGACATTTTTCCCGTCCCCGTTACCTTGGGACTTTGTAATTTGCCATTCAAGTATCATTAAGAAAGACTTCAAACGTTTTTTTCTATTTGTTTGGTGGGTAGTTTGCTTTTCATAATAACTCTAGGAGGATGAGTGCAATAAATCAGAATTCGAAAATCATAGATGTCAGATGAAAAAAACCTGACCCCAAATTTATTTATAGAATGACACATGTAGAAACATGTTGCAAATCTCACAGTTCAAACTCATATTCTTTCACAAATATGAAATTTCTCAATGGTGTTTTTTTTCACCTTGTAAATCCTCCAGAGTGCGACTGGAGTTGCAATGCCTGCAGTGGGCCCACTGCCCAGGACTGCACCCTGTGCATGGAGAACAAGATGCTGAAGGATGGAGCATGCGTCTCAGCCTGCGACGAAGGCTACTACGAGTTTGCTGGAGAGTGCAGAGGTCAGAGTTCACTCTTGAAGAATCAGAAATCAAAAAAATGAATTGCCTTGTTTTAGTCCCATTATTGTTGATCCCCTCGCATGTTCTGAAATGTCCATCAATTAAATAAAGGTTTGTTTTCTGAAAAAAATTAAAGTTTTTCCAATTGTAATTCGATCAGAGCTTGTAAATAAATATAACTTACTCGGTTGGGATTCGAACCTCTGACCCTCTATACTTTGTCAATAACTAAAGGGTGGGTATCTCTTATCAATACCCAAAGTGCGGCAAGAATTCTTCAGTTCTTTTTCAGAGTTTGTGAGAAAAACGTAAGCTTTCTCGGGTTTGTCTTTGAACCGACAGTCCCCTGCTTACTTTAACCCTCTTGTCCATACCTAAATTATGACAAGCTCTTGAAAAAAAGTCACATACTCCGGTGGGATTTGAACCCCCGACCCCCTTAGAGTGTGGTGGGGACTGTTAAGTTCTTTCTCAGAGCTTGTGCAAATTCTAAAAATTATCAAATTATAACAAATTAAATTTTTTTCACAAAGTGCTTAAAAGGACTGTTCCATTCTTTCTCAGAACCAAACCATCCTAAGCTTTCTCGGAAGGGAAAATCAAACCAGTTACCTCACAAACCCAGTAAGGCACAAAAATATCCCAAGCTTTCTCGGGTGGGGATTCGAACCACCTGCTCACTTTCCCCCTCTCTTGTCCATCACCCAGAGTGCGGTGAGGACTGTAAGACCTGCAGCAGCCCGGGGGTGTGTACCTCCTGCCAACCCCCACGGTTACTCCTGGTGGATCAGTGCGTCAGTCACTGTGGAGTAGGGTTCTACAGCGACTATGGACGACATGTCTGCAGAGGTAATTATCCAAAGCCAAGAAATTTTAACTTCATTTCTTTCTTTTAGGGTTTGAGGAATTCATCATTCTCAGTGATTTTTGTGGTGGTTGCTAGATCAACTGCGTTGTGGGCACAGTATCGCACTTACGAATGGTGTTCTTAAGTTCAGAATTTTATGATTAACGGAGCCACAAAATTTGGGCCGTGATCCTGCTTTGATTGTAGACATTTCATGTGGATGTTGTGTAAGTATGACGCAGAACTCTTGTTACTCTCTGAAAGTCTTCAGAACAAAGCCTCTTGATTTGAAGTGCTTTCCACTGAGTGACAATGAAACATGGTAAAGTCTTGCGTGCCAAATTTATATTTCACTCTTCTAGCCAGCCTAAATCAAGTCAAGTTACCGTCACATTTATGTGACCTCGGGCTAACTTGAAAATAAGGCCAGTTGCTATAAATAAACCGATGGGCATTACTGACAACACTGTAAACTTGCTTTCTCTAGCCACCTTCTTTTTATTTCCCCTTATGTTGTACTGTGTTTGGCTCTTCAAACATCCTGACAAACAAACCATCGTCCAGGTCCTCACATATCAAACACAATTTTGTTTCTGTCGTCTCCGCAGAATGCCCGTGGAATTGTGTGGAGTGCAGCACGCCTGACCAGTGCACCAACTGTGCCTCGGGTTCCTTCCTCCTCAAGGGGAGCTGTGTGTCTGATTGCCCCTCGGGTTACTTCACCAACCCACGGCAGAATATCTGCGAAGGTAAGCCATCCAGAAAAACATCCCCCCTCTCTGTCATTCAGGGGCACGCCCACTTGTTCCCTTCCACCCGTAACCGCCCTGCCTATTACTCCCTATTACTCCCTATTACTATCTAAAACTGCCTCAGTAATGCCTGGTTTTATGGAGTCATCTGGAATAGATACAATGAAGTACAATGTAACACAATGTATACAAGCTCTTGTATTACATATATAGTCTTCGAACTTAAGTCTGTGTGCTTAGTCAAGGGAAGCGTGCCGTATTATATAAGGGAAACACAATGCCTTATCCTTGGACATAATGGTACATACCACTGTCAGTTCTAGTTCATTAGCCCTTTTGCAAATTGAGCAACCTTACAATTTCTAAGAAGTAAACTGTGTTAAAGAGCAAAGCTTGTATACTTGTAAACCAACCTCCATACCTGTTGATGTAATCTTAGCCACTGACATACAGCCAGCATGCCATATTGTCAATTACGTGAGGCTGGCCTCAACATCCCCTGGAAACTTGAAAAAGGATGTTATCATTAGTAGACAACCCCATTGTAGAAATACCAAGTAAAACATTATTACTAGAATTTGTGTCACCAAAGGCATGACTCTTATAAACCAAATTTTTTTCACTTACTTTTCTTGCAGCTAATCTCTACCCACCTACGCTGTTCGTCAACGGCACTCTGAACAGCGAGATAGGCGGCACCACGGTCCTAGACACGTCGTTCTTCACGGCCTACGACCCGGACACTGCTTCCGCAGACCTGACCTTTGTCCTGATGAGCCCACCGACCAACGGCGAGCTGATCAAGATTGACAGAGGCGTGGACGTCACCTTAAACGCCGGCGACTTCTTCACCTTCCCGGAGTTGGAGCAAGGCAGCGTGCGCTTCGTCCACGACCGCCGGCAGCAGCTGATGGGGTTCTTCAGCATCAAGGTCAGCGACCGGCAGTTTGAGTCGCCGACCGAGGATATCGGGATAATCATCCTGTCCCCCTTGCCACCTTACGTCACCCGCAATCAGCTGCTCGTCGTCGAAGAGGGCGAGATGGGTAGAATTGCGTCGGACACCAATTTGCATATTCGCGACGAGGATAATCCGGAGAGGGTGACCATCACGGCCATTGAGGGGCCACGGCACGGACGGCTGATCAAACTGCCGGACAGGACGCGAGCCAAGACTTTCACGCTCAACGACCTCGTTGCCGGGAACATTCGCTATGCCCACGATGGAAGCGAGACCCAGTACGATGCGATTGCGTTCCAAGTTACCGACGGGCACAACGTGATCAACGTGCTGTTCTACATCCAGATTAATCCAAACGTAAGAACATTGTCAAGATTTATTCCTATTTTGTTGATCCTCTTCATATTCAATATAATGGGCAATTATGAGATTATTTGTAAACTTTCATTTGATGAAGCTAAACATGCTGAGACTTTGCCTCCTTACACCAGCATTTTTTTTCCATTTTCTTCTCTCAAAGGATTCTTGTCTACATTAGGACAAAATGTTACCAAGAGCCCTTGGTAAATTTTAATGCAAAGAGATAATAATTCAATAACCGTTCGATAAATTGTCATCATTTCGTAGCTGGCTGCAATTGGAGTGAGAATTTACTGGGATCATTACATGTAGTTCTGAGTATTGAAATATAGAAAAGAGCTCCATTCACTTTCATTGTTTGACATCTGTTTCCTACTTTTGTTTTGTTTTGTTTTGTTCAGGACAACAAAGGCCCGATTCTGATCAACAACGTCCTGATGCAAGTCCACGAGGGCGACCTCATCCCAATCACGTCTGATCATCTCAAAGCCTTCGACGTCGACTCGCCCGACAACGAGCTGATGTTTATTCTCACCCCACCCAAGGGGAACCCTCGCAGTGGTAAGCTGGATAACTTATTCTGAACTTGCCAAAAGTACATCTGAGAGGAATCTCCTGTAAGCCAGTTCACCTGAAAAATATTTTTGTTGTATTATAATAGGCTTTGTTAATTTCTTTTACCAAGATTTTTAACAAAATGAATTTGATTAATGAGACTTGGTGTAGATTTTGTGAGAAATGCAATGGTATTCTTCTTTAGGTTTTATTGGGCTACATGTTTACTGTCCTGCTGCTCGACCATCCACCTGTCTGCCATTCAGAGCAAAGCATTTGGCCTAGTTGTGCCTGTGTCCTTATGTCTGCCACAGCTCTGCGGACCATCTGTGTTCTTCGTCTCAACTATGCATTGCTCTGAATGGCAGGTAGATGGAAGGTCGAGCAGCAGGACAGTGAAAATGTGAACCTTATCTGTAATTCAGATTCATGTTCAATAAGTGTAATTCCATTTCATTCATTTCCTGCTCTGTTGTTACTTTTATTTCCTTCATTGTCCAAAGTCCCATTGTTGCCATTGTGTTGATAGCAATAGACCTATTCTGAACATTGTGTTGGTAGTGTTTTGGGGCAGTCACAAAGAAAGGCCTGTATCCTTTCATGCATGGCTGAATATCAGTGAAAATTTTACTGAACCTGGTCAATATCCAGCCCAGTTGTTGGCTTTTTGAACAACTTGTGTTGCCATGTAAAAACCTCAATAAACCCTGATATCTCATTGAGTTGAATCAGTTTATTTCTGAACTAACCCTTGACCTGTTTCCCTCTCCTATTTCAGGTGACATCGTGATGATCCTGCCCATTCCAGACACGGGGGTGCCCAGCGGCTGGGAGGACATGCAGAACAATTACATGATGAAGCCTCTGACCCGCTTCGCCCAGGAGGACATCGACCAAGGCAAGATCTACTACCGCCACTCTGGGGGCGAGGTGACCAGCGATTACTTCATGTTTGAGGTCATTATATTCTGTCTCGCTTATTGTTTTAACTTGCAAGTTTTCATGCAGTGGTCTGAATCATGTGCTTTAGTACACTAGGAGAAACGTTTCAGATACTTTCAGACGCATTTAGACCCATTGGAAGGATCAAAAATAACTTTGGATCATTCAAAATACGCAGTGGATGGATCAGGAACCAGCCTAGGTCACCCCCGACTCTCCTTTTCTGGCCGTTGATGGGGTACTTGTGCATGGAGCCCATAGCTGAGGTCTCTTAATTTGTCATTTTGTTCCAGAGATGTTAGTCTTCAGCAACACGTCTCTATACACCTTTAGATTTTATTTGATAAATTTTGCCTTGCTTGTTGCTTATGACACTTTGGCGCTGTTATAAAGAGGCTTTGCAGTGCCCCTACACTTCCTGTGCTGGGACATGGTGAACTGTTTATGTTTAGATTGGAGTCTAATCACAAGCTATAAATGCTATTGGGACGTTCCCCATTTGGCCGCAAGCGTCGGTCACTTCGCATGTGGGCAGGGACACATGTGTCTCAAGTCAGGCTTTTTGTCAGACATTCGGTCATGGTTGTGATAGGTCAAAATATCGTAGGGCAGGATATGTCCATTGATTGTTCTTGTTGATCTGGGATTCATTGTTTGTTTGCCTGTCTGTCTGTCTGTGAGTGCAGGTTGCAGACACGGCCCACAACGTTCTGAGCGATCAAGCCTTCAACATTGAGGTACTCCCCAGTAATGACGAGCCGCCCAGGCTGGTGGCTGGTATCGTGGAACCACTGCTGATGCGGGTGGGTATCAGTAATCAATAATGTCTAATCAATTATCAATAACCACTGATTAATAATCACTGATCATTAATCAATAATCACTGATCAACAATCAGTGAACAGTTATATACAGTCAAGTTGATCTGCATCCTGGATATGTGTACACAAAGATGATTGTCGTCGAGTGTTGACTAAGTTTTACCTTCCCAAGTATTGCATTTTCCAACCGGGGAATACAAGGCTATTTCAGTAACAAAACTCTGTTCAATACTGGAAGTTTATTCAAAGTTTTACAATCCACCCACACATTATCAATTGGCAATAATTGTAAAATTGTTTTATGGACCGTAAAAGAAAAAATGTTGATCTGTATATGTGATGAAAAAGGTTTCTAGTTTTTCAATTATTCTTGGGTTTTTTTTATTTTTAGGTATTTGAGGGTGAAATCTCGCCAATCACTAACACCCATCTGGCCTACACAGACATAGACAGCTCGGACCCAGACCTGGTCTACAACATCACAACTTCACTACAGGTCAGATATTTTCTTTTAAAAAGTTTGCGATTAGTAATAATTAGTGCTGATTTGTACGGGATGGCCATGTTTATGAGTTTTGTAGCTTTGCTTCATTTGTTCTTCTAGTATTCACTATCGAAGCGATTAGGTAAGATCTGCAAAAACAGGTCGTTGGCACAGCAACGGGATCACGCCGATGCAAACATGGCCGCCACTCACTACGGACTTGTGTCTTTTCTGAGCATTTTTGTGTTGTTCCGTTAGGACATTGGAAAAGAATCTACTCGGCTGACCAGCGTTGGGAAAAAATGGCTTTTTTAAATACCGTCCCCAATTTACCATATTTAGTCAGTCCTCATTTGTTTGCAATCGATTACACACCTATGAACGGGTACAAGCCAGCTAGACTAGTTCTCTGCCCTTACCATTCCCCGACGTCTATAAATTGCTCCGTTTCATCTTGAGTGGGATCAGGGAACCAGACCACAGGAACATGATTGTTTTTCTTGGTTTTTCCAGCATCTACGAACACAAAACTTCAAACAAGTCAGTGTTACAATATTTGCTATAAAATACTTACTCCCCACATCCATCCATTTTTGAAAATTACAGCAAAAGGAAATGTTGTACATTCCCTTTAAATAGTAGAGTAATACTATGCTTGCTGTATTTAACCACAAAAAGAAAACTGCAAATCAAGAAAAGATTGTAGCAAAGCAATTTTAGTTATGTTTTTTAATTTGTTTGTTTTTTCCCAGGTTGGACAGGGGAGCATAGAGTTTGATGATCGTCCTTTCCAACGCGTGGATTTATTTACACAAGCTGACATCAACGCTGAGAAGATCGTCTACCGCCCTCCCAACATTGCGCTGGGAACGGAGCCGCTGTCGTTCAAGTTCTTCTTCACGGGTAAGTCATTGTTCGTACCAGGCTTTGAGTTATCGATAGAATAAAAGACTTAAATAGAATTCAAGAATTCTACCACAGGGTTCAATTTTCAGGGTCTTGCTGTATAGAAAATAAGGCTGGCAAATTTGCGCAGTAAAGTTCAGGGAACCAGTCAGATTTCTTACATACATTGCAAGGTGTTTTGGCTGGTAACCTTACTACCTTGAGTCTACATTTTCACGTCCTCGCATCAACAGTTGCGGACAGTGTTCCCGGCGGCAACATGGTCGGCCCCAATCCCTTCACCATCTTCGTCATCCCGAGCGAGGACAAAACGTCGCCGATCTTCGAGAATCGCTTCGTCACCTTTGAGGTTCAGCGGGGCGGGCTGAAGCAGCTGCGCTCCATCCTGGCGGAGGGCACGGACCTGGACACCCCTCAGACCGACTTGGTATACACCCTGATCACCGCTCCCGAGCACGGTTTCATACTGAAGAGTGGCTTCATCCAACTTGACGAAGGTAAAGTCCAGAGAAGTCAAGTGATTAAACAATTTATAAGAGCTTCAGAAGAGGCGTTTCTTTTGTCAATGTTTTCCCCTGTTTCTTGTGAGCTGACCCAGCTCACACAGAAAGTGTAATAAACAGTCATCATCTTCAAGGATTTAAACAGTTTCTTATTCTTGTAGTGGTTTTAGCATTCATTGCAGACTGATAACTTACTTGTGACTTTTAGAAGAGTTATTTGTGTGGAACTGTTTCCTTGTGTGAAAAACTTCTTTGTATCGGGATCCTTTTGTAAAGGTGGTTCTAAATATCGTTTCAACTTCACTCTTAGATGCCCAGTTCACCCATGCTGAACTCCTCCAAGAGTCCTTCCACTACGTCCATGACAGCTCCCAGACAGAACAGGACGGTTTCGAGATCACCCTCAGTGACGGCACCCACTCAGCCAGCGTCGTCATGGCCGTGGTAGTCACTTACACCGATACCCGCAAGCCTTACGTCCGGCCCGGCTCGACCCTCTCGCTCATGGTCCCAGAGAACAGCATCGTCGTGGTGACGAGAGACGAGCTGTCCTTCGAAGACGACGACTCCATCGATAGCGAGATTGTGCTGACGTTGGACACCTTGCCTCACAGCGGGCGGTTACAGCGACGCATTGCTGGGGACTACTATCAGGATATACCCATCGGTGGGACGTTCACTCAGGCTGATATCAGTGCCTACAACATCAGGTAATGAACCCTGTGTATTGCCCAATTGAGAATAACCGTGGCTGCCCAATTTGGAATACGGAACCATGGTTACCCATTTAAGAATATTGTTACCCAGGTGGGAATCTTGAACTGTGATTGCCCGATTGGGAATCCTGAACCATGATTACCAAATTAGGAGTCTTTTTTCCCAGGTAAGAGTAGTGATTGACCGATTGGGAATCTTTAGGTGTGTGGTTGAGATTTGAATATTGTGGCCCAAATATTTTTGTCAATTTGGTTTTCAAATTGGGTTTTCTCTAACCATAATTACCCAGTACGACTCTTGAGTCATTTTTAACCAGTAAGGAATCCAGAGTATTGTTTACCTAATTTGCTGCTGAATTTGAAGCATAAGGCTTAAACTGAAAGTCTGCTGCGTACTTTTCTTTCAAAACAAAAGCAAAGCAAATTTATATACTTGTAGACCACTCACCAGGATTTTCTATTTTTGCCGTCTTGTTTCAGATATGTTGCGGAGGGAGAGATCGGCAGCCAAGCTGTGACTGACCTTCTCTTCTTCAATGTCAGCGATGCCAGCGGCAACATCCTAGTCAAGCAGGTCTTTCCTGTCACCGTCACTCCAGTCAATGACCAGCCACCGTCTGTGACAGTGAACGGTGACGGCATCGTGGTATGGACAGCCTAATGGGACTTTGATTAGCGAGGACTTTATTTTAATCGAGTTGTATAGTGTTTAGGCAATTGCTGTTCTTCTATGGAAAGCCTGCTGGGGCATAATTAGCAAGGACGTATCTTCAAATATATTGTTCAATGTTTTAATAGTCAAGTCTGTTTTCTATAGACGGCCTTGTAGGAATTATTCAGCAAAGAATTTTTTTATGAGGTTTTGCAAGTTTTCAAGACAAGATCATGAATACGTTGATTTGTTGAAATTTTTGTTGAAATATTTGAATCATAGTTTACATTAAGTTACCATAAGTCAATCACAATATTTCCATTCACAGAATTGGTCACTTTACTGAAAGAAAAAGACGATAGAGTTACTTCTTGTAGGAATTACGAAAATCCATCAATCTTACAAATTTGACGGTGGCCAAAAGTAATTTTCCGATCATTTGTGTTGCAGTTGATCGAGGGAGCGCGGGAACTAATCTCCTCGGCCAATATCAGGGCAACAGACCTGGACACCAGACTAAGCCAACTGAAGGTCATCATCGATTCTGGGCCCACTTTCGGCTTCATCGAGAACATCAAGTCAGCGATTGGTTCCGAGCAGCCCAATGTCGACATCCCTGTCACAGACTTCCGGGTACAAGACCTGATCGACAACACCATCTACTATGTGAATAGTGTGCACCGGAACGTGGAGCCCACTCAAGATGGCTTCCTGTTCCATGTGTCGGACGAGGAGAACGAGTCGCCGCAGTATAGGTTCAACATCACCATAAAGGTAGGTCAGGGGTCAGAGTTCACAGAAATTGCAGGCAAGTCATATGATGATATTTTGTCAGATCCTGGCAAAAACAACCTTGAAATTTGACAGACATATCACAGCGTAAAGTAATAACTCTTCTCATTACCCAATTGGGAATGATTGCCCAATTCAGAATCGTGAGCATAAAGACGATTCGATTTTCTTGTGAATTATTGGCTCTAAACCAGAAGCATCCCTTTAATTGCGAATTATATTCCCTGACTGTCAATCTCTCCGCTCCATACCCATTCTCATTTGGTCTCCATTCCCAGTTGGTCAATGACGAGGAGCCCATGCTGATCACCGACACTCTCTTCCTGCCGGAGAACGAGGGCGCCGTCGTCACCAACGTCTCCATGTACGCCAGCGACCTGGACACGGGCGCGGAAGACCTGATCTTCACCGTCACCGAGTACCCGACCTGCGGCACGCTGCGCCGCCGCGAGTTCATCGGCGACCCGCTTCACTTCGGCCGCATCCTGACGGTCGGCGACACGTTCACATGGCAGGACGTGCTCAACGAGCTGGTGGTCTACGTGCACGACGGGTCGGAGGTCAAGACGGATTCCTTCAGCGTGTCGTTGACGGACGGGCTCTTTACGGTGCTCGGCACGGTGCCAGTTCAGATCGGACTGATTAATGATGAGACGCCGCGAATGGCCGTCAACAGGGGACTTCGAGTCCAAATTGGTGAGAAAATACACATCCTTGTAAACATTACACATTTCTTGTTTTGCAATTAAGCTGAAGTGTTTTCTGTAAGACTAGCAACATTCTATGTGAAAAAAATTCAAAGTCTTTAAAGTCATGTTCTAACATATTTGCAGTTGGAAAACCCAAACAAAAGCGTAACATTCAAATAAAGAATTTTAAAGCAAAATCAGGAGGGTATTAAAGATTTAAGATTCAACATCTTTATAAAAATGAAAAGTAAAAAAAAATTGTTGAATCTTGCTGAAATATCATCTGACAAGTTTTTTCAGACCACAATACCAGTTTATAACCGTTTTTTCCAAAATGGAAAAAAAAAATCATTCTCTTAATAAATAATAATTTGTTATTGCGTAACGAATATTTTTTTTATCAGAAAGCAGATGTGGAACCCCAGAACAAGTAAAACATTTCATTTTTCAACTCTTTTCTGTACATGCTCAGGTTCGACCACTCCGATCACCAACTACGATCTGCGAGCAGAAGACGTGGACTCAGAGAACATGCAGTTGATCTACACCTTGACGGCCGAGCCCACCGTGGGCCAGCTGCAGTTCCTCAGGAACGGAGAGAACGTGGTCCGACTGACGGTGAACGGGGCCATGTCCAGCTTCACGCAGACAGATATCGACAATGGTAGGCATCTTTCAAGCTCTGCTTATCTTGGCTTTGAGGGCACCTGAACATTTATAGCATAGTTATTGATTCAAGACTTTTTTTGTTAAGGAGGTTTGGTATATAAGGCCAAAAAAAAAAAATATTTGGTCTCTGGTCAGACCACAGTTCCGGAATTGACGTGGCCACGCGGCTTTTTTTTTTTTTTTTTTTTTTTTTTTTTTTTTCTTCAAGCTTGGATTGTACAGACAAGGTGGGTACTATTTTGCTTTTTTGGTGTCCTCATGTACATTGGTGTCCTCCATAATTTGCCTTGGTGCTTTCGATCATTTGCCTTGGTGCAATTTCCCATTCCTTGGTGCTCTTTGGTAAAAAAAAAATGAGGAGGTGCGGAAATAGAGGGCGCTGTTGGAGCTACCGCGGAACATTTTGGGGAAAAAAAAGATCGACGCGCATGATTAAAATCGATGCGCGCGCTGACCAGAGACCGACTTATTTTTGGGGGGCCTACGGTGTCCTTTCCAGGACATACTTACTCAGTAGTGCAGTGAGAATATCAGACCAACTAAAAATGCATTTTGAAGAACTGTTTCTAATTAGCATCTTTTAATTTGTGTAGTTCACTTTGATGTTAGGCGTTAAAGAAGTTTTATTTCTTGCTATCACTATCATAATTATTATCTACTTATATTTGACCTGTTTCAGGGTATATCCGCTACGTGCATGACCTCATAGAGGCAGCGGGTACAGCGGTCTTCAAGTTCACCCTGTCAGACCCAGAAGGCAATGAGCTCATCGACCAGTCATTCCTCATCACTGTCCTGGGTAAGTTCTTATCATTGCTTCCAGTTCTAGAACCCTTCGGTTATAGTCACTGCTAATTGAAAACTGCAAGCTTGTTATTAAGACACTTGCACTTGTCAACAGGAAAACTGGGTTGGAGTCCTTCATTACGTTATTCTTACGTAGCAAGCACAAACTCTTCACTTACAGTGAATAGAACTTCAGAATTGAGCTTGCTACACTTCCACTCTGACCTGTGCCTGATAACTGCCAAATGGAGGTGATTGCACAGTAATGAGCAGAAGCAGAAGGAACAGAAGCAGAACTTCACATTTCACAAAATATTGAATTTTAGAGTTCTACCAAGCTCATGTTTTTTCAACTGGTGGTACCATTATTTTGGCGATAGAGTCAGAAGCATATCTGTGTACCCAAAGAGGTGGTTGAAATTTTGCAGTGCAATTTTTTTTTTGGAATCTAGAAGACTGACCGAAGCGTGTATCCAAAAAGTGACATCAACATTGTAATCTCTTACATCTTTCTGATCCTCAACAGAGGACCGAGTCCCGCCCCAGGTCCTAGCCAACCGGGGCCTGACCTTAGCAGAAGGCACCTCCAAGGTCATCACCACGTCCATCCTGTCCTCGACAGACGTGGACAGCGTCCCGGGCAACCTGGTGTATTTCATCTCGGCGGGCCCTACCTACGGGCAGCTGGAGCACGTGGACATCCCTGGCGTGCCCATCACGGAGTTCACTCAGTCCGACCTGGCGTCCAAGACCGTCAGCTACATGCACACCAGCGAGGAAGAGGCCGTCATGGATAGTTTTACGTTCACGGTGGATGATGGGACCAATCAGGTAAGGCTGAGTTTTGAATTTACAAACAATTAGGATTTGGGACCAATCAGGTGAGGGGGTGCGTGCAATGTAATGAATAAATTCGGATTTGGGACCAATCGGGTGAGGGGGTGTGTGTAATGTAATGAATAAATTAGGATTTGGGACCAATCAGGTGAGACTATGAAGAAAATTGTATGAATAAATTAGGACTTGGGACCAGTAAGGTAAGACTGCGTTTAATCTGATGAATAAATTAGCATATAGGACCAATCATGTGAGGCTGTTCATTGAATATAATGAATAAATTTATGGAAACTATGAGGTAAGATTGTTCGTTAATTAATTGAACATTAATTGAATAAATAACTTATATTTCATGAAACCAGAGATAGTATTTATGTAAAACCTTGCAGCATTGAATGCCGACTTTAACTTTTATTTCCTATTGAATGGTGAATTTTTATTAGCATATCATATCCTTTAATCCTGTATATTTTTGTGTATTTTCATTTCTTCCACAGGTGACCCAAACCTTTTACATCACCCTGACCCCTGTGGACGACTCCCTCCCGTTACTTACCAATCTAGGCATGCGGGTCCAGGAAGGCGTGAGAAAATCCATCACAGAGTTTGAGCTCAAAGCTGAGGACATGGACACTGTGGTGAGTAGCAGAGTTGGAGTTGCAATCAGGTCGGCAAAAGTGAATCACAAGTCAGTCACAAAGTCACAAGTCAATCACAAGTCAATCATAAGTCTATTACGAGTCAGTTACAAGTCAATTTGAGGACACAGCGATGAGTAACGAAGTCCGGATCCCATGTCAGAGTTGCAATCAGGGTTCTCAAAAAGCAATCACAAGTCGGTCACAAATCAATTACAAGTCAGTCACAAGTCAACCACATTTCAATCACCTGTCAATCACAAGTCCGTCACATGTCGGTCGTTAATCAATGACAGGTAAGTCACTAGTTAATAAAAAGTCAATTACAAGTCAATCGAAGGTCAAACACATTTCAATCACAAGTTAATCACAAGTCAATCACAAGTCAACCACATTGCAATCACAAGTCCATCACATGTCGATCACAAGTCCATTACAAGTCAATCACAAGTCCATCACAACTCAATCACAAGTCCATCACAAGTCCACCACAACTCAATCACAAGTCCATCACAAGTCAATCACAAGTCCATCACAAGTCCATCACCACTCAATCACAAGTCAATCACAAGTCCATCACAAGTCAATCTCAAGTCAATCTCAAGTCAATCTCAAGTCCATCACAAGTCAATCTCAAGTCCATCACAAGTCAATCACAAGTCAATCACAAGTCAATCATAAGTGAATAATAAGTCAATCACAAGACTCAAAAATTAACCCAAAGTCATCCAGTCTTAAGTCCTGAGACAAGCTGTTTAAATGAACTGTGACAAAGGCATTAATTTCATGTTGTTCATTTCTTGTTACCTGTGAATTGATTTGGGATTCTACACACCGCCACAAAACTAAGTGTGTATAATCAATATCATCAATAAAGTATTTTCATAATTCATTCTCACAGGCTGACTCCATCATGTTCACCATCTTCCGTCCGCCGCGCCACGGCACCATCGACTACACCCCCGACGAGATCCGCTACGCTCCGACGTTAACCTTCTCCATGGCCGACGTCTACGAGAATCGCATCAGCTACAACCACGACGGCAGCAACACGCTACAGGACAGCTTTGAGTTCACCGTGTCTGATGGCACCAATCCGCTCTTCACCATCGAGCAGGGCACCGAGCTCATCACGACATCGGCGCAGCAGGTAAAGAGTGGCTCATGCTTAAACGCAAATGCAAACCTTAACGTGAACATGAGCACAGATGAATACAAATGCGAACTTGAATGGGAATCTGACTGTTTTTCACTTTGTAAACTTACAAAAAAATGCATACTCATCATACAAATAAACACAATTTTATGTTTGTGGCATCACAGGAAATTTTGAGCTGCGATTCCGAATAAACTTTGTGATTTTTTTTGCACAAAATGTTCCCACTGCTAATTCACAAAAACTTATTCTCGACATGCATGCAAAAGTGATCACAAATTTTTCACAGCAATTATTTTGTCAGTTGTTTCAATACTGGCAAATGTCACTTTTGGGAATGTTTAATGATAAACATTTTGATATAAAGAGACCCCGTTCTAGACAGACAGAATTGACATCTAAAAATACTCAAAAGTTAATCCCTGTCAATTTGTTGTCCTCTTCCAGACGTTTCAGATAACCGTCCTGCCCGTGGATGACGGCACGCCAAGAATCATCACAAACTTGGGCCTATCCTACCTGGAATATCTCGACGATCAGGTAAGTCTTTTTTTTCTGTCACATTTGGAAGGGTTTTGGTAACTCTTAAATAACTTTATGGGTACAAAACTACTTCCAAAGATTCAAGGGATGGATTTTCAATCATACAAGTTCATTGTTACAGAATATGAAGAATATCAATATGAATATGAATGGACTAATGGGGGGGGGGGAACTACAATTAGAAGACATTAACCCTCCTATGAAAACATACATTTTGTGCCAAGTTGTCCTTTCAGTCAAAATCAAACAAGTGACTGCTTTGAACAGCTAAGAATTCCCAGCCTACATAAAGCAGGATTGACTGCCTTGGACTGTTTAAGTAACTTGATACAGCTATGCTTTGACTCCCGGTGAGTGATAAAACAGCTGTGACCACAACTTGCCTGCTTTGTCTGTTGACCCAGTTTGACTAAATTAAAAAAATTGTTTACATTTTCTAAACAACAATATTTTGTCCTCCTTGGTAGGCCATGAGTATCATCACTCGCAAGAACCTAGCCACCATGGATGCCGACACGGTCGATAACCTCCTGGTCTACTCTGTCAGGACCCAACCCAACCATGGCATCCTGGAGTCAACCCTGACCCCCGGCACGCCTATCACCGTATTCACACAGCGTAAGTATAAAGAACGGCTGACCATAATCCATTAGCACCTGTACTACATATACATGTTATTACATTGTATTTATTCAGTGATAATCAATAACACCATAGAGTGCTCGAGCAGTTTTGGGCGATACAGGGAGTAATAGGCAGGGCGGTTTTGGGTGATACAGGAACTAGTAGGCTAAACATCATCAATAGCTTATAATTGAGCAAATGGCATCAAACTTCTTTTTAGGGCATACGTCGTAGTTTTACTCTAAAGCACTTTCTGTGTTTTTCCTAATTGTGGAACATTTGCTGTACACATTTTTTGCCAATTTCATGGACTTGCTTATTTCCAAAATCTGCTAAGTGTAAAAATTATTGACTTACCAGATGCAGGTTACCAGCTAAAATGTTATAAGATGAACATCACTTTTAACTGACTCTCAGCTGATTTTTGCTTAGTTGCTTATCAGTATTTTCTGCTTAACAGCTCAATTAAATCAGACCCTGACACCAACAGTGCATCAATGAATAATTCATGAGATGCTTTCAAAATTTTGACCACTCAACAGAGGACGTCAACAACGGCATCATCCGCTACACCCTGGACCCCGGCGCGGAATCGGAGCTCGCCGACCGCTTCGTCTTCGACGTCTCCGACAGCAAACCTAACACGGTGTCGGGCACCGTCTTCCGTATCCGATGGTCTCTGATCCACCTGGAGAAGGGTTTCTATAATGTCAGCGAGACGGCCGGAGTTATCAGCGTTCCGGTCAAGAGGAGCGGCAATCTTAATCAGGTAGGGGGAAACAAATATTTAGGGAAATGCTGTCAGGTGTTGTAAGGATTGTGTGCAACTTTGACAAGCCATGGCACAGCAATAAGCTAGAACTGTTTCCAACTTTATAAAGATTTCATGATTTCATTTCCAAAGTAAACAATTTGCCATTGTGTGCAAAAGCATAGTGGACACCATCAAAACTTAACAAAAATTGTTGTGTTGCCCCAATTTTTACAGCAGTTTTACATGTATCTGCTCCGATTTCTTTGCAAAGCGTTTAGTCATCTTCCTTTTTGATTGTATAAAAAATTGAAGATTTGATTAAAGATGCTCCCATAGACTTAGCGGGTATGTATGTATGTCCCAATCTTAACATTTTAAAACCTTGATGTGTGCATGCACAGCCTTGAATACTAACTGTGTTTTTTTTTCTGAAGGAGACTTTAACACTCTACTCATGAGAGAGTTCTATTCACTTAAACCCAAAGTTTCCTGGGGGATGACAATTTAAACGTCAATCTTCAGATAAGCTAGATCTTGTCACAAATTCTTACATAGATCATTACCTTTAGTTAGCCATTCAAAGTTTACAGGTCCATTCCAACACTATCTGCCCAAACAACACATTGCTCCACACTTAACTCTGATTTCCATCAACTCCCATTACCAGTACGCCATAGTGCTGTGCCGCACCGAGCCCGGCTACGCCACCTCTGTGGGCAGCCAGCCCGGCCAGAGAGACTACATCGAGCAGGCCGTCCAGGTCCAGTTTGAGGAACGCGAGGACACCAAGCTCTGTACCATCGTGATCAACGACGACACCGTGTTTGAAGGGCTGGAGGATTTCATTGTGGAGCTGAGCATGCCGGCCTACGCCTTGCTGGGGGAACCCAGGGCCGCGCTGGTCAATATCGTGGACGATGAGGATGGTAAGAATGGATGAAATGATTTGATTTTATTGATAGATTTGAGTTGTCATCTTGATTTTATTGATTTAACTTTTCCATATTTATCATATTGATTCCAATTTTACAAGCCTTTGCCAATTTTGCACAGTTGCCTTCACAATTGGCAACTTGACAAATATTTGTTATAAAGGGTTTGACTTCCGTTGAAAAATCCAAACATTAAGCCCAATTTTATGAAATAACAGTTGTAATGTTGTAGTAACTTCTTTTTCCATCCTACAGAGCCAAGCATTGAGTTTGATCAGTTGGTTTTCCATGTCAACGAGAGTTCGGGATTCCTCTTCGCTCCAGTCTCCAGGAAAGGTGCGTATTCCCCTGAACGTAAACAAAATTCCCCTAGTCAAAATCTTTTTATGCCAGTATTTGTTTCTAGTTATTGAGATAACTAGTGACGAAATATGCCATCTCAAAGAGAATAGAGCATCATTCAAGAATTTAAAAAAAAATGACTTGTAGAATCTTTTCATTTCAAAATAGTTCTTTCAAAAGCACTTTTCTTCTACAAGATTGTACCAGGACCCAATGTACCTGGAAAATCCAGGACCCACTGTACCAGATCTTAAGTAGATGAAAGCTGTTGACTTTTAACTGCTTTTTCACGCTTCTCTTTCCCTGACTGAAAAAAAACACAATTACATGCTTCTCTCTGTTTCTCCCCACCCCCTTCCCTTTATCCGACCTTTACAGGAGACTCCAGTCGTAGTGTCTCAGCGATATGCTTCACCATCCCCGGCACAGCCACCGGCAGCAGCCTGACAGGCCTAGAGTCTGGATCGGACTACAAGAGCAGGGGAATGGACGGGGAGTTTAGGGTGGTGTTCCCTGCCGGTGTCAACAAGGCTTCCTGTGATGTCAAGGTCTGTAGCTCTTTGAGGTCAACCTCTTTTAGGGGCGTGGCATGAGGGGGCTGACACCCCTCACCCTCCCTTCAATTTTTTGTTCTTGTTGGCAAAACTGTCATTTTTGGCCACCAAATTGTGAAACTTTTTGCAGATACCATGAGCAGCGCCACCGATTGTCAGATAATGTCCAGCCGTGTCAACTTTGAACAGCGCCCCCTGTTGTCAGATGATTTCCAGCCTTCCCTGCCCAAGTGTTGGTCAATTTTCTGTTCATGACCACAAAATGTTGTCAACCCATCAGTAATTGTCACATCTCGAAAGCCTACATCTCATAATCCGGATTGTGTTATTGACAGAAGTTTCAATTTTTGTGTTAGTGAAATTTAAATTCATCAGCAGAGTTTGCATCCTTTTTTTGTATTTTTAGCACTGCATAATTCCCTTTCAAATGCGAAGCCAAAATAGCACTGCATCGGTGAAGGGCTAAGTGCAGAAGAGATAGTGTCAGATTCAAATTTTTTTTATATTAATTCGTTGATCCCAGATTATCGACGATGCAATGTTTGAAGCAGAAGAGCAGTTTGAGATTGCCTTAGCCATGCCGTCGCTATGGAGCAAACTAGGGAAGAAATCCAGGGCAACTGTCGTCATCAACGGACCCAATGATGGTAAGTTATCTCCATTAGTATGTGGCGATAAGCCATTATGTGCAACGTTACTGAGAAAATAGTTTCAGTGTCAGAGAATGCTGTTATGACCTGTAACCAAACACTAGTCAAGTCAGAATAACATTTGGAAGTTTAGATGTTTTGAAAAGAGCTGTGTAATAGTGTACGTTGAGGGTTGTCATTATAGGTCTTTGGGAATTTAGAAACCACAGAACTTAGGGGAGAATGTAAAATTGTACAGGCGGTAGGTTCAAGTTTACTTGAAGCTTTTACAAGGTTTTACTGGGTATCTTGGGATTAAACCTTGAGTAACCGCATGCTTAAATTTGCATTTCTCCCTTACCAAAGACAATGTAAAAGATTTGAGTCAATGATTTGCTGTTCTCAAGGATTAACAAGCAAGTTAATGAGGTAACACACTGAGTACACAGTGTTTATACGTCGGTGAAGGGCAAAACCTAATTTGATTTACATCACCCCGACGCAAAAATTCCATCTTATAAACAAGCAAGTTATGGTTTGCAAGCTTACTCCACTCTACATCTACTTAAACAAACTAATATCCTACCAAGAAAAATATTCAGCACACATTTTCAACCTGTTCACAAAATGTCCTAGAGTATGTCTCATAACATTCGTGCCTTCTTCTCGACAGAATCTGACATCTTTCTGAGCCGCAACACCTACATCTTCAACGAGAACGCCGGCACCGTGGAGATTGAGGTCATGCGTCATGGCAGCGACCTCTCCCATACCTCCATGGTCTGGTGCTCGGTCAAGCCTAGCGACCCACCCTCCGCCACCCAGGGGTTAGACTTCGTGCCCAGTACCAGTCAGCTCACGTTCGGCCCGCAGCAAACTGTCGAGGTACATACCAACCCCTAATCTAACCTCCAGATCCTAGAAACTTCACCTAGAGATTCTGGAGGATTTTGTAGGATTTGAAGGATTTTGTAGGATTTGAAGGATTTTGTAGGATTTGAAGGATTTTGTAGGATTTGAAGGATTTTGTAGGATTTGAAGGATTTTGTAGGATTTGAAGGATTTTGTAGGATTTCAAAGATTTTGTAGGATTTCAAAGATTTTGTAGGATTGAGGTGGGTAGAGCCAAGCTACCATTACTTTACACGGGGTGGTTTTGGGTGCTACAGTGACACAAGGGTTAACTCCCCTTGTGTACAGCCATGTTTATACAGTTATTGTCAATGTGAGTTAAATTCATCCTCCCTGTGATCATGGTGAACCCGAAATGTTTTGGAAGATTCTCTAGGAACGAGGATGGTAGGGCATTATCCAGCCACAGTTCCAGGAAAACTATGGGATCGTTACAAATTGAAGTGAAAGGTTAACCGTTAACAGCCATTTTTCAAAAGTTGTTCGGAAGCAAGTGTATTTTAAAGCTCAGGCACCAGTTCTTAGAAATTAGATGAAACCCCCACCTCCCGAAATAATCATCCCCCGTTGATTGTCTTTAGTCCTTCCATGTGCCATGTTTGACTGACTTTCATGTGTTTCATCGTCCAATCAGGTTTGTCGGGTGACGATCCTCGACGACGCCGCCAGTCCACAGATGGAGGGCAACGAGACTTTCATCGTCTATCTGAGTTCAGCCATGGGATCGGGTCTAGCCACGCCCTACGAAGCCGTTGTGGTCATCAATGACACGGTGGACGACAGTAAGTCAAGAACGTTTGCCGTTAGAAGCTATTGACATAAAAATTTAAATTTTTTTAATGAATCGGAACGATATGTGCTTTCTCCAACTAACGATATTTTTTAATCGGTTGTGTTCGGACAGTTCCCACAATGCAGTTCTCCATCACCGAGGTCAAGGTTGAGGAGCACCATGGCCTGGTGCACATTCCCATCGTCCGCAGCGGGGACCTGTCCTTCGAGTCCTCGGTCCGCTGCTTCACGCGGCAACGCAGCGCCTCGGTCATGATGGACTACGACGAGCGACGCAACACGGACGAGTTCAGGGTCGTCTTCTCTCCCGGGGAGAAGGTTGGTGTAGACAAAAAAGTAAAAGTGTGGAAGTTACTAAGCACAAACCAAATGTGCTTAGCAATAGCAGGTTACCAGCCAGAATGTCATGTGATTTATATTTGGTTGTGACCGGCACCCAGCCGTATTTCACTTAGCAAGTCACTTTCTAAGCAATATTTTCTGTTGCTTCTCAATGAAATGATACCCTGCTCTGTAATTTAAACTCATTCACTCACATTATGCGGGTTTTTTGCAAACCTCGGTTGTGCCTCCAGCTCTGGCTAACCCTAACCCTAACTCCAGCTCAATATAGGTTCACACTCTGTTTCAAAAACATCAAGTCCCTTGATCTTAAACCAAATGTGAAGTGTTGTTATTTGGTTTGAACACGAAAGGCTTCAAAACGATTTTGGAGCCGGTGCTGCAAAGCCACTGCTGAATATTTTGTTCTGATATTTTGGTGCAGATGACATCCCAAATTACAAGTCACAAATAAGGAATTAAGACAAATTGAAAAGTGAAAAATAAAAGAGACCTTAACCCAACAAGTAATGACTGACTTCTTTGTTGTCTTGATTTCAGGTCAAGAACTGCACGGTCGGCATCGTGGATGACCAGACATACGAAGCAGATGAGCAATTCCAGGTCCGCCTGGGTGATCCCATCGGCAGCGAGTTCTGCCATGCACAGATCGGCAAGAACAGCTCCACCTTGATAACCATCCTGGACACGGAAGATGGTGAGTTGATTTTGTAAAACCCTCCGCCTGTAAGATTTCTCAATTTCTCAATAGCTCATTTGGTCTGTATTGACAAGCCGCTTCCAGTAGATTTCCAGTTGTACAGTGTTAGTTTTGCATTGGGACTTCAGGCACGCTGGGTTATCATTGGTACTGTAGTGGATTGCTGCGTCTTACTTTCTTGAATTCTCTCTTGGGATTTACACTCTAAGAAATCATATTTTTGAGAAATTAACGATGGACGCTGAATGACATTAGCACATACACAGAGATAAACTCACTGACTTTTTTTCACCATATTTATCACAAAAAGCAGATACGCTCAGGCTAAATTTGTTCTACATGTATAAGTACATTCTAAGTTAGGGAAGGATTTAGACATTCAGTTAGTGACAGCTTAAACTTGATGAAAGCCTTAAGTTTTCCTGAGCATTTCTAGTACAAATCAGCCTCTCAACATATGCCATCATAAAATGGACTTATTAAAATACCACCACCTTTTTTGACTTCTAAAGTGTGAAACCTCAAATCTGTAGATTATAAGACTCAAAAGGAAAGCATCTTTGCGACAAATGTTCTCGCAAGAACTCCGTCATTTCAGTAAATTGTGTCAATTTGATTAATTTTTCCTCCTCAGCTCCCACCATACAGTTTGAGCGCGTCGCCTACAGCGTGCGAGAGCCCAGCGACCCCGAGGAGATGTCGGTGGTGACCCTGACCGTGATTCGAACCGGAGACCAGAACCGCACCTCCAGGGTTCGAACCAGTACCCGGGACGGCTCGGCCAAGTCTGGGGTGGACTACGAAGCGCACTTCAAAGTTATCCGCTTCCGGCCGGGTACATACTGAAAATTTGTATTTTATTATTTATTTTTTTAGAGGAGACGAATTATTAGTTGGAACGAATATAATAAATCTCGTTACGAAAAATATTTTTAAGCATATTAACTTGATAACTACATCAGCTGGGGACCAGTCACAAGCAATATACATTGTGTGACGTTTTGGCTGGTAACCGCTTTTTTTTGCCAGGCAGAAGTTTTTGGACTTAAGATTTTTTTGCTTCATCTTCGTGAACTCCTTTCGTGAAATTTGACCATTCAGGGAAACTAGGGCGGATTTTATGGAACTGTAAAGCACAGTAATATTAGTAATATCTTCAGCTCAGCAACTCTAGGAAAAAGACAATTTTTTTCTACCTGTTATCTGACTGTGCTGTATTTCTGGCGTACCCAGGCGTCCGTTCCGTGGACATCGATATCAACATCATGTACAACAAGGACATGGAATGGCACGAGACCTTCAGCGTGGTGCTCGGCCCCGATGATCCGGTCAATGCCCTCCTAGGACCCATCACCACGGCAACTGTCACCATCATTGATGAGGAGGCGGCGGGAAGCGTGGTCCTCCCCTCCACCCCACTGGTAGGTCTTATTTTGAAGGCGCAGAGACAATCAAAACATTCAGACACAGAAAGTATTAAGCGCAGTGCCATGACAGAGCTAGGCTATAGACTCATTCCAAAGTACCCCCTCTATGGTTACAAAAGTGAGAGCTAGGAAGGACTCTTTTGCCTGACACTCATACAAGGAAGCTACAAGTTGTGCATGTTCAGATTGTAACTGATCCTGTGTACTTTGTGCAATACACGCTTGATTCAGTGCACATACGCAGTGCATCTAACACACAGAGCTCTCATGAGTGGCCACAGAACACCATCTACCGTGCATGCACGAAAGATCTTTCCCCACTTTAGCTATGGATCGGGACGAAATTCATCTCTCTGACTCCATACCTCAGCTTGGCCGTTCAGCTAGGCCCTGCTCTGTGCCCCACTCATCATTCTTCATTGTTCACACATCCAAAGTGTGGAACTCTCTACCACGATCGTGCTTCCCACTATCCAACAACCCACAGTCTTCCAAGAGCTTCATCAACAAGCTCCATCTATATCCTAGTCTCATTTCCTTTGTCAAGCATCCTGTTGGACCAAAGGTGCTTCCTGCTTTTTTTTGCATCATCCACAAAACAAAAAAGAGTAAATACACCAGTAGGCTGTGCAAGTGTTTGCATTATACGTTACATGTAATCATATGAAGGGTATTTTCCATTAATATATAGCACATTGCTGAAATCGTTGTATTTGTTTCTTTCTCAGGTTGTGTCGTTGATGGACTATGATGACATTGCAGATAGTCTGGATCATGACCCTTCCCCTGGCTATCCACTCATCTGTGTTACTGTAAGTATTGCTCACTTCACTGGATTAAAAAAAAATAGATAAATAGGGTTTGGTCTTCGTCGTCTTCTGGTTTCTTTGTTTTTACTGACAGATATTTGATATGTGATATAACTTCTAACTTTTGAGATATTTGTTGACATTTTACATGCTAACAAGCGTGGCAAAAGTTGAAATTTCCAAGGTAAGATTGACTTACGGAGAAGGTACTTTTAGGTTATGTTTTGACCACAGGTTTTATGCATGGCTGTTGGTAAAATTGTGTGTTTGATTAACAGTTGTATAAAGGCCGCAATTGTATCAGTCACATCTAAGCATTTACAGTTTTCTCGTTTTTCATTTCCCAAACTATGCGAAAATCATTGCTTTATGAAAACACTCAAAACAGTTTATTATTTGTCAACATTTGTACAAATGGGATAAGTTTTGTATGGTGTATGCATGCTGTACTTGTATGGTGTTTGGTAACTACTTGGTGAATGGAGCTATAATGTTGTTCAATTCCCGGACCATAATTTCGATCGTTTGTTGGGTTTTTTTTTTTTCAATGTTAAACAGTCATATTTATTACATGCCCTGGTGGTGCTTCATGTATGGCCATAGCTTGCATGTTAGTTGTTGGTTTCTTGCTGGAGTTATGCAGTTTGACGTTTTGATGCAAGTTTTGACTGAAATCACTGATTGTTATTTTATTTATTTATTATTTGTACAGCCATGTGATCCTCATTACCCTGACTACTCCATGACCCGGGCCATCTGCGAAGAAGCGGGCATCAACATCTCCAACATCCACTACAATTGGGAGGTTGCCATGCCAACGGATGCCGAGGGCTCCAGGGCGCCCTTTGAGCGCATCGTGGACTACACCCCCTTCACCACCCCGAACGAGAAGGTCCTGGATGGTGTGTATTTCAGCCGGCGATTCCACGTCCGCTGCATCGCCCAACCGTACGATAAGAGCGGCCGTCCCGGCGTGCCGCTGCGCAGCAACATCGTCGTCATCGGTACGGACAACGGCATCTGCCACACCCCGGTGACGGCAGGCGTGTCACGCGGCATCCAGGCCCAGTCCTTCATCGCCAACTTGCGCTACGTCGACCCGACAGACCAGGACCACCCCAACACCTTACACGTCTCTGTTGAGATCCCACATCAGGACGGCATGCTTCCTGCCATCTCCACCATCCCCATCCACAACATCCGACTGCTGCTCACGGAACCCATCTACCGACAGCAGCACATCTGCTCCAGCCTCATCAACAACCCAAGCTGGGGCGGGCTGACCGACTACAGCTTCCTTACCCCAGTAGACCTGGACTCCCTAGTCCTAGTCCCAGGCAACAACTACCCCTATCAGTTTGACCCCGAACTCCGCGGACAAAAAGCTCTCAATCTCTATCAGCACCTCAACCTCAAGAGTTGTACCTGGACCTTCGACGCTTACTACCACATGACCGAGCTGATTGATCTTTGTGGAGGCGCTGTCACCACCGACTTTCAGGTCCGTGACACCGACGAGAGTTATCTGACCGTCACAGTGCCGCTGTATGTCTCCTACATCTACGTCACAGCGCCGACTGGTTGGGGAGCACTGGACCACAGGACAGAGATGGAATTCTCATTCTTTTACAAGTGAGTGTTGTTTCATTAAAACCAGAAAATAATCTTCCTGGCAAACTTTGGTGCTTAGCAACTGATAAAGGTATCCCCAAACTGTGTACCTGATAACCTTATAACTCTCAGTTCTTTTAAGTCCTAAAGAAAATAAGGCAAGCTTAAATTTTGTGATGGAAGTGAATACGAATATGGTAACGGCAAAAGTGACAATGAAACTTCAGCTGTTGAAGCCATGAAATTTGTTTTGTATTCCTATAAGGTGACGTATATAAACCAGCTCATACTTTACATCTGAAACTCTATGTGAGTCTTACAGTTATTCTTTGAAATTTTTTTAAAAGAAATTTCAAACTTATTTACAAATTGGTATTTTAATCATTTATTTTCTTAATAATGTAAATATCTCACCCAAACCTTGAGGAGAATGTTCATTGATTGTCAGTCCCATACTCAATTATTGTGACAAGAAAAGCAAAATATTTCAACCTTTTTCTTTTCTCAAATGTCCTCAGGACAATCCTTTGGAGGACTGGTCTAGAGACAGACAGCGTGCTGAGCGGTCGCCTGGAGGTGCTCAGGATTAGAATCGGTGACCGTGGAAACCTCATCATTGACTTCAAGACAACTACTAAGTACAGAGGTCAGTCTTAAAGAGGCAGAATGCTTTTGTGAGCTTCATAGTTTTGTAAGATTTTGGCACACATGTCTTGACAAATTAAAAGTGACGTTTTTGGGGGGTTTTACAGTCTTTAAGCGGATACAAAAATATGCAATTTTTTTCCCAAAGATGTATTGTACTCAGTAAGAATCCTGAGTCACTAACTTCCTGTTCAACATCTTGTAATTTTGTTCAACCCCCCAGGACTATTTGTTATGGACCATCACACCCTACCAGACTACGTATCCCGGGTTGTACCACCCACTGAATTAGGGGTGGGATTCACGCTGGAGCAGCTGTGGAGCGAGGGGACGTTTGACAGCCCCCAGCAGCTATGGAGAGCCACAAGCACATACAACTTGAAGGTATTTGTTTCTGAACTCCCTGGGATTCACGCCTTAGTGAATATACAGCTTTTTCTTTTCTAATTATCACAATCGTTGTATTTATTGTATTTATCCCCAGATGAATTCTGTGAATTACACAGTGCTTGGGTATTTGTTAATGGTATAAGGAAGGGTCTTGATGGACCGGTCATGTTCGCAGAATGGATGATGGCTGCCTCCCTAAGGACATCTTCTACGGTGAACTGGCTGATGCCCCACGTCCTCGTGGTCGTCCCAGGTTGCGCTTCAAGGACGTCCTTAAGCGAGCCTTTGACATTCCGCATGATACGTGAGAGACTGTTGCACTCTGCTATCCACTCAGGGCATTCAGTCTCTTCACAGACCTACATTGACGATTGAAAGACGTCGAACTCAATGTCGTTTACGACGGGACAGGCCAAGATGATGATGATGAAGGAGTAACAGACAGTTTGGGTTAATCCATTGACATTTTTTGGTTGTATTTTTGTTCCAGGACTACTCCGGTGATTACGTTATCGAGCTTCTGCCTTGTACCGTCACACCTACCCAGTCATTCAACCTCATGCCTGACATGCCGGTAGTCTGCACGGCACATCCACCAGAAAAGTAAGTCATAACCCCCCAAAAAACCTACAAGAAGTTTTGTAGACCACATGTGTGACTGTCAGAAACTTCTTCAAACAAGAGTTCGTTTTGAAAGAACTGGTCGTATGAGTGTCAGCATCAACACAGAGGAGACTGATATTCACACGATGTCACCCATAAATCTTGTTTTGGTTTGCACTCTGCAGAGCAAAAATTGAAATCAAACTTTAAAAAAAGAAAAATTTCTTTTAAACTGTGCCAGAAAACCAGTACGGGCACGCTACTTTACCTATGATTTCCACTCTTTTTGAGGAGACATCTTTGTAAACAGAACGTCATTAAAGCACAGAAAGACAAGCTTTATTGCTTGGAATATTTCCTCTACCTTTTTCGGGAAAAAACAAAATTAGGTTCGTTTACTAAACAAAGGTTTTCTTGTGTTATTTTTTTCATCCAGGTTTGTGGTTCCCATAGCCTTCCAGCAGACCAACCGCCCAGTACCTGTAGTCTACTCACTGAGCACAGAGTTCCACCTGATGAACAACGAGAAGGTCTTCCTGATGAATCCCAACGATGCTGCGATGAGCTTACAGGAGATGGACTTCAAAGGGTCCTTCGCAAAAGGTGAAACTCCCACCCCGCACTCTTGCCAGTTTCGATCTATCCCTCTGCTTACAGTGAGCTAGTATAGCCACTCAAATTGGTGTCTGCAAGAGACAATGAAATTGAAAAAAATAACTGGTTTCTCGAATATTGTTTTTCAAACATCATAGTGCTTTTTAAAAATGTTATTAAATCTTATGAAAAGTCTAATAAAGGTAATTAATTCCATGTACAAACACTAAAGTTATAATCACCTTTCTAGGGCCAAGTTAAAAAAAGTCTGTATCACAGAATTGAGCACAGAACAGATTTGTTTATCAAAAACTGGTTAGCTGACAAAAATGTTACATGTAGGTACTCCCCTGATTTTTAGCTTAAAACATAAATTCATTAAGCAATCTGCTAAGTGGACTTATGAAGTCAGTACTGCTTGTAAACTTTAACACTGAGGTTTGGAAAGGCACACTAAATTGGATTTTGTTTCCCCGAAAATATTTTACGTGTAAAAAAGACTGACACAACTGAAAAATCAAATCAATGCGGTCTGTTTTGCTAGCATATTAAGTCAAGTCTAGCATAGTACAATTTCCTGCCTAGTACTCCTTGAAAATCTGGCACGCTGCAGAAATACCAGAAATACCAGAACTACAAGAAACAAACTGCCAATTATCGATATCTTCTTTGTCTCTCTGTCTCAGGACAAAAAATCTTTGGTCGCGTTCTGTGGAACCCTGACCAGGACTTGGACCGTGCCTACAAGCTGCAGATTGAGAAGCTTTACCTGTGCACCGGGGCGGACGGGTTTGTTCCTTACTATGACCCCGGCGGTCAGATCTACAAGGAAGGACCGCAGTTTGGCTGTATGCAGGAGAACCGCAAGCTCAAGCATCGCTTCTTGATTCTGGTAAGATGGCCCCTGATTCGGGTCTAGAAATGCATGTAAAATACCTTCCTTAATAATAATAATGCATATTTAGAAAGGGAACGTATTCACCATTATTGGTGCTCAACGCTCTACATCATTATTACCGTGCTCATTGGGCCAATGAAACATCCCAAAAAGGCACCAAAAATATGCCTTATGTACGAAATCCTTTGGGCAAACAGCATTGTACACTTAGTGAAGTTTGGTCACTAAGGACTTTTTCCGACTTTTTCTGACTGGAAGTTCCACTTTGAGTGTCAAGTGTGAAATGTTCGGGATGAGTCGTAACTCACGTGTTGAGTTCTACTCTTAGTCATCAGTTTGAGTTATTAGTTTGAATGCCACCCAACAAACTTGAAGTTGAGTTTAACTGGAACCCATCTTGGATTTTGAAGTCGTCAATGTTGAAAATTGCTGGTTTTAAATTCTAACAAAATTTAATACTTTGTATAAGACCATGAAAATTATACTTCATATTATCCCATAAAAAAAAAATCATTATAAGCAGATCATGCCAAAATCATGTTTATTTAAATGAGATATTTGTCCATTTTGTTTTGCTCCCAGGATCGTGGCGATACAGACGCCGTCACCTCAACTTTCAACGATGTGCCATTCGCCGCCGACTTTGCCGGCAACACTGAAAACTACAACGCTGTCAGCAACATGCCCGGTGTGGACGGTTTCACCATGCTGGTCGATCCATTGTACAAGGTATACATACACTGTGCTTTTATATCCCTAATGTCTCCGTGCCTGAACTATAGAGGGCGCTGTTTGCTCTACACACCTGAACTATAGAGGGCGCTGTTTGCTCTACCCATAAATGTAAATAGTGTAGTAATTGAGTGAATGTTTATTACCGTATCTTACCACCCCAGGTCCAGTCTGGTCATCAGTGGTACATGCAGGTCATCTACACCATCGGCCCGTCTGACACCCTGCCTCGTTTCCGCCGATCCCTCCTGGCTTCCGTCTCCAACCCCCTCAACCCAAACAGCCACAAGCCCAGCTCCCACCACAACGGCACAAACATCAAATCCCTGCTCCTGAACGACAAGGATTTCAGCACGGATCCCGAGGGTAACGCTTCGGGGACGGTCGTTCCGGCCGTGGTGGGCTTGTTGGTGTTCATCGCCCTCCTGTCGGTCATCATCATCCTGGTCGCTAAGCGACGGCGGCGGAGACGGGAGGAATCGAACATCAAGAGGCACCGGAAACGGCGGACGGCGGGCGGCAAGCCGGCCGCCAAAGTGACCAATCAGGACGCGGCGTTTGCTAAATCCAAACCCAAGAACCCATCCCCGCCAAAGCTTCAGGAAATCGAGATGGACATGCAGAAAATGGTGAAAGTCAGCACGCTGGATCTACACAAAACGCAGAACTTAAACACGCCGGCCGTCAAGATAAAAAAGGTTAACCTTCAGGTCCGGTTGACCGATAGCGGCGTAGAGGGCGGCACAGAAGTTTGATGGCTCGTCCAAACCGTGTACATTTTTAGTAGTCCTGGTTTTTGTTGCATTATTTAAAAAACCAAAATATGAAACAAGGGTGCTTTAAATGTTATTTTTTTTTATCAGTACAGTTTTTTTATTGTGTCGTCAACTCAAGAAAAACATTTGACTCTTTTTAAAGAATGTATGCCGCAGGAGTTTAAAAGAGAGAGAGAAGGTGGCTTTTTCTACCTCTACGTTGTTTTGTTTTTTGTGTTTATATTATTTGCAAGCTTATGTTGTTGTTTATGTATCACTGCAGATTGTAAGTAGATGCCTATTTATGCTTATTATGCTTAAAGCTTATCGGTAGCAAGTTTGTTTCTCCCAAAATAGTAAATATCGAAACTACTTGCTGCCGTTTGTAAAAAATTGAAGGGAAAAAAAAAAGAAAAAAAAAGTGGTCTTCCTTGCTTTTGCTGGTGAGTTTAGATCAGACGTTATTGCTATTCAACTAATTTAAATGCATCATGCCTAAACATAATTAGAAAGATCAAAATTTAATTGTGCAGTATTTTTAGGTTTTTAAATGTAAACATGACATGATCTAATGGTGAAATGAATAATTATTGTATGCTATACTTGTAGAACTTATTTATATTATAACAGTTTTTAAAGTTAGGATGGTTTTGTTTTTGGCTTCTTTTTTTTAGAATTAAATGTTTACCATGTTTACATAATGGTTTATTCTTACATCAGTATGAGGTGAAATACCTATGGGTGGTGTATTTTTCCCCGAAATATTGATAAACTAGTTTTAAAAAAAAGTGAATCAAACAACAAAAAATTTGAAAGAAATACAGAGACAAATATATATATCTAGAGTATACCCCATCCCCTTCAAAAAAAACAAAATCAAATTTTAGGGCTTATTGACATTTATATCAAATATTTCAAACAGTTTGTGAAATTTTCTCAGAATAATAATTAAAAAGGAACTCCTAAAAACTTCTTCAAATATTAAAAACTTCTAATTTTTAGCCCCCTCCCCGCCATTCAACTATATTTGCAACTGTTCCGACAGTTGTTGAAAGACGACCAAAAATATTTTTTATTTGTTCGTTTTTGTTTTGTAAACTAGCTAATGGTGCTCTGTATAAAAAAAATAAGAAAGAAGGATGTTGTTTGTACAGTTAGTTGATTTCCTGCTTTCTGCTGAATTTTCTTTTTCTTTGTTAGTTAAAAAAGTTTTGAAATCCATGAATTCAGGGAGAATAGTATTAAAAAACTGCCAATGCTGCAAAGGAGGGGGAATGTAGCAACATCCTGGGTGTAAGAAATATAAAGGATGTTGTTACTAATTCCCTCAAAAGGCAATCAACAATTTCATTTTGTTTCTTCTTCTCCTGAGCGTTCTTTCACAGCCAGAATTGTCTCTGGTGATGTTCTGAGAAAAAAATGGTGTATCCTTGTTCTTGTCTTTTTAATGATTTTTGTTGTTGATAAGGAGTAGTTTGGGATTTTGAGAGTTTGTTGTTTTGTGGAACAGGACAATGCGTTGTTGTCCACTTTGACAACAAATGTATTTTAGTATTTCCCGATACCTAAATACGTGTGTACACACGCCAAACAAAAACGATTAGAAAAATTACCTCTTTTTTTTGTATTCGAGAGTTCAAATTTGTTCACACACTGTTCAAGATCACTGAGAGTTATGTATTTTTAACTGACTGGATAAAGGTTTTGTGTAGGCTGGTAATGTTGATAACACCGACTCCTTTGGCATGTCTGTATACATACACATGTAAATACATGTACATCTCACTGCCAAATATTCATAATTTCCCCCTTTTTTTGTCACTCTCTTCTGATGAAAATGTCCATTTTGAAAACCTTTAAACATCTGCTCTTTATGTAGGTTCCCCACGTATTCTGAACTTTTTCCATGTTGCATTATATTACACATCTGACCACAAAGTGTAGTTATAATGGTAGTATTATAAAACTTGGCAAAGTCTCATCTCTTCTTTGCTTTTCCGTTGTAATGTCAGAGAGTGTACATCATTGACTGCCTTTTTTTTGGTATGGTGCTATATTTGTTATGTTTATTATCAACTGGGCTTGTGAATTTGAAGAAAAAAAAGTCTTGTGATGATGGGGGCATTGCTGGTCAGTAAGTTATATACAAGTAGGATGTTTATGCCCTCGTTGTCAGAAAAACTTTATCATGGAAGTTGGGGTGGCTGAAATGCAGGAACTTTTGTTAGATTATTTTCAGATTTGTGTTACTCGACAACTATAGCAATGGCCCTGGCCTGTAGTTGGGGAAGTCTTAAGTATAGATGGGACGATACTATAGTTGGGGCGCAACATTTATGTAGGATATACATTCAACATGGTAGATGATTGGTATATGTGATTTTTGAATAGTTGATTGTGAAATTGAGAGCTTTTTAGAAGTTTTTTTTATTTTGTACAATAGGTTAAATTATTCAGGCACTCCAGTGAGATTCAATACTGGTTAATTAACGTCATTTCACCAAATGTGCCTTTTTGTGGCATATTTTAAATGGTTTGTAACTTAAACTTTTTTTAATTACTCAAAACATTTAACAATTTCAATTGACATATTTTTAGGATACAAACTGTGCTGTCCTGGATATCCCAAAAGCTTTATGTGAATGTGTGTGACAAAACAATGGGATGTCTGGGCTGGGAACTGAAAGGTTTTTTAAAATCTCATCGTGTTGATTTTTCTTTTTGAACAGAAATCTATGGTGTGCGCAGTTTTGCATCTGAACAAAATTTCTCACTATAATCAATTCACATTTGGGCAAGTAAAGTGCTGTCACAGTTTATGCATGATGTATCTTGTAACTTGTGGTTGCGGTTAAGGAAGTTTCTGTGGAGATGTTAGAGCCTTGAAATCAATTAATCAGGATGGCTGTTCGATAGCGAAAGCTTGGGTGCAGAAATACCACTTTCTTGTCAATCTGCAATTACTGTTAGAAATATAGCTATTTGTATTTGCTTTCAAGTATTTGTTTAAGGGAAGCTTTTGAGGATGGCATGTTACTGTAATCATAGCATGTGCATCAGGACACAATTTGTCTTGTACAAGTGTACTACATGTACGTAAACATGGATTTTGGAATATTGTGTGGCATTTTGTCGGGCGAAACTTTTTAGGACTGAAATGTAATATTTACTTATTGTCACGATAGTATTTTGTCGTCCACATATTTAAAGTGGAGTTATTTCTATTTAATTTGGGCAGTCTAGATGCCTAGGGGAGTAATTTGTGAAGAAATAAAGAGGTACAAAATGGGAAGCAAGCTTTTTTACCTTGTGTGTGTCGACGTTATTTAGTGTTTGTCTATTATGAATGAATTTTAAAAGCTGAGAATGAGATACAGGCATATTTATTATTGGGTTATAATGAATATTCGTAAGAAGAAATACTAATGAATATTAATGAAAATCCTTAAGAAGGAATACTAATGAATGTTAATGAATATTCATAAGGAATAAGAATGATATTAATGAATATTCATAAGGAAATTAATGAATATTCATAAGGCGGAATATTAATTAGTATGAAAAAAAGGGAATATAGTTGAAAAAGTGGTAGTACCTCCCAAAATTCGGACCCAAAATTCGGACCCAAAATTCGGACCCAAAATTCGGACCCAAAATTCGGACCCAAAATTCGGACCCAAAATTCGGACCCAAAATTCGGACCCAAAATTCGGACCCAAAATTCGGACCCAAAATTCGGACCCAAAATTCGGACCCAAAATTCGGACCCAAAATTCGGACCCAAAATTCGGACCCAAAATTCGGACCCAAAATTCGGACCCAAAATTCGGACCCAAAATTCGGACCCAAAATTCGGACCCAAAATTCGGACCCAAAATTCGGACCCAAAATTCGGACCCAAAATTCGGACCCAAAATTCGGACCCAAAATTCGGACCCAAAATTCGGACCCAAAATTCGGACCCAAAATTCGGACCCAAAATTCGGACCCAAAATTCGGACCCAAAATTCGGACCCAAAATTCGGACCCAAAATTCGGACCCAAAATTCGGACCCAAAATTCGGACCCAAAATTCGGACCCAAAATTCGGACCCAAAATTCGGACCCAAAATTCGGACCCAAAATTCGGACCCAAAATTCGGACCCAAAATTCGGACCCAAAATTCGGACCCAAAATTCGGACCCAAAATTCGGACCCAAAATTCGGACCCAAAATTCGGACCCAAAATTCGGACCCAAAATTCGGACCCAAAATTCGGACCCAAAATTCGGACCCAAAATTCGGACCCAAAATTCGGACCCAAAATTCGGACCCAAAATTCGGACCCAAAATTCGGACCCAAAATTCGGACCCAAAATTCGGACCCAAAATTCGGACCCAAAATTCGGACCCAAAATTCGGACCCAAAATTCGGACCCAAAATTCGGACCCAAAATTCGGACCCAAAATTCGGACCCAAAATTCGGACCCAAGCGTCTCTTACTGCGGCATGCAGGACTTGAACCCACAACACCTGGGTCTCCAGTCAGAACTACTAACCAGTGCACTACTTGGGTCCCCCCAGTACATTTTCATTTTTTATTAACTTAACTCCCAGATTCAACTAAATACATTTAAATTCAAAAGGGTTATGCATGGGATTTGAACCCACAACCTTCCACTTCTGAAGCACAGTGCTTCCCCACTAAGCCACATTCAACTCTGTAATGCTTTTACAAATTCTAATACTTCAACTCCTCATTCTCCATTTTCAAAAAAAATTTCAACCCTCAAGCACCTTATTCAGCGATCGAGGAAATCGCTGTACTTTATTAATCAAAACGAATCATTTTCTTTAAAAGTAACCTTAAAGATTATGTTTTTAAATGTACATGTTTATGTATCTCTTCAACACGAACACAAAATAAAGGATAAGAAAAAAACCACTGATTGAAATAGACAAGTATTTTATATAGGCATTAACTGGATCATCACAATTTTTAGAAGGTGAAAAAAATACACAAATGTAACAAGAATATCAGATTAAACTGCATTTACAATTTAACATTTAGTACATTTACATGTCATAAGCATGCTGTAGGAAAAAAAGTAATCAGGCACATTAATTTTCCACTTTTAGAGTCCGAAAAACCTACACCCCCAACAAATTCAGATAAAAGATCACAAATTTTTGGTACATATTTAAACAGGGTAAGAACTAACTACATGTATATGACAAAAATATATATAACTCATGTGTGCCTTAACCAAAATATGCTTTATCGAAATTAATTGTACACATTAATGAAAAAAAATTGAGAACAATTTGAGAGCTCAGATGGAGGCTTGAGTTTCAGCCTACGATTATTTCGCGAAGGAACTACTCAGCTCTGTATAGTCATTTATAAATTATTTACATGTACATAGATACAGTGTTATAACGTTTACCTATGGTTTTTGATGCTACATCAAGTCTGCGATGCCAATCAACATTAACAAAGATAAGTTCAATTCTGTTTTTTTCATGCAATGAGTTTGCTCAGTCAATTAACAACCAGTACTTGCACTTATCACCAACAGTGATTATTTTTCACAATTATTTGGATAAAAATTGAACTGATAACATATTAATCAGTGGTATATCTTTTTGTGACAGGCTCAGCACAATATACTTACAAGTAACGCTGCGCTTATGCTACATCAGATAGGAACAGCATAGCCCAATAAATAAAAGCTTTCACAGAAACTGAAATTGCAGATTTGATTCAGATTCAATATATCCATGTGCAAAGAATTACACTAAAAGTCTTAGTGCACATTTCATTTAGCCTTAAATTAAGTAACAAACCCCATTTTCCCCCAAACTAACACTGCGTACAGTACAATGGGTACCAAATTCTCAAAGCTTTGACAAAAAAAGCTAATATGCAACACAACCTTTTTTTTGGACAAACTGTTATGATCGTGACATTCCACAGTTATTGGACCCTATTTTGAATACATAGTCAAAATATGCCACCTTCAAGACTCTGAGGTGCCAAGTGGCAGTAGACTTGCAACCAGTCCTCCCCCGTTCTTTGCACAGCATGGATGAAATTGCTTCAAAATTGTATTCACGAGTCAGGAAAGGACTTGCTGCTATCTAACACCTCAAGATCGCCCATTCCAGGAACACTACCATCTTGAATGAATCTCCATGTAGCAAAGCATTGTGGGGCATATGGCGATAAACATGGTAATATCAATTGTGCGATTTTTGTGAGTGTGTCGCCCGACATGACCCACAATGCTTTGTGCCAGAATAACATTTGACCAAGATACCTGTAGTCTCCGAAAAGCACCTTCTCCTACGCATATACACACTCTTAGAAGGGATGATGTCTTGACAATGGCCTGAAGAGTATTTAAAAGGTAGATCAACAGAGGTCAGGAGTCTGCGACAAAAAACTACTAACCGTTTAGCTATAAAACAAAACCTTTCCCTCCACTTCTGTAACAACTCATGTAATATGTCCATTGCTAAAAACATTTCCCAAATTGTTGTGGAATGTTGTTCGAACCTACATGTACTATACTTTATCGTTAATAGGGTAGGTCTTGCTTATCTTTTTTTTTTTATGGTGTGCCAACTTATTTCACAGTATGCTCTTTTTTTTAAGGTACTATCATTTCAATTTATCTTCCAACAGCACAATGGTTGTAAAGTCAATTTAAAGCTCAGGATTATCAGAAAACAATTGAAGAGAATGATCCATACCCATTCCCTGAATTTAATCTACGAATATTATCCTACCCATAATACTAGATATCTTTGTTAAAGGTGCCTAGTTTTAAAATTTGTAACAGTCGGTTTATACTTCCCTTCTAACTTATTTAAACACCTCCTACTGACTGGGAATCACAAATGCGCTAAGATCTTGTCAATAAGGCAATTTCAAATATCAATATCCAGACAATTTGTGATCCCCGATAAACGCTAAATACTGATTTGGTTATTCGACGTAGATGGTCAACTTCTATCATGAATAGTATTGTCAACGACAACAGTGTGTGCCAACAGGGATGTTTTGTTCTACACAATTTTGTGACGTTATCAGTTACCACAGAGCAATGTGCCAGCAACTGTTCACGACAAAAATAACCGCCGCGTTGTTTAAAGCAAATGTGCGGTCTCCCACTTGTGCACTACAGCACGCGCTTGGATTTGTACAGAGCCAAATGCTCGCTCATAGCAAATTCTTTCTGTACTTCAAAGGCGTACAGTACCACACGTCCTTGAAGTGTCATTGTGTAAGTTACATCATCGGCAAACAGACTAGGATTTTATGATAAAATGTGCGTTGATAATGACGGATAATCAAATTTAAAAAAAAAACTCATTGTCTCTATCTCTTCAAGGTAAGGATAATCTCAGTCTTTGCATGTGTGTTTTACATTAAGCTGATTATCGCCCCAACCGAAGTTGTGTCGCCCTGTAGTGTATCACACCCATCCAGAGGAGATCTAGCAGTTTTTTTGATAAAAGAGTTCCACAAGGTAAGAATTTGAGGCACTTCTCAAAATCAGACACCAAAAACCTGCAGGTTCATCCTTGAGACTTAGTGCCTTTGAAGTTCAGTACAGTTTGCAGATCTAGTTGTTTTTGTTATGACATCCCCCAGAAAGGTTTGGTCTACGAGATGAAGCTCATGGGGAAAGTCAATTTGGTGTCGTGAGAAGTGGCCAATGAAGTCCTTTCTTTTCCCAAGTTACATGACGAGCTTCTTGGGCACCTCCCAGGGGAATCCTTCCTTGAAGTGGCCGTAGGAGGCTGTCTTGTGGTAGATCGGACGGCGGAGATCCAACTCCCTGTTGGGGAAACAAAACGATGTGTTTCTTTAGTTAACACGTTAGCAGCTAATAATGTCCTCCGCTTGCTACATCACTGTGCAATTTTGTTCGGATGAGATGCTCAAGTTTGTTCAGAGAAGGCCAAGTGCATCCAAAAAGGCTTAGAACGGTCTACTTCAAACACCAACTTCCAAATTGAGGAAAAAATTGAAAGATCAATTTTGCCAGTTACAGGAAAGCCTTTTTCAGTTGAGAACACCCTAGTACAGGGTTCAACCTTAACTCTTTTTTTCCCACTAGCCGGGATACTTAAACAGACTCTTACCTAGCTAGTGGGCGGTTTCACCAGTCCACATGTTTTTCTTTAATAGAGCGTCTCAAAAACAACAGTGTGCATACGTGTACATCCTAAGGCAATCTTGTCAGTGTATTTAATAAACAGATCTAATAATTTAACCCTAAACAGTTAATAAGATTAGACACAAATTGATACAGGTTTGCTTTCTATATTTATTTCTTCCTGTCCTTTCATCTGTTGTCATAGCCCAATAATTTTATGAGTAGCCTACCGGGCTACTGAAGGAAAAGTTTGACTAGCCTGCCGCTGTTTGACTAGCATTTGGCTAGCGAGCTACTGCTACAGTCCAACCCTGACTGAGAATCTTGTAATTTTTTTGAATAAACAATTACCTGATGATAGCTCCAGGTCGTAGATCAAAGTTGTCGTCGATTATTTTCAGCAGCTCCTTCTCCGTCTTGTCAGAGGAACCGTAGGATGACACGAAGACAGACAGAGGATGCGAGATGCCAATTGCGTATGCCACCTACAAGATAAGAAAGGAGCAATTAAGTAGAGTTTTGAAAACGATTCATTATGAGCATTTCTAACTTGTAAGGGGCCTACTTATGGAGAAGTTGCTCAGCGAACAGATTTGCGGACCCAAGATTTGCTGGGAAAGAACAGCTTACTACTGTGGCTGGTCCTCGACTATAATGGCCACCCAGGTTTTAAAGATGTCATTCCATTCTCTTTGGAACTACGCTGAATATTTTTGCACAAATCAAATTTCATTAAATACTACCCTCAAATTAGTTCACAAAAATTGAAGAAACAGACTGTAGCAACATTTGAATATAATTTGGAAGAAATATAGAACTACCTGAATAATAATCAAAGTCTCTGAGACAGTTTAACCCTAACCTTTCCAAATCCATAAAAATTCATCCCCCCATTTTCAGGATTTTGGTAGGCAAAGCCATGAGTACCAAGTCCATCAAAATCCACCTATAGCAGTGGTGGTCTTGTGGCGGATTTCAGCTGATTTGGTCCTAAAACATTATGTGAAGCAGGGTCAGTGATGGATTTTGGCGGACTCGGTCCACTACTTAGTAAAAGACACTAGCAAGTTAGGGTTAACAATTATCATTATTCTTTGTTCTCTTCTTTTCTGACTTCTAACATCTAGGAGCAATTTCACTGAAATTACGTCCCTTTTCCTCCAACCTGTTATAGTCTAGCCTCCTATTTCTCTCTTTCGAAATAAAAATCACTAAGAACTCAAATAATACCTAACAAATAATAGCCATTGTCACTGAACTACTGCTTAAAACCATTAACTTTCTGCCATTCATTTTCACAAGGACTGTTATGTAAACCAGGCACGAATGGACTTTGAAACACTGTATTGACACTGGGTAGTCCCTATCTACACAAGTTACAGCATTAATACCGCATAGATAAACAGCTGATCCCCAGTTTAATAATCCGTTGTCAGGCGCTGGGACATGAAACATTCAAGTTGACTGAACAACAAAAAACACTGTGACTTGCAAAAAATGTGTCCACTTCTAACCATAGAGCTATATTAAATTACTAGAGTGCTAACTCGATGTACAAAGTAATGCCTGATGGGCGCATCCATATTTATGCACAAACCTATGGAAAACTCAAAATTGTGTACGGTTTTTATACGGCTATTTGCATATCTGCTTTTGTATTCTATACCGGTGCATCACCGAAGCAGATACGCCCAAAACTGAAACGCACGATCAGCAAATGATCGTTTCATTTTGCGCTACGCAAACAGCGCAATGTGTGCGCGTCCCTCCGCTGCAGATGCTTTTCGCCGTGACGCTTTTTGAACCGTCATGACGTGCTTAAGTTGTTTGCGTATCTTCTACTTGCGCGTTGCATTAAGAGTACACTTTTAAAATTCAATCCATCTATTTAGATTGTGTTCTACAATCACCCACATAAATTCAAAATGTCTGCGCCCAAAGTGGCTTCAAAGCGTCTCCGCATGCAAGAATGAATAGTTAGTGCATTAGAAATTTAATAAAGCTGTATGCGCTTCTAACACACATAGCCAACAGGTTTGGGGTTTTAGCTCTTTAGTTGTTTAGTTTTTAATTTTTTTTCATAATTTTTTTGTTTCTTTCAGATTTGTTATTTTTCATTCTCTGAACAAAATATTGCTTTAAAAACAACACCCAAGCATTAGACCTGCTGAACTCTTCGGAAATGTTACAGTTTGAACAATTGATTCTATTCAGATCCAAGGGAATCAAACAGCAATTGTCCACTTTTTCTTCCAGATTTGTTATTTTTCATTCAAACAAGCATTAGACCTGCTGAACTCTGCGGAATTGTTACAGTTTGAACAATTGATTTTATTCAGATCCAAGGGAATCAAACAGAAACTTGGGCTCATTAGGATTCAAATGGTTTAGGATTCTGTGTACAAAAGTGCATTTTTTTGGCCATGTTCATTGTAAAGTTTTCTCTTGGTTATGCATACCCAAATGGTATATTTGACTGAAAAGCTTTGTGACGACTTGTGACTTCGTTCTGGTGACTGGTTTGAACCGGCCCGGACTGGTTCATTGAGTCGGTGGGAAAGGGCTTTTGCATGATCTATCTTGATCACATAACACCATGCTCTTTATCAGCGCATCTATTTATTTACTCCCAAATCTATTTAAAACTAACACTTCGAGTAGGTACTGATAACGGACCATCATACACGAAGGACAAACTGTTTTTGTTATGAGAACTGGTTGTATCCAGATTGAACTGGCCATGTCATCAAAGGAAAATCGTACACAATACGTCCATATCATTTTATGCGAAAGAGGTGCATATCTTGAAATTTAAGGGGCAAGTTCTTGTTGGACAAATTGTCACAGATCTCTGGTGTCAAATTTCCATCCAAAAATATTAACCCTGTACGAAATTAATATTTTAGCTGGGATTTTTTTTCCAAAATCCACCAATATCCAATGTGTGCAATAAACCTATGGTGCATTAGCACTATGATCCTCATATTTGATACAAAACCTGTATAAAATTTGAATTTTTGAACACTTCACCCTGGTTTGTGGATTTTATGAAACATGCCAATTCAGTTGGCTCCCATTAATACAAACTTCGCCAGACCTAGCCAAAATATGTGTTATCATCCAAATTTTGAATTAAGCCAAGCAAAAGTTTCCCAGTTATTGTGCATATTAACCTCTTATACAAACATACATTATGTGCCAGTTGTCCTTTCAGTCAAACTCAATCAAGTGACTGTTTTCAACAGTTAAGAGTTCCCATCCTACATAAAGCAGGATTGACTATGCTTTGACTGTGAGTGATTGACAAGCCAGCTGTCTCCACAACTTGCCTGCTTTGTCTGTTGACTGAATTTGACTAGTCACAGTGCTTGCTTGACATATGATCTGCCTGCTGTTGACTGGCCTGTATAAAAGGCATGGCAGGAGGAGAGGATTGATATGTTGATTGTGTGTGACTGTTTAAATAGCAGGAGGGTTGATGCATTGATTGGACTGAGGATTTTTATTCACTGCAACCAAAAATTGTAAACGAATTTGTTCTTGAAAATTGTTGCTACCCTTGTTGTTTCCTTACCTGGACTAGAACTCGTTTGCACAGCTTGGCAGCTACCAGTGACTTGGCCACCCATCTGGCAGCGTAGGCTGCAGACCGGTCCACCTTGCTGACATCTTTGCCTGAGAACGCTCCCCCACCGTGGGCACCCCAGCCGCCGTACGTATCGACGATGATCTTACGGCCCGTCAGACCTGCGTCACCTTTGGGACCACCTGATATTAAACAATCAACAACAACCCGCATATAAATACAATAAATTTTTTTAAAAAATCAAAGATCAATTAAACTTACAAATTTTGATAAGTTTCGATATGTAAGGAAACAGAGATCTCTTTTCTTTGTTTTGATTGTTGAAAAAAAACCAGATCACAAAATCAGTTTTGTGTATAGCAATTGTAATGATAATGTGGTGCTTATATAGCGCTTTATACCAAAGGTCTCAAGGCGCTCCACAATTATTACCCCTGTTCATCAGGCCATGAGACCAGTTGTTGCAGCAGCTCGAGATCAGCGCATTCTGGTCTCTACCCTCACAGATACCCATTTATACTCCTGGGTGGAGATAGGCAATTGTAGTAAAGTGTCTTGCCCAAGAACATAAGCACCAAACACTGAATTGGCGGACTGTCACGTACAAATGGCAGAACTAAGAGCTATTTCGATCAAGGACCGTTGGTCGACTAGTGGTTGTGATTGAGATGGAACTAACGTCAATCAATCGATGGTTAAAAATGTCATGGGTTCCAGATGCACTATAATGCGCGCAGTTTTAGTCTTCGTTGGCCATTCCATAAAAGTCAACTAAGCTAAAAAACATCACTGACTAGCCAGCCTTCGATCGGTGTTTATCAAGCTACGGTCAACTACTGTTCCTGATCTAACTTGTTCAAAATGTTTTGGACGTACCCATAACAAAGCTGCCCGAGGGATTGAGATGATACACCGTGTCGGCATCCAGATACTTGGCAGGTATGACTGCTTCGATGACCTTCTCCCGGAGTACCTTGCGCAGCTCTTCTTGCGTGACGTCAGGGTCGTGCTGTGCTGAGATGACGATGGTGTGAACCCTCATGGGTTCAAGATGGCCCTGCTTCTGTTTGTATTCCACGGTCACCTGGGCGGGTTGAAATTTGCTTGGATAAGCTATCGAATCTTGGACATTGACAAAAATGGACAATGCCGAACAACTTTCAACTGAGTAGAAAACCCATGGGATTTGAAAGATCATGGATATACAAGACGGTCATTTGATTCTTCCAGTGTTGAACGGAATTCAGGAATTCTCATCCTGATATCAGGTTTTATGTACAAATCCTGTGAAAATTTACATTGATTGCTCTTGGGAAAAAATCAAACTAGATTTCTTGTAAATATTAAAACCCCCAACAAATGATCCAAAGTAACAATCGTTGCCAACATTTGTCTGAGTCTGGTCAATACTTCACATCAGTTTTATTGGCAGAAGTCAGACTTGTCTGCCGTGTCATTAGGGTCAGAATCGTTATTGTAACAACAAAACCTTACTTTCTTTTGACAAAGTTTGCTAAAACATATCATCGGGTCTGTATGTTAGTTACTAAGTTTATTAGTAACAAACGTTGACATTGTCTATTGCTCCTACATATTTTGACCGATTTCAACCAAACTTTGTCAAAAGTATCAGTAGCCCAGCCCCAACATTTCACATGACCAAACTGGGGTCAAAGGTCATCATTGGGTCACTGGGGTCAAAACCCTTTACTCCAAACACTACTCCTTCCAGAAATGACATGACACAATCACGCGACTCGTGCATGAACACAAATTTGATGGCCCGCAGCTTCAGAAATCCGATCGAGCCTGTTTCATCACGAGTGAAAATCTTTTAAGCTCAATCACAGCAAAGCAGCAAAGATAGATCTTTGAACAAATCTTTAAGGGGGAGGGGTAAGGGGCGAGAGGGGCTGAGGAGTAAGGTATAAAAACACTGCAGTACCTGTGATTTGCCGTCGGGTCTGAGGAATGGTACAGTCTTGTTTTTCCTCAGCTCTGCCATCTTTTTGGTCAGGCCGTGAGCCAGGACCACAGTCAGCGGCATGAGCTCCTCCGTTTCATCAGTCGCGTAGCCGAACATTAGACCCTGGTAACAAGAAACGTAAGGAAAGATGAAGGGAAACGGCAACTCTTGGGTAACAAAGTTTCAGGAATGAGATTGTCAATTTCAAAAATGTCTTGACAGTTGGGTGAAAGGTCTGAAAGATGTATTTCTTTTTATACTGATAATTTCTTACTCTCAGATGTAAAAAGTCTGAATTCAAATTCTGAAAAATTTCATGCCTGCAAGTTTTCCAAAGCATGTTATTATTGGTCTTTTGACCTTTCACCTTCTGTCTGAAACCAGTGTCTGATGTTTTCAGATTTGGTTTGGTTAGTACACGGGCGAAATCAAAAAGAATTTAAAGGTACAAAGAATCGTTGGCTTGATGTGCATTTCTTTCATTTGAAGTTTCAAAATTTTCAAAAGGGTCCTATCCTATTTTCAGAACTTGTCCTATCTTCACTTTGAGCACATTTTTTTGTTAAATTGGTAGGTACGTTTCTGGATAATTGCGACTGTTCCTACTTGCAATGCCCACGAAATAAAATACCCCCCCCCCCCAAAAAAAAAATATATATATATTTCCTAAAAAAAAAAAACTTATCATGAGCCTTTTATCCACCGCCAAGTCAGGTAAACAGACATATGGTATAGTTGTGATTATTAAAAAAAAAAAAAAAAAAGGACACCTGCAGATGCAGGCCTACCCAAGGTCATTCATAAACCACGTCAGGTAATTACTGCACCCACGGTGACATTATGAATGGAGTAGAACAACAGCACGTGTCATTGCATCATCTGTCGATGTTCATGGGAACGTTTTAACCTTCTGTGATCATTAACAACTCAGCTGTTATTAAATTTTCAAAATTATGAATGGACGTCCACATCACAATTAATTGTAATTAAATCTACCGGTATTTAGGGCGTCAGAGGTTTATTTTGGACGATTCACCAGTGTGCACAATAATTTAGTACTGACAAAAACATATCACTTAGTTCTGTAGTTTCTACAATAATTTAAAAAAAGAAACTATGCAATTAGCTGAAGTAGAAATCAGCTGAAAACACAACAGTGTCGGACGTACTCAAATTGCATATTTTTTGTGTACTTGTTAATTTTTCAAAGCTGAATTTTTAAACGTTGTCAGAAATAAACTATGTTTAAATAAAATACAAATAATAATCAAATACACATTTTTTGGAAGTTGTTTTCATTGTGGTTTATAATTTTGTCAAATTGCCCTTCAACCCCAACCTTCCCAAATCCTCCAAAATCGTCTTTGCAAAAAGAGAGGATTTTGCAGGATTGAGGCTATATATGGCAAAAAAGTGTGGCTGATTTTGGAGGACGCACTGTGTCAAGGTCTTGGGCCGGACCTTGTGTTGTTTGTGCTCAGCCGAGAATAAATGTAGGCCTTTATTATATAGTTGAAATTCCTCTGCACTGTCCAGGATGTCACTTTTGATGATTTTGAAGGACTGAGGCTGTATGCAATTTTTAAAGGAACAAGGACAAAGCATTGCATAAATAGGACGTCAACTTTTCAAAAGCTTTGTTCACCGCTACAGAAACCAGGCCACTTTGATAAGAAAATGAGGAATCCTCAACTTACTTGATCTCCGGCACCGATATCATCATCGGCTTTGTCGATGTGGACTGACTGTGCGATCTCCCTGGCTTGCTCTTCAATGGCTACCAGCACATTGCAGGTCTCCGCGTCAAATCCTGCAAAATAATGAAGGGGGAGGGGTGATACAGAAGGACAAGTGGGGAAGCAGACGCGGTTAATTTGTGCGCATAATAAACACACCAAAAAGTACCCCCAAAAAAGAAATATTTTGGCAGGCACTTTCAGTTTATCACCCAACAAGTCCTTATCACATAACTAATGGAATTCATAACACATTCTATACTGGAAAACAAAAAATCAGCATTTCACATTTAAAAAAAAAAAAGATTACAGAGTCTGCACTCTTAGAGCTAGGCTTACCTTTCACTGAGCTGTCATAGCCAATTTCTTTAACAGTGTCTCGAATCACTTTTTGATAGTCGACGTTTGCATTGGAGGAGATTTCACCAAAAATCATCACCATACCCGTTTTGGTAGCCGTTTCTATGGATGTGAAAAAAAGCTTATGGGTTTGAAATTACTTACACACCAACAACTGTTGGTTTTTAAAAACCTCCTTTTGTTTGATCAGTCACAGACAGTCAAAACTTCAATCCTGTTCTCCTGCCATGCCTTTTTCACAGGCTAGTCACCAATAGTCAGATCATATTTCAATAGACGCTGTGACTAGTCATGACTAGTCAAATTCCATCAACAGACAAAAGCAGGTGACTGGTAGGCTTATCAATCGCCTGCAGTCAAAGCATAGCTATCAGGTTTCATAACAATCGTAGTACGGTAAGTCAATCCTGCTTTATGAAGGCAGGGAGCACTCAACTGTTAAAACCAGTCACTTGATTTTTTTTTTACCGCTAAGCTAGCCTTGTTGAAAGTGCCAGCCAAAGAGGGAGGATTAACAGGATCTTTATCTTGCATTGAACATAAAGACAGTTTTCCACTTTTTGGCTTATTATGAACACTGGAGTACACAAAAAGGCAAATGATGTGGAAATTGGAATAAACTGGTCGCTTGTCTGTTTACAAAATTAGTTTTCAATTTTCTCGGATTCGGGGATTAACCCAACCCATGACTTTTCTCCCCTTATCATTGTCATGTTATTTTGATCAATAAACCACCGATATCAATGGGAGCAGCTTGATACGAGAAACATTTCCAATTTTGTTAGGAAATACTTTGAGAATTGTCTCGACAATTGTTTTGTCTACACAACCGGACCGCTGAAAAGTAGCGTCAGGTTGCAACATTAAATCAAACAAAAATCATCCATTGTTGGATCTCACTGGAATCAACAGGGTTAGAGTTTATCTCAAAAAATCCTATCTAGCAAAATAATATGGACAATCTGCTTGAGGTATCTGACAAATAAGGCCGAATTTGCTCTGACGCAAGACAATACATTTTTGTATTTATCTCAACACTAAGACACTGTGATAACAAATATTTACATTCCAAAGCAAGGCTTTAGAGAGAAAAATTTTGAACTCATTATGTCAATATTACCACCTGTGGTGTTTGAATATTTTGAAATTGAATTCTTCCAAGAATTTCTGCAATGCCATGGTAAAGGCTGTCGTTTACTTCTTAATGATAATTCAATGAGGCAGGCCCCTTAACTTACCACATGCTACCCTGGCGTACGGGTCCTGGGCCAGATGGGCATCCAGCACTGCGTCACTGACCTGATCGCACAGTTTGTCTGCAGAGAAAAAAACAACAACAAAAGAAGAAACTGAATGTCAAAGTTCAAGTTCACAAACCAGAAATGGCATTTGCAAAGTGAAGGCCAATTTAATGCACGGTTTACTAGGGGAAGTGAGAAAATTAGAAAAGGGGTGATGCTTTGGTGTTACTGTCTGTACTCAAAATATTTTTTTTTTGCAAAGTAAAACAAAGATTACAAATTCAAAAGGTCAAACATCAGACAAAAAATCTGAAAGATCTTGAGCATAGTTTTTTTAAGTGACAGCTAAAAGTTGGGTTGCTGAACTCCCTTTTACCCAAGTTGTTTTTTTGTTTGTAGTGTCAAAATGCCCCCCTCTGCAGTGACGCTAAGTGTTTTTAATCGACACACAGGGTCCATACGTCAGTGCATGTCTACAGAAAAAGAGTACAAACACTTCCAACGCAATTTCCATGTCAGGATCCTCTGCCATAAAACCTTGAACTGTTTGGAGAAAATTACATGCCTCGCTAGACTTCCAAAAAAAATATGGTATTCAAAACAGCAACAGTGCCCTTTGACAAAACAATCCACAATGAACAAAAAATACACTGAATACAGGTGTACATGTCAATAGTTCCTCATTTGAACATGCTTACTGCACACGAGTTAGCTTTGGTCTTAGCCAAAAGTGTATTGGGCGTGGTCAAATTTACAGAGAGTAAGGCCAACTGTTGTGTTTCTGAAATGTCCGAGTTTGGTGTTTAACTTTTAATTCCTAAATAAATTATGTATCGACCAAAAGCACAAAATGAAAAGAGAAAAAAAGTCCACCTTCATCATCATGCATACATGTACATGTACATGTACCTGACCACAACTAAAAAGACTCGACAGAGTTGACTGTTAGTGGAAAAAAATTCCGCGACAAAATTTTGCATTCGTGATAATCACAACCAGCTGTTTAACAGAATTGATGTTTGTTCTTCCTCCTTTCCAAGGCACCTTATCATTATTGTCAAACATCATCCTGAGCGCTAATCTCTATAACAATGAAGATCAATATTATTTCTAGGCATTTATGTATCTCCCAGGACCATTATTACATAACCCCCTCATCCCTACATCAATAGCACTCCAACAGCTTTATGAGACCTGGACAGAGGGGTGGGATGCCATCAAAACGCGGAACGATGCGAGCTGGAAGCAACTCTTGCCTGCATTATGTGCCAGCATAGTTGAGAACAACATTTCATTTGCCAGAAAATACTGGAAATATTTCTGCAACAGCAAGAGTCAGCGCGTAGTCGATAGGACCACAAAATGTTCAGGGCGAAGACATTATTTCCAACAAGGATCATGAATACAGTGTGATACACAAGAAATAAAGACTTGTGTGAAACAAAAACTCTTTCCTATCTTATCTATTTAAGAGCTTTCCATTTCCGAATAAATGAACATTGGATTATTTGAAACTGCATTGACCAAATATTTGAATATTTGAAACTCCCTGATCAAGTTTTACACTTGCAAGCTGCAACAGCGCGTCGCGTAGGTCAAAAGTTTTACACAAAGCTGTCAGTTAAACTTTGTGCTGCAGAGCCTCTGCATCGATATTATGGGCTGCTGGAGTTTTGCAGTAAGCCCAAGTATATCACAACTGTCAAGGGTTTTAACCAGCTAAACAGAGGGGAACAATGAACCATCATTGACAAAAAAGTTACTGTCAAAAAAAAAAAAAAAGTAGCACCTGACAATAAAGCGCTGAAATTGTACGATGAAAAGAACCTCACAGTCGTGTGCGTACGTGCATACTTTTTTTTTCTCTCCGAATATTTGAACCAGCAAATCTTATCTTAATACTTTGATGTGTACTGAGATGTGCAACACGTATTCAATTTTTTTTTTACAGGGGGTCAAAAATTCCACACTACACCGATTTCCAACAAGTTAAGAGTTCCAATGGAATCCACATTTACAACACAATACAGTAAGAGGCAAGCACCTTTTCAAAGCTTCTCCATAACAGACAAAAATGTCTCTTACAGCCATAATACCTTCGCATAACTGGCCACAAACATTCATCCCAACAATAAAATCAAAGTCTGTGGACACAACTCAAGTCAATAACTAGGGTCACGCAAAAGAATTTTCTGTGTGGATGTGAGAAAAAAAACATCATCATGCACCAGGCACTGCTGTGATTCCCCATTCAACTGATTTCTGTGCTCTTGTAAATCTGCACATCTATGATAACATTTGCATAACAAGAGGACTTTTGACCCATCTGTTCTAAATATAAATATAACTACACTCAACAGCTGCTTCAAGGGCAAAATAAAGTAAAACTTTTGCACCATGGAAATTGCACCGTTGTCAATGTATGTGGGTTGGGTACATGTACACATTTATCAAGCACTACACAGACAATTACTCATGCTCAAGGCTAACCAACTGTCAAGTATAAAGGCATTTTTTTCCCTAAAGCTTGGCCCCATGAACCTCATAGTTCACGCAGGGCTGCAAATTTCCCGTCGTCAATAGTCAAAGTTTTGTTGAGAATTCTGCCACAACCCTGCATGAATTCAGTGAAGCATGAATCAGCCATTTGCAAGAATGTGCAGATGCTTGGTGAAAATGTTTGCCTTACACATCACACAGTATCTGTAAATCTTCCACTTCGTCAGTAACACATGAAACCAAGCTGAGAGGTCACATGACATCATTATAAAGGGACAGAAACTTTCAAGACAGACACAGGAAATTAATTTCAGGTCCCGTCAGACAGTCACTGCAGGCAACTATACTTGTAGTTGTGGAATACCCGAGGAAAATAAGACCATTTGTGATTAAAAAAAAAAAAACCAGCTGTGAGATAACACCTAAAAATCCTCATCCATTACTTTGTTCAGATCCACATCCGAAAGGAAACATGGTGATTAGGCCAAAAAAAAATTATATTTCTGCTTCCAGTTTCCCTACCTACCCTATTCTGACAGCCCCTACCCTAATTTTTTTATTGGAAAAATGAGAAAAAAACACCCAAAACCATCACTTTATACCTTTTACCCTTGACTACACGCAGACGCCTCCATATGATTGTACACAAAAACAATTTGGAAAAAAAAAAAAAAATCCCTACCTACCTACCCTATTTTCGAATGCCATGTCATCGGAAGCAGAACTTTTTTTTTTTTTTGGCCTTATGCCCATGTCGTGACTTGGCATTACTTTTTAGGTAGTGTTTGTTAAAACCATATGTTCACACAGACTCAACTTAAAGGGAAATATATCATGGCTTTTGTACAGGACTGAACCCGGCAGTCGTGGATCACTTTCGACAGTTCCGGATCACGCATGCTGCGCTACATGTACCTGGTACATGCACAAATTCATCATTCACAGCACGCTCAGCACTGCATCGTGTGTCACACCTTCATCATGTATAAAACTACACACAAAACTGCATCATGTGCATCGTCTGCGAATACGGCAATTCATTTAATTCAAATGCCAAAATCATTATTTCTTATAATAGTGATACCGGTGTCGTGCCAAAAAACGTCCGGTGCCAAATAGTGTCCGCTAATTAGCATAATGCGATCTGATTGGTCATACGTCTATGACGTCATATTGTTTACGGAAGCTTGCCAAATAGTGTCTGCGCTTAGCGTGTATCCTATTGCCTGCCTTGTCGAGCTGTCAAGACGTCGTATGGATATTTAAGCATAATAACGTTATATTTTACGGTTTCTCCTGCCAAATACTGTCCTACTGTCCGATTTTTTCTGCCAAATATTGTCCGATTTTTTCCTGCCAAATACTGTCCGATTTTTCCTGCCAAATAGGCCTACTGTTCGATTTTCCTGCCAAATACTGTCCGATTTTCCTACTGTCCGATCCCCCTGCCAAATATTATCCGATTTTTTCGTTCAATCGACGGCGCCCGGACACTATTTGGCACCGGACACTACTTGGCATGTATTACGTGTCAAATAGTGTTTAGCGCCAACTGCGCATGCTCAGCGGACTCTTTTTGGCACCGGACGGTTTTTGGCACGACACCGGTACTTGAGATTATTTCCTTACACCTTAGTTAGAGTTAAAAACTAACATGGAAAAAATGTTGCAACCCGACACCACTTTTTCTTCATATTATCATCTCAATGAACATGATGAAGGTCATTCATTGCAAAAATTATGATAAAACATGAATCTGGGACTGAGAAACATTTCTAATTTTGTCAGGAAATACTTTTCCTAACAATTTTTATTGACTCTCAATAGACTTTGTGCAGTCAGTGAGGAAAAAAAGTTTGGTCACAGTTGAATTAATTTTTATTTAATCAAGAAGTGATCCGGTACTGTTGATGATCCAGAACTGTCGCACTGACCGTAGGCCTATGTATGTGCTATTCAACATGGTTGCAATGCTCGACTGACTACCAATGTCAATGAGCTTAATTTCCTAAATGGTGGGAAAAGTGACACTGAGAAACTGCTTCTTTTTTTTTCCAAGCCGTGCCCACCGCACGTAAATGACCGAGGTCTACACGTGAAGTGGTCGTATCAACAATGAATGACGTGAACACACATGGCCCGAAAATCGAAATGCCGGGGTTAACGAAACTGGAGGAATAACCCCTCCAAATGGCCAACAAATCACAAAATTCCGGGCAATAAAGACACATTATTCTCTTACCAGGATGTCCTTCTCCCACAGATTCTGACGTGAAGAGGAATGTGTTTTCATCGTCCATGTCGACACAGTTGTGATTTTGCTCCGCCATCGTCGGCATTTTTCGGAAAGTCGTGTGTTGTGCACTGTGGACCTGCGGTACGGTTTCTATTCAAGTTAATCGGCTGCGATCCGCGAACCAAAAGACCGCTGTAAAGAGAATTCGCGATTTATGTGGCCATCTCTTTCTCAATCAGGTGCACACATTGAGGCTTCTGATTGGCTAACCGCCAGTCAGTCACTATCTCGCAAAATTTACTTTTATGAAAGAACACCTCAGGTCAAATTTTGATAATTCGCAATATAAAAAAATACAAATTGGAGCTGCATTATTGTCTTTTATCAATAAAATGAAATAAATTAAATTAAGAACGAAAATTATAGATATTATATTTTAATATTGTATACCGAGCCAGATCACTCAAGAGGCCATTCCATTCATCGAAGGTAAGACCAAAAATTGCGCTACAATAGTCAATTTGTTTATCAGTGCATTAAATAAAAAGTACAGATATAAAATAACTACATTTTGATCCGTTACAATAAAAAAAAATGATAGTTTCTGGTTTACTCTAGGGTTAATTATCTTCTAAAATGACTTTAGCGCACATTGACATTTAATTACATTCGTACAGTAGAAATGTTCCCCTGCTTCAATTTGGTTTGACCAAAAAAAATAATAACATCACGTGCATGCATCGGCGGCATACTACACAAGGCTCATGCATGATCATGTCATGTTACATGTTAATGTAAATTGTTATAATAAATGACAATAAGTGTGACGTGGACATACAGTTTGCATGTTTTCCCGGTCCCTTTGATTTGTCAGGTTCATCCATCTCGTGATTTTGGGCTGGCATCATGGGTCGAGGTCAACATCAAACCAGCACTGGCTGGGCATTACTTTGTGCAGTGTCTTTAGTGATGGCTGCACTAATTTTCTTTCAACTTGGTAAGCATCAACCACTAGCACTGCGGTCACATGCACGGTATTAATATCAGGTGGTCACTCAGGTGGTGTGTGTAAACCATTGATCTCCATATACACAGACTGGATAGGACATCGCGTACGAACGTGCGTCCGCGCGCGCGTTTTTTGAAAAGGGTAAAGAACACAATTTCGCATTCGAGTTTTGTACACTTTCGAACGGAGGATTAAAAAATGAAGTTGGGTTTTCTTCGGTTTCTTTGTCATTTTTGAAAGAATACAAGAAACAGAGATCTAAATTGATCAAAATCGACGAGGAGTATAGTCAAGGTGTGCGCAGCATTAGATTGCTGGAGTCGGGAAGTAAGGAGCGTTGAAGAATAGGACAATTAATTATTTGCAACTTTGCAAGTAAGTTGTTTTTTAACGAGGCCTATACAACATGGCATGGAGGAATATGAACATGGGAATGACAAAGCAAATTTATAATATCGTTAATGTTGTCGCTCTGAGTTTGAGGGGAAGGAGGCCGGTGTGGTAGCTAGCGAGATATTCTGTTCAAATTCCATGCGATCTAGGCCTGTCATGCTGGTCGGCATCCATGTTTTTTTTAAAGACATAGCCGGCCTAAACGTGCATGACTGGCAATAAACAAAGGTTGACATGTTTATGGAGATCAATGCGCACAATCATTGATCTCCATATACACAGACTGGATAGGACATCGCGTACGAACGTGCGTCCGCGCGCGCGTTTTTTGAAAAGGGTAAAGAACACAATTTCGCATTCGAGTTGTGTACACTTTCGAACGGAGGATTAAAAAATGAAGTTGGGTTTTCTTCGGTTTCTTTGTCATTTTTGAAAGAATAAAAGAAACAGAGATCTAAATTGATCAAAATCGATGAAGAGTATAATCAAGGTGTGCGCAGCATTAGATTGCTGGAGTCGGGAAGTAAGGAGCGTTGAAGAATAGGACAATTATTCGCAAGTAAGTTGTTTTTTAACGAGGCCTATACAACATGGCATGGAGGAATGTGAACATAGCAATTTTAATATCGTTAGTGTTGTCGCTCTGAGTTTGAGGGGATGGAGGCCTGTGTGGTAGCTAGCGAGATATTCTGTTCGAATTCCATGCTGGTTGCCATCATTTTTTTTAAAAAGACATACGAGGCCTAAACGTGCATGACTGACCAGGCAATGGCAATGAACAAAAGTTGACTTGTTTAAAATAGTATATTCGAATAAGTTTTATAACTTTTATATGCAAAATCTGATTGAATTATGTTTGCCTTGGCCCTACCGAAATGTTTCTATTCTCTTTCTTTATAAAGAGAAACCCGAGGAGATGGTTTATGCTTACTGCACAACCGACCGATTGACCTTCACATCAAACAAAGATCTTCAGCAAAGCCGTAGCAAAAACCACCAGCTGCAGGACGATATCCGAGACGGACGAAAATGGAGAACTTCACGGAGACATGGAATCGACTGTATCATCCACTGAATGGAACATGCGATATGTGATAGGCATCTGAAAGTTTGACTTAATGTGGGTCTGTTAAACATTGATTGCGGATTCTGTTTTTGGAAAGAAGCTGTGGCAAGTATTTTTATGAGCTCCCAAGATGACTGTCACATTATTGACAGGTTGTATGGTGAAGAAAGCATGAGTATTTTTACGGTTTGAAATTATATTGTGTACGCCGTTATATAGGATTACTAGCTAGAGCCATTAATACACCGTCATATTCGCTCACAAAACGATTCCCAAGTAATTATATTTATTTTCAGAAGTATAGCTAAACATTTAATTATAAACATTAAACAAGACCGTGCGAAGCTTGAATTATTCTTTGACAAAATTAGAATTTTGGTTTGTGATTCATCTCCTTTCACACAACATCAGAAGAGGTGAACGATGTCATTCCCTGATCAATCTAGGGACGGGAAGAAGTTCTTACTGATTACTTTGTAAAATTAAGGTTTTTTTACCTTTTAGATTCTAATTGGTTTATGTTCGGGTTTTTTAATAAATATATCAATCATTTTGAATGAATCTCTATACAATTTCTCGTGTGAGTGTTCAGTTCAAAAAAATAATGTAATTTCAGCATATTATTAATACAATTATTCATTTCATTGATGGATAATTCAGTCTGCTCTAATGACCAATGTGCCAAAAATGAAATGGAAATTTACTTACAATCATTTTTGGGAGGAGGAGTATAGAAGGATTAAAACAAATAAGGGAAAAAGAAAATGGAGGGGTTCTTGAATTTCGAAAATGCATAAGAAAGTGTATATCAAGAAAGTGTGGAAAAGCTGTTTGGAGGGATTGAGGGTAACTCTTCATCGTTCAGCTATTTTTTTTAAAGATTTGTTTTGGAGGAGCGCTTGAAATCCCTCCTGTAAGAAAAATTTCACTCAATAATCCATTTTCCAAAGTAAACAAAGTGAAAGCACAATGCGCGTTTACCCGTCTGACAGTACACGCGCCGCCATTGTTCGGCCGCGCATTCGTGCACAAACACGGCGCGATGTCCTATCCAGTCTGTGTATATGGAGATCAATGGTGTAAACTTACACTTTCAGGTTTGAGTTGAAAGCGAGGCTACACTTGCACCAATGCAAGCCTCGATCCGGCACAGTCATACCCTCACTCAGTCTTACTTCAATTTTATATTAGTCTTACGCAACTAATACTGACAGCAAATACTACATACATTCAACTCAAGAAGTAAAAACATTGTAATTTCATGAATTTGTATTGCCCTTTAATAATAATACTAGTCCGAGTAACTAGGACTCTACGAATCGCCTTTTTTTAACATTTGAACATGGTCAGGCGATATGACCATCTCCAAATGTTAAAAAAGGCGATTCGTCGAGTCCTAGTTACTCGGACTAGTTTTACCAGTTGAATTACAGAATGTTAAACTAAACAGTAGAAGTATCCTGAATTCACCATTAACAATTTGTGCTTTTACTCCAAGTAATGAAGACAATAAGGACTCTATCACGTCTATACCTGCCATTTGCTTCAAACAAATTGGGCATGACTTGGCAATAGTTGATCCATGGGGGTAGATCTGTAATGACCATGGATTGTTTAAAAAAGCTGGTTAGCATAGTTCATACTACTAACTGTTCAGCCAGTGTAGCCTAAACTTCAGTTATAAATTTAAATCGGTGTCTAAAAAGTGAAGTTGACTGAGCAGTTCAAATTCAACTCAGTCTGGAGAATCCTAGCCCCATAAATGTGGCCAATTTACTGGACTACCTCCGTATTTATGGAGGTAGTCCAGTAAATTGGCCATATGGGCTAGGAGAATCCAAGATTACCTTTTTAGTTTTACCTGTTAAGTTTTGGTGATTTGAAAAATTCCTTTGCACCTTTACATTTTGTACTTGATTTTAATTTTTTTTTAGTAATCTTAATTTTAGTGTTGCTTCTGGAGTGAAATAAAATATTGATAATTAATACTATTAACGTATTAAATAAAGTGGTCTTAATTGTACGTTAATACATTCTCGGCTCAGTTTTTTTTTTTTTCAAATCCACCGTTTATTAGTGTTCAGCTATTATTAGACAAATTTTATGTGAAAACTCACAGTAGGCCTACCCCTTGTTTCTTAAAATGTAAACAAATGTAAACAACATTTTGCCATGTGGATGATTTGGTTTGTTTTATTAGATCACCTGACCCAGTTCAGCACTGGCAATGTATGATATTGACATAAGTGACTTGAAACTAGTCCAACCCAGTTTGACCCAGTTCTGTTATTGCTGTGTTTGAACAAAGCTTTGTTTGAGTACTGTTACTTTATCACTGATAATATCAGTCGGTTATTTTTAATTGCTGGGCTGTATGTTCACTGAAAATAACCCATCACAGTGGGAAACTTTTGGACTTCAGGTTTCATAATCAGAAATGTAAAAATGCAGTTCATTGTTAGTCCTTTCTAGTGATAAAAATATGATGAGTGCTTTAATGCAAATATTAACTGACTTGTAGCAGGGTTCGACTTTAGCGGTAGGCCTACCCTGCTAGCCAATAAGTCAAAAGAGTGGCGGGCTAATCAAACTATTCCTTAAGTAGCCCAGCTGTCCGAGTCAAAAAATTTTGGAATACGGCAAAGATGAAAGGACAGTAAGAAATGAATCATTACAATCAGAAAGCAAACCTGTATCAATTTGTGTCTAATTTTATTAACTGTTTAGGGTTAAATTATGAGATCTGGTTCTTGTAAACACTGACAAGATTGCCTCAGGAGTCAGGATACACATTTTACATGTATGCACATTGTTGTTTATGAGACACTCTATAAAACAAAAACATGTGGACTAGTGAAAATGCCCGCAAGCTAGTATAAGAAACTGTTAGCCAGCCCGGCTGGCTAATGAACACAAAAATTTAGGTCGAACCCTGCTTGTAAAACCCTGAATTCAAGCTAACTTGCTTTAGATATAGAAACTAGACACTTGACTAGTCACAGTGCTTGCTTGACATATGATCTGACTGCTGGTGACTAGTCTTTGTTAAAAGTATAGCAGGGGAAGTTTAAGAGAATTTTGACTGTTTGTGACTGTTTAAGTAGCAGGAGGGTTAACCCTGGTTCCCAACCACATAGGATGTGTGAAAAATCATACTAAAGTTGGAGGATTCAGGACTGTTAGGGACTTGCAGTTACCTGTGATAGGTATGCATACAATGGCATGTTTAAACCCCTACTCCACAATCTGGTATTGTCTGGAGCGGACCAGTCACGCTTTTATTTGCACAATCCTCGGCATAGCAATGATGTTTGATTCTTTGCCCACTGTTCTGACCCAGATGTGTCTGTCATTGTGCGAGGCGTGTGCCTATGCCTGCTTGCCCTGGGGTTGTTCACGTTCCTACTGTACCTCATCGGTGACAAACTAGAAGCGTTGTGGAAACAGCTTTTCCACCGACTAGAACATGAAGAAAGAAAGCATTCAGGTAATAATTCAGGTATCATAACCATAAGTCCCTGAACTTATGTTCTGTGCTTCTTGTCAAAATGATTGCATGTCTTCAAAATCGTCACAGTTATTTCACATGAGCGGAAATGTCATTGTAGGAAACCATGTGTTGCACCTTTGGAAAAAACTCTACAAAAGCTCCAAAACTTCCGAGGCAAAATGCTGAGTAACCAAGTTTTGTACCTTAGAGAAAAAAATATTTTGTGTTATTGAAGATTATAGATTTGGCAAGAAGATGGCAAGAAGAGAACTTTTTTTTTTCTTCAATTGAACCTGGCTAAAGGTACCTGAAGACAAATATCACATACTGCTGCAAAGGACCCCTGATAAGTTTTTCAAATTTTTTTGTTCTTGGCAAATATTTGTCCTTCAGTTGTAAAATACTGAGATAAGATTAGGGCCTGAAAGTAGTCATTCATTTCAAATTGTGTTGAGTCTTAATTATTTGTACTTTTGATGATCACCCGATCTGTACAAATGATTACCTGGAACACAAAGTAATTAACATAAATAAATCTCTGATCATGTCATTCATTCAAAAAGTGGCCACGATGACACAGCATTTTGCTTTGTCTACACGTCAATGTACTATATTGCCAACACTTTTGTTTGGGTCTGTAAACTCTTCAGTGAATGTTAAACCTTAAATGCAGTGTTAAGGTTTCCCACTGAACTGGCCAAAAGTTCCTTTTCCGTTTTTTGATATCAGTCTGTTCCAGCGTCAAGTCCTGGACCGAAAAAGTCTCTCTCTTTTTCCTGATAGAACTTGAAAGAGTTCACATTAACAATTGCCAACATAAATATGCCATTGCAAACAAACATCTCTATATTTATTACGCATACATCAAATGAAACGTGCCCCCCCCCCCCCCCCCCGTCCCATAATGGATGAGGACTCGCACATTTCTTTTTTGAAGATTGTTCAAATATTTGTTCTGAACCCTGTTGACTCTAGGATTATCAGCAGAGGAGTTGGCTCAACAACAGAGGGCAGTACGAGAGAGAATCCAGAATGAGTACAAAGAAAAGGTAAATATACAGACCAAACTCTACTGCAATCCTCTAACAAATCAGGGATTGGGGGGGGGGGTAGGGGGCCGAAGATTTTGAAGTACAGATTTCAAAAGTTTTCTTATTTGTATTGTTAACATATCTGACAGAATAGTTACTCATTGAAAAACAGTTACTAGTATATGTACAGCCTTAACAAATTGAAAGAAACCGTTTACGAAATTGTTCACAGACATTTCGGTTCTTCAAAGTGCATGTCTTCTAAAAGACATATCAGTGCATATATTTCACACTGAAAGTTAAGATAAAATAAAGTTCATGATGTCAACACTTTCTGGTTTACTGTTAACCTTTATTACAATTGAAAATCATTTTGATCTAAAGTTTGAACAGCCCGAACTACCGGTACATGTAGTAACTTGTCAAATATCTAGCTATTCTGCTTGTCCGCACTTCTTATGTCCGCATTTCAAATACAACATACCTATATCATACAGGCTTCAAGATATGAGGCCGAAGTTCTGAGACCCAGGCAAGAAGCAAAGAAGGCCCAACTGGAGAAGGAGTTCTACAAATTTGCTGGCCCAGCCTGGAAAGGGAAGGCTCAGAGGCTTGGAGTAAGAGTAAATCAGTGTTGTTTCAATAAATTGGTGGAATTGACAAAGTTATGACAGAATTAAGTTATTTTCTTATATTTTAATACATGGGCAGTTTCAGCATTATGTGATGTCATCAGTGACAGAGCTTCTTTTAAGGGCGCAGTAAATAAACCTGATTTTTCAAAATCTCATACATCCATCATCTAATAATGGTTAATGACATTACAGACTAGGAGTTTTGGATCATTTCTCTGAATCATGCATTAGATATCATGGTTAACTGGCTCTGTCATGGACATTACACTTCTTTCACAATACTGGAATTGCCCACGTACTGAAGAGATTCTCTTCAGTACACATAAAAGGGGTTGTGCTTGCTTGCAATTGCCAACTTGTGAGGAATGCATTTATTTAATAGTTTATGCATACGCTCGCTTCCAAAGCCGAATTTCAATTGAAAAAGGGGATTTTGGTCACCGTATGTTAATCTGCTGGAGCGGAAAATTCACTCGCCAAAACGAGTTTGCATAAAAGCAATCAATTATTTATCAGGGACATAGCCACAGCTGGTGTTGAACAACATTGCATCAGCCAACAAGTTAAAAAATAATCAAAAATTGCTGAAAACAAAACCTTGAACAAACATGAAGCTAAAAAAGGAAATCCACAAATTTTGCATTGATTTTCTGTCCAGAGTGTTAATATATTAATTATTGTATTTTTGTATGTTCTGATTTGTGTTAGTAAGGCCAAAAAAAAAAAAAAAACATGTTTAGCATCGTGCCTTTTTGAAAAAAAGAAAGCGGGAGGCCCTTTTTTCCCCCTCCAAAATGGCCACCTGGCCGGGCTATTTTTCAAGATGGCCGCCACTTTTTTAAATGGCCGCCATTGGACTCCAGAAATGACATATCAGCTTTATATGGGCTGGGTGCAGCAGATAAGAGACCAAAATGATGTCACTGTTGAAAATTTAACATTTTTTTTTTGGTGGAGGTGGCCTCCAAAAAGGAAGCGGGCGGGGATGTTAAACATGGTTGGGTTTTTTTTGGCCTAGCAGGTTAAATTTATAGGTGTATGTGTTTCATTCATTGTTTGTGGGTGTTTTTTTTTCTCCCATTGTCCTAAATTCATGTTTTCATGGCTGCATCCTCAAGGACATATACCTCACACGAAAGCAAAGTGAAGCGACTTTCGTGACGTCAACAAGTTAACTTTCAGATCAAATTTAAAGGTTTGCATGGTGGAGATAGCAATGAGAAACATTGGCAAATCTCTTTTGTGAGTTCGTGGGGTTCTGGAAAGAACCGGGGGAAACTCAACATTATTGGACAGTATGCTCTGCCCGTCTTCAGTACTTCATTGTGACATGCACCATTACCCTAACAAATTGGCTTCGCACTAAATTTGCGTGAAGAATGAACACAGAATCTGATGATGTTGTATGTCTAAATACATGTTGAGGACGTATGTTATCTGTATACTGGTACAAATATTGAACGGTTTAGCAGCCAACAACGTATAGACGCCACAGCCAAACAGTGGCATTGATTTCTTCAAAGCACACAATTACCAGGGAGGAACAGATGATGATGCTCAGTTGCCATAGCGATATTGGCAAGCCAGTGTTTACAAAAGATGATGTCAACTTCATTTAAATTAAAGTGTGAATGCAAACATGTTAGTGAATATTATAGGTTTTGAGTTAACAAAGCAAATATAAAGGGGCCATCCACAAGATGACATTTCCTTATTTGTCCAAATTGACACCACATCCAATTGATAATTAAAACAAAAGGGACAATTCCAGGATTAGATGAGAGGAAGTGTAATTTCCATGACAGAGCCAATTAACCATAAAATATGTAATTAATGATTCAGAGAAATGATCCAAAACTCCTAGTCTGTAATCTCCTTGACCAGTACTAGATGATGAATGTGTAAGATTTGAAAAATACCCTTTTCCAGGTTAATTCACTGACTGCTTTTAAAAAGTGTGTCACCAACATTACAGGTACATAACACAGGAAATGCCCAAAGCAAAGTTGTTAGAACTTTAGCCATATTGTTCTTACGAGCAAGAGTTCAAGATATTTTAAGCAATATTGTCACAAGTCAAATTCATCCAAATTTGACACTACCTGAAATTAAATACATGTACACTGCCACTGCCAGGTGTTGAAGCATTTTCAAAGAAAATAATGCTCATTCGTGCATTTGACATTTGTTTTCCCAAATTTCAGAAAGGGTAACATTATTAATTTAATCAATTGGTAACCAGTTGATTAAATTAATAATGATAACCTTTTTGAAACTTGAAATCCATTTCTCAACTGATTTGTACAATACCATACCATGGTTTCATTGATATAATTTCAAACTTGTACGACTGAAAAAGGCTAACTATTTTTACAGGATAACGAAGACAATAAAGAAGATACCAGTTCCGAGTCCAAGCTGTTGCCTAGAAGACGAGTACAAGGGTCAAGCAAAGATGCCGCTGCCAATAGGAAGCTTCCTGAGTCCGCAACCAGACCTCCTCCAGTTGTGCCCGAACAGCCTAAACAAGAAAAAAGGGTGAGACCTAGTACAGTTATCTTATGATCTTAAAGGGAATATACAACATTTGCAAACATCGAAAAATAAAACTACCAAGTTTTTGCGAAATACCTTAATAGGATGTTGGTGAATGACAGTCTAAAGCATCCTGTAAAATTATGGCACCTGGTATACTGTCATTTTCAAGAAAAGTGTTATTTTTGTATCAATTTCCAACGCTGATCGGCCGATCAGCGTTGGAAACAACTGGCTTTTTTTTCAAATACTGGCCCCAATTGACCATCGCACTTGTTTACAATCGATTACAAACCTATGAACGGGTACGAGCCAGCTAGACTGGTTCCCTAACCTTACAATTCCCCAATGTATGTAAACTGCTCTGTTTCTTCTTATATGGAGTCAGGGAACCAGACTACAGGAAAATGATCGTTTTTCTTGGTTTTTATAGCATTTTCGAACCCAAAACCTCCAAAAAGTCAGTGTAACTATATTTGCTTTATATTTCCAACCCCCCAATTCCAACCATTTCTGAAAATTACAGCAAAAGCAAATGATGTATATTCCCTTTAATTAGGAGCCTGTGCACTTTCAAGTGATGAGAAAGATTTCCTTTTTTGAACATCGTGCATAATTTCTGAAACTCTGGAGATTTATTTTGAACTGTAATTTCTTCAGCCCCTTGAAACAAATGTGAGGTATCACCTAATTCTTTTTCCAAAAAAAATTGTTTGGATTTTTCCCAACGTAGTTTCCGTACTGTTTGACAATCCCTTCTTTGCTAGCTCTGTCGAGTCCAAAATGTCATTCTTGTTTTTGGAGGGGTTTTTTTTTAGTTTAAAAAAAAAGCAAACAACATACACATTTTCAACACTTAAATAACAAGTCTATTGTGTTTTGTTAAAATTGCCAGGTAGTAGTGCTTCCAGATGAACCAGATGTTGCAGACAAAGAGGTGAGTATTTGAAAGAAAACATTTGGAAATTATAAAATATCACACATTGCTCGTCATTGGGCATTTAACTGTAGAGTAACGCTGTCGTGATGAGGCAAAGGAGTGGTAAGTTTCCTTTTTTAGAGATAGATGGGAAATCCGACTGTTTTGCACATGTTAACAATTTAAATTGAAGTGTTCTTGTAAAGTCAGATATTGTTTCTCATGCATCCAAGAAAGTGTTTTGTTATATTGTGTGCTTGGATGCTGTAGTTTTATTGGTTTAGAATGGAAGTGTCTGGTCTGTAAAAATGCATGGCACACACTGAGGGTGATATCGCACTGCATCACTGCCGCTGGAACAAACTTTTGCCAGGGGGTGCTGGAATAAAGGACGGACAAAATTAATGCGAAAGCGGAGCGCAAAGCCATTACGTCGTGGCTTAATTTGGAATATAGATGCTCTGTGGTGCAATCTAAAGTGATTCATGGCCACTTTCATTTGACTTTTTAGTAAAAGTTTTTTGAGATTATAAAGACAATTTATTTCATTATTTTGTTTAGAATATAGTGTTGCTCGTAAAACGTAAACTGTACTGAAAAGTGGAGAACCCTGTATTTTTATCTCCATTTTTGGTTCCATTTAAATCTGGAAAAAGAATTGTATCATTTTGCATGACATCGCACGTAAATATTATTGTTTATTTTCCGAGCACTTACGGCGTGGGGCCACAGGGCCAGGGGACCGCTTTAAGGCCCCAGAAAATGTTGGATTCTGGATGCACTGTGATGAAATATACTGAAGTATACTGAAACTTATAAAACCCGAAAGGATGTTTTTTGGTTCAAGTTAAAACAAATGGTTCCACTGGAAGCAGATGAATTTCTGTTCATATAAATATTCACATAGTTCTAACTCACCAAACGATGTAGCTCTCGATATATTTGCAGTGTTATTTGTTTGTTACAGGGAATGGCAAATATAAAAGACTGAAAGACCAAATTTAGTTTTATGATCGGTAGATGGCAAGTTTGGGGCTGGGCAAGGATTTATCGGTCTACTGAGTTTTTATGAGGAAAAACATAAATAGTTTTTTTTTTATTAAAACGAAACTACACTGGAATTGGCGTAAAGCAGGACTATTTCAATGAAAGCCAATTCCACTACCATTATGTTGGAGATGTGTGTGACCCTTACTATTTGTTAATGCTGTGTACAGAATGTTAGCAACGTCAATGCAACTTCTAAATGTAAAGAAAAACCTTCAGGGGAAAGGTATGAACATTTGCCCCTATTGAAAGATCGAATGAAAAAAAACCTGGCAAGCATAAATCAACTTTGCCACCATTGTCATGGCCGAGGTTATTGCTTTCGGGTCAAAGCTTCCATCATGGCAGAAATATTGTAGACATGTCATGATTTTAGATACCTTGAGAGATATACCGATTCTGCACTGCCTGAAAATTTAAGACGTTCGAAGCGCCGGGCTTAGCCGCGGCAAACTAGAAACGAACAAAACGAAGGAGATATTTGTAGAGCAAGCATAATGTATAGCGTAGCGGCACAATTTCATCGTCGTAGAACACTACTGGCCGGAACACATTTTTTCTGGGAGTAGGGGGTGCTGAAGCATATTCCAGCACCCCAATCCAAAAAGTTAGGGGTGCTGCAGCACCCATAGCACCCCCCGTTCCCATGGGCTTGCACTGGGTTTTTTGCGCGTGTGTGGAACCTGCTGGCACGCTATATAGCTTTGCGCAATGAGAACTGCAACGTCAAACACTCACTCTCATGTCCGGCAAGGTGTAAGACTTCATGTCGAATTTCATTCTTTTTTTCTCAACAGTGCATTACAGTTGCAATGAGAGGTTTACAAAGCACAGTCAAGAAAAGGCGATTTCTTTACACCGAAAAAGTGCAGGTGAGAGACAACGTCCTACAGGGACAGAGGATGGAAAGGTTTAGGTAGGGGTGCAGAAAGGGTGGGGCAAGAGACAACATTGGTTCAAAACCCAAAAGTTATGTGAAAAATTGGGAGGTAAAATAACTCTTAGCAGATTTTTGAGGTACTGCTTTATAGCGTAATTTTGATTCCCTGATTTTATATTGAAATAAAAACTGCAAGATAAGCTTGCGCAATGCCCCTGGCATACTGGCAGTATTTGCCAGTAAGCACACTTTTTCAGTGCACCTAACCAATATCAAAAATGACCTCACTTGACCCCTAGATTATCTTTGACCTCAAATGTCTCAAGTCATCTGAAGTCCCCCTACCCAAAGATTATTGTCACCAAGTTTGGTTGAGAGTGAAGTTTGACTTTTCATATGACAACACTTTTCAGTGAACCTAATGCACCTACCAATTGTTTCCCCCCCCCCCCTTCCCCCTTGTCACTTTCGAAGTGACAAAATCCCCACACCTCGAGCAAAATTTTAGTGACAATCCCCGACCATGCCCTGACATGCATACGTGGGGCGCACTAGTGATTGCCTTTCAATACCTAGATCCAGGGGAATTAAGGTTGGCATTATAACTGCCCCCTAATTCACGACAACAGTATTTGGTCCTTGCAAGCTTAAATTTTCTCATTTTCACAACTTGAGGATAGAGCCCTTTTTCTAAATTCTGAACAACAAACATCTGTTTGTGTAAAGTTCTTAAATGTTCCACGGTTCTTATTGCTATTTGCAGGTTTTGTTAGATTGGATGACCAAGCAAGGCTACCACCCTAAACTTTACACCGTCTGCACAACGTTCCCGCGAAGGGACTTGTCCCAGCATGCTGACCAGACACTGGAAGACGTGCAGGTGGTCAAGGATATCATGCTTGTGATTGAGGAGAGAGACTGATACAACAAGTCTAGTTATTCAAGAATTGACCAGAGCAAATAAGCTGTGTTCTTCAATTGTTGACACATCAAGGAATGACATAGAGATGCTCAGCAGAAAAATATAGTGGGGCTCACTTGTCCAATCGATAAACTGGCATATCATGCCATTTTGGATGCTCTATAAAAACGCTTTTTTGGGGGGTGGGGGTGGGGGAATGTGCACATTTATCCTACCAAAGCAGTTCAATCTCTGTAGGAATTTGAAACCCCATATTTGCAATGTTAAGTTTCAATTACATACATGTAAGTATTTCAGTTGAAAAACATATTATAATGGCTTCCTTAAAAACAACAACTTCGTTATACAGTGCAAGTAGTACTTTTCGTTGGTCCTCACAAGAAAAATATAAACCACCTATTAAGATATAAGACAAAGGCATTCAAGTATCCCAACTTCAAATAAAACATGTTTTTACGGCCAAGTCAAATTTGGCCAAAACAGCATAAAACCTATGCAGCTATGTATAAAATCAAATTATATTTTTGATGGATCAGCAAAGCGCCCTCTATTGACAAATACTGGTATATGCAAAACAAATAGTTCTTGGCTCTCAAGTGAAATGACTCGTTAATCGCGCCGGCGAGTCGGATGATCTTACTGTCTGTTAAAATATTTCTTCACAAAATCAGCGCTTGAAAGTATTTTTGAAAGACAACATTTTTATCGATTCCAGGGAATTGTAAATAGCCAAGATGAATATTTAGAAACAGTATACATGTACATGTTAACTAATTTCATGAAAACTTTTTGTGTTGATATTGACTGAATATTGACATTACATTCAAATGATATATCCATTCTGAATAACAACACTGAAATAAATACTAACAACGAAAAATTGGTCTTTTGTTTGATGATTGTGAGTCCATAGAGGTAAGGTTTTAAAAAGCAACTATAGGTCTGTGGCAAATGCAGAGATTAATCCCATTGAGACTTAAGAGGTTACATGATAGGGGTCCTCTCTTAAGTCTGACGCCTCATAGGTCCGACGTCTCATAAGTCCGAAATTTCGGACTTATGAGGCGTCAGACTTATATGAGGCGTCGGACCTATGAGGCGTCGGATTTATGATACGGCCCCGAATGATACGCAAGCATACATGTACATGTTATATCCTGTGATTGACAGCTGCAAAAAAATCTTGAACAATTTCAAATTTCTCTCAAATTAAGAGTTAGTGCAGGGTGGCTCAAGTTCCTTGGCACTTTATCACAAAGCTACATTTGCAAAATTGGGCATATTGTATTAATGCCCCCCCCCCCCCACCCAAATTACAAAGATTGCGATATCCGCAAAACAGCTTATTGGGTACCCCAAGTTGGCCCAACATCATTAAATCCCTAAAACCTTATAAACATTTGAAGTACAAAAAGTACGGAAAGAATGCAGTATCCAGACGCCACTTCAACAGTTGTGTGCAAAATCTATGGGGACTATTGGAAATGTTTCTCGGTCCCAGATTCTAGTCTTTTCAACATTTTTCCAATGACTGACAAAACATGACCTTTATTGAGATGATATAGGGCCTATGAAGAAAAAAGTGGTGTCAGGATGCAATATTCTTTCCAAAAAGGAACCCATCACCACTCAATCCCCCAAACTAATGAACATTTGAAGAAGAAAAAGTGAGAACTTACCTGTTCCAAAATAATAATCACAATGTTGCTAGAGTCAAGATGGTGCTTCTGATCAAGGAGCTCGAGCTTTTTATTGCTCCATGTTCTGATGAAATGCCCTCAGTCATTAAAAGTTGGAGACTTGAAAAGACCTCATACATGTTGTCCATGCAAGCCTCATCACTCTTCCTCTTAGATCAACCACATAAATGTAACAAAGAAAGACAAGACTTCCAATGTTTCAAACAGTCGGGTCAGTTTAACTCAGTTTACAGTGTGCACTGATGTCAAAAGACATTCAAGGGAACAGATTGGCAAACAGTCCTGCACATGTGCTTGCAAAAAATGTGACTGGTACCCAGTCTCAATCAGTCTCTATTGTATGTATTACCTCCACAGGCGAAATCACCAGACCATTGGATGTCCATATTTGAAGAAGTTTCACCCAATTGTTCAAAAGTTCACAGAGACCAAATTTGCTTTTGACACCTTAACTTCATGTGGTGAAATATTCTGGACCTAAGCTTTGAAAAACATAACTTTAGGAGAATGAAGCTTACCTTGCTTTTGTATGGGTTTCTGCTGCCCTGGTTTTCAGTTTGAAAAGATGCTGGATAAATACTGCCCTCTGTAGTGCAAATGCAAATTTTACAATTTTTTGGTAGTGAAGGGTAAAACCCCATTAAAATGAAATCATCAATCACTTTGATACAAAATTCCATCAAAAGGTCTCCACTGGAAAAATTGGCCAACAAAAAAATAAATCCAACAAAAGATCAATGTAATCAAGATTTTACAGACATTTCCTTCATTTGTAATTTTTATTAATTAATCATTATTCCATAATTAGACTAACAAGGTGAGATATCTAGATGCACCGGTGACTTAAAACAAGTCAATAAAAAGCATCTGCACTGCAGATTTTTAAAATGTTGCAACTTGTTCTCAGAGAACCTGGGAACCCTTCTCCTACAAGCAGTTCCGAATTTAACCCAATATCTGATGCTGTTGACTAACTATTTCAAACTTAATTACTCTTGAACAGGTAAATTACCAAAAATAAATACGTACATAAATATTCAACAACAACAAAATTAATTTCTGGACAAGCCAAACACTAGCAGTACCTCCATAAATTCTCTAGCAAACTATATACATAACAAGTTTCGTAAACTCTAATTAATTCAACACACTTTGTCACTGTTGCCAATGTTCATCCGTCAAATGAATACCATTCAAGAAATTAGTAGAAATTTTGCCAGCAAAAACGGATATAAAATCCAATTTGTCAAAAAGCATCCGAGTAGTAACTACATTTTTACCGATTAAAAAAAAAAAGTTAAAGGACTTGACCAACTGGAGTGGGGTTTGAACCTGCAACCTCCGGATTGCCGATCCAGTGCTCTACCAGCTGAGCTATCAAGCCCTATGATGGCGGTTCCCCTTTAAGTCAATGTTTTGTACAGGGGGGGGGGGGGGCTACAGTTTTACAGATTAAATATCATGATTTTTACATAGACAATTTTATCTGCAATGATAGGAAATGCTTAAGATTGCTTATTCACTGCAATTGACCAACTTCTCTGCTAAGCATTTACACAGGAAATTGAAGACGGACTGAAATATTTTTGGTCAATGGATTGAAGTGTTGTGGTCCAGTCCATATCACAAGTCTGTAGATCGTGCCAGAGTCGTTTCACAAGTCCAGTCACAAGTAACCAGGGGTGAGCAATAATCAAGGAATGTCTTCGTCACAGTTCATTTGAATAGCTTGTGACTTGACTTGGAGCTGGAGGACTAGTGATGGACCTCTGAGGACTCGTACAGATTTGGGGAAGACTTCCCATACCTGGACATCGCTTGACACCCTGTTAACAAACCCTATGAGATTGGTCTGAAAAATCTGCGTCGGTCAGGGACGACCGCTCGTCCCGCAATGACCACTCCTCGGTCAGTAGCCAGGACCCGGTCAACGAATTTTCTCAGTAAATGTTCCAATATGTTTCCCTGCTAAATTTGACATTTTATTGCTTCCCGATAGGTCACTGCAGGGAAAAATTAGTGATGTCCACGTATGGAATTCTTTTCCAGAAGGGTGCTGGACTAGACTACAACACTAGCAATTTGACAGACTCAGACCTGTAGATAATTAGTTAAATAAAGATCAGAAACTCATAAAAACTCAGTATTAGCAGACCAAGTAGTTTCCGCTCTTACTTGAGGGAAGCCAATATCTACATCTCTGATCAGGTACCCTTTGTCAAACAAAAGTAAATGTTTTGAATCTATAAAATTAAACAGTGAGTTGTTTCCGACCTCCTTCCTGGCTCATGAAAGAGGTTAATTAGTTATGCTTGTAAAATAGATTATTTGCAACAGAGATACAATGTTCAATCTTGGGTCTATAGTCATTAAACAATCCAAGGGCCAATTTCATGGCGCTGCTTATCGGTTATATCGGTTGTGGATGTGCTAATGGTTGCGCGCACATGGAGATTTCAAATGTTAAGTCACTGATTTTAACCAGTTCACGCCGGGATCATTTTGACATTGACCGGACCCAGGCATGGGATTGTTTTTCACGAACCTCAATGCCGGATGGGTTCTGGCCGTCATCTGCGGGTAGCACACCCGGATATTTCCGGCCTCGCTCGCTGCAAACGGGTCGCACACAGACATTTCCGACCTCGCTCGTTGCGTGTTTATCCGTCATCCGTTCCAAATACTGCAAAACCTTTGCGTGTACACACATCATCTGACGTGAACTGATTATTGGGTTAAGCAACTTTTTCTATGGTAAGCAGCCTTTTGTTGTGCTCACTACTGACGGTCTGCATGGAATGGACGGAGGCTCTGTTAGCACAAAACCGCGTGCTTGGCAGCGCTATGAAATTGGGCCCAGGATTTGTGCACAATTGCAGGCGCACAGAAAACTGCACCTCGTGAAAACTGCACCTGAAGCAAAGAAAACCAATCTTTAAAACTACATACACTTAAAAAAAAGAACTACAAATGGGTTATTAAAAGCAGTCTAGAAATGCTTCGGAATATGTTCCACTGATGAGTTGCAGTATCTGATACTAAAACAACAGAACAACAGATACTAAAAACAGGGTATTTTTTGGTACCAATAGCAGGTTGCTACACACATGCTGACATGTGCATCAAAATTTGGAAATAATTAAACAGGCTTCCAATGTCTTGGATTCTTTTCAATATGGACAGGAAAAGTTAATTTTGCTAGAATTTTTTGTTTAAGTCGGATTGTAATAATTGCTATGTACATGGTATCATTAAGACTGTTTTTGTTTTAAACTGTCATTCAATAATTTTTGATATTTCAATAAATACATGATTGGTAATTTCACAGTGGTTTTTAGTATCCATCAACCTAACTTGATTAGTCTCCACTTACCAATTCACAAACTTTTAACGACCCAGAAACGTTAATTTGAAACACACGTTACAAAGAGACACAATCATTGTATCGTTAGGCTGCAAAAATGGAAGGTTTTGGCAGTTACGTCAAATACAAAGCTTTTTTTTTTATACATGTAAATCTTTTGATACACAAGCAAGTTCTGAGCCCAACGAAATGGTTAAGAGCATTTATTAAAAAATGCAAAAACTGTACAATTCTGCCAAAAAAAAGGAGATAAAAAAAGGAGATTGAATGTAGCAGGATTAAAACAATTTGAGCAACTTATCACACACATTATTACTCATACTGGATCCTAGAACATTTAAAATTTGACATCAATGGCTTGATTTTTTTTTTTTAAAGGCACTTGATGATTGCATTTGTTTGAATTTTCATGAAAACATACTCTTGGTTCGTGCCTGAAATGATGCAAAAAAAAATTGTTCTCAAGTGAAAGAAATATAAAAACCACCGGTTAACAAACTGTGCATGAAGTCAAAGATGAGTGCCAACTGCTTGTAGCTCAATTCTGCTGCGACATTTTCACAAAACAAAACACTTTCTGAACTTGGAATTAACCCTCCTATGCGAACATACATTCTGTGCCAAGTAGTCCTTCAAGTCAAAATCAAACAAGTGACTGTTTTCAACAGTTAAGAATTCCCAGGCTACATAAGGCAGGATTGACTGGCTGGGACTGTTTAAGTAACTTGATGCAGCTATGCTTTGACTCTAGGTAGGTGATAAAAAACCTGTGACCACAACTTGCCTGCTTTGTCTGTTCATGGTCTGTTGACTGAGTTTGACTAGTCACAGTGCTCGCTTGACATATGATCCGACTGCTGGTGAATAGCCTGTGTTAAAAGTATAGCAGGGGAAGTGGGTGGAAATTTGGACTGTGATCTGTGACTGTTTATTAATAGCAGGATGGTTAAAGATATTGGCATATATGAAGATGTAGCAATATGTCAACACTGAGCTCATGTTTGTGGTTGCTCGTGTGCTAATATACAAATAAAACATAGTTTGCGGGTTGGTTGTCGATACTAGTTCCTCGAGATATTAAAAGTTGACAAACACGTTCCCCTAGGCAAAGCTAAGGGAACTAGTTTGTCAACTTCCGACACGGAGGGGATGTACTATCGACTATCCACCCGAAATAAACCATGTTTTATTTGTTCTACTATACCTCACACATATTCACCAAAATTTCACTTTTCTCGGCAAAACGTTGTGCGTGTGCCCCCATCTTTTCATGTAGCTCGGGCGATGTTCATGCGCGCGCACTATCCCGTGCCACAATTAAGTTCCACGATTGCTTTGTAAAGCGCAGGCGTAGTATAATAAACCTGTGCGTGCAACCTCGTGTGCGCGTTTGGTAAACAGCAAAACTAGCGGCTGATATGTGATGGTGAACGGACCAGTGAAAACTTGGCTTTTGATAATGTGTATGAGGTATTGTAATATCTACTTTTGCGCAATGAAGCAATTTTACTCCCAAGGTATCTGTAGCACTAGATAACCACTTAGTTTCTCAGGATGTTTGAATAAATGTTCACACAGGCAGAAGTTGGACTTCAATGTGTAAGAAAGCTGACTTGGTGCACAACACATAAAAGCCAAAATAGAGTATGTGCCAACCAATGCCTTAAAGAGTCTATACCATGACTGAAGTGCAAAAAAAAAAATCCACTGAAAAATTATCAGTAGACAAGTGAAAATAAAAATACGATCAAGTCCCATTTGGAGAACTCAAAATCGGAGACTTGTTGGTCATGTGATGAGTGCAGAGTGATATATGACTCACTCCAATGCTGAGATCTCAAGGTCTGAAACTCAATGGTGATTGGATAAAACAGAGCTGGACAAACATGACTCACTACAACTCGGAGAACTCACGGTCAGAAACTCAGCGGCCATCATCTAATGAGTACCAGAAAAAATGCAACTGACGGAGAACTCAACATCAATTGGATGTATGTGTCACAGACTGTGCTATCTTTCATCTTAAGTGCAGACTGAAAAGGCCAAGGTAAAAGTGAACCCTCATTATTGCTTTCACCATATCCCCAATTTCTTGAAAAAGATAAGCCTAGGCATGGGCTGTTTCAAACTATATTGCCTCAACTCTGATGCCTTTAAGCCATTTCTGTCATTAGTCATGAAAACAGTTATCCGCATCCTAAAACTTAAATTAAAAATTTTTTAAAAAATTAAATATAGAATTAGGGTTTGCCGTTAAATAATGTAATGAGGTCCTGGAGGGGCGCCAACTCTTTCGACTCGATGAGGTTGAACTCCTGGACGAAGTAGATGAAGTGCTTGAAGGAGGTGTTGAGATGGGCCTCCTCCCCGAGTTTGACGATCTCTGAGAAGTGCTGGTGGTAGACATGGGCGTAGACCCGGAACAGACGCTTGAGTATCGTCTTGGCAATGGTGGAGAAGTTCTTAGGGAAACTCACGCCTTTTGAGTGGAAGAAAAGGGGATTGGGAGAACAAATTGTGAGATGCTGCTAAAAAAGAGATAAATATTATCAGCTTAAGATCACCCTTTAAATGACCCTGAAATCTCTTAAATTCATTGCTTTTAGCCGCTTTCATGAAGTTGGTAAGCACAGATTTTTTTTGCTTTTTATTGCTCTTGAAGATATTTCGAGCAACATGCGCGCGTGTTTAAAACATTTTGCACTGCGCGCACACAAACTGATTGCATTGAACACGTAGTTGCAATTTTCCTACAAAGATGGCTGTCTATGAGAGGGGTCTATAGGAACAGCCAAACTAACAAAATACAGGCTGTGCCAAATTAACTCAACTATGGCCGGCGGTAGCACAACAGTTAGAAGTGTCTTCAGCCCCTACCATAGGCGCATGCATGCGTGCAAGCCATAGACAGTAATTCTGATGCCGCCATATTTGGGGACATCTTTACGGAGTCTACTTTACCGATTTTTGACGGGAATATCGTCTCATCATCGAGCTGATCTTGTACCCACGTCATGAGATAATCTATGTATTTGGGGGCTGAGCACTTGATGGGTTTCTTGACTGTCTGCCCGTCAGCCCAGTGGTACTCATATCTGTAAATATAGACATCATAATCAAATGCTATTCGAAATTTATAAGTTACATAGGAGTAAACGTGGTGGGTTTGACAGCATCCCTAGAACCTATTGCTGTTCAGATGTTGCATTCTTGATATTGTTCTACAAGTATTGGCAATGAATTTGCTGAAGACTTTCACATTCATCTCCCATTGGTTATTTTTATCTGCTGTAGACAATTCCCTGCCTCTTTTCATCTACAGGGTGAGAGTTTCTTCATCAAGTTTCTTCCCTCGTACTGCGTCACTTCTGAACTCATTGCCAGAACTCTGCTTTTACATCACCACAATTCAGGCATGATATCTAGGGCCCTTTCTCTTGAACTGTATGTTTCTTTTTGTTACTGGTTTCAGAACAAACCCGACACTTTAGCATGCATGTTTAGCATTGTTACAGGGCAAACGATAAGCAAAACAAATTATTTGACCGTGTGATGAGACCATCCTGGGGCCCTCAATGACTTACTTTGGGCCTGCAGACATCACCGGACACGAGTCTGCCATGCAGAATTCTGTGACGGTGCCATACAGCATGTTGATCTGATTGAAGAAGTCCACAGCTAAAACGAAAATAAGTGTAAGAAATCTTATTATACTTTGGTTAACGAGGGAAAGTCAAGACTTTCCTTAGACGTGAGACCAAAGAATCAACATTAACCCTAATTTCCTACTTATTTTTAACTAAGAAGATGACCATGTCCATCAAAATCCATCACTCACACTGCTTCACATAATGCTTCAGGACCAATTTTTTTTAAATCAACCAATGGTACTGATGGATTTTGGACTTGTTACACATGGCTTATCTGCCATGGTTGAAGGACGCAGCGTTTTGGGGTCGGAAAACACAACGTAAAAGTACAGAAATGTCAGGTCAAGGTTTTTAAGGCCCAAAAAAAAAAGTCTCCGGTTTTTGGTATGCGCGCGCGTCGCCGTAGCCATGCGCGTTGGCAAAATGAAAAAGTTTTTTTTCAATAAAAGATGAGGTCTCAAAAATGCAAAATTCACTGGTTTGACTGGGATCCTGCTGCTGCACAATTTTAACGTGTTTTTAGATGGGGTTATGATCGAGAATAAGCTTTATGTGGCCTCTCTGAGTCTCTGGACTCCCATATATTTGCACTAAGTTAGTCGGGCACCATTTGCAGTCATCAGCCGACATTTGAAGCAAAAAAAACAGGTAAAAAAAAAAAAAGCCGCATCGCCGCACCACTTTTTGGGCAAGCTCCATACCAGAAACCGGACACTTTTTTTTGGCCTAAATATGTCTACGGTTGGATGAGCAAGTCTCCATATTTCAGCGTCCTAAATGGTAGCTGCACAAAGCAGATAGATCCTCCTGCTACTTACTATTGACGGCTACCCATTCGTTCAGATCCTCCCCGTCCGGTAGGACCACGGCTAGCCTGAGGTTGCCACTGCCCAAGGTGGCCTCAGCATGTTTCATCAACTCATACTGATGCGTCCCCTCTGGAATGTTCTTCTTTGGCTTGAATGTCTTGGTCGACCTCCCGCCGCTGGTCAGATGAGCAGAGAAAATTAAAGAAAAAAGCAATGAGTTTCTAATGAGTGTGAGGATTGTGAGGTGGCTTCCAAAGGCGTAACAATGTCTAGAAACCCCAAACTACTATTCACACAACAGAATTGTAAAAAGACACTTTTGATGGTGGCTTTCAGTGCCTGAGCTTTTGGATGTTAAAAAATTGAGAATAATTTTCAGGGCCCCAAAAAGGTTTGGACCAACTTATTTGTGTTCTTTGTTACCCATGCCATTACCAAAGACATGCCAAAAAAATGTTTTTGTTTTTGTACATTTTACTCTATTTTTCCTACTTCACTCGGGACGTACATGTAAGTATACAGTGTTTATACGTCGGTGAAGGGCAGAACTTAATATTCATTTTACATGTACATTATTTACATACACATTAAATTAAAACACATGCCAAGGGTCAACCTGAATATCATTTCTGCTGAATGAACCTTCGTGACCTCTTTTTCAAATCATTGACTCTGATCTGATACATGTACAAAACAATCTGGATTTTAATCAGGATCTTGAACATTTTGTACATTGAACCTGATTATATTTTTTTTTTGTACATACAAAGTACTGACGTCTTTCACTGATTATTTTTATCTGGATTCTGTATGAAGATGACAGATACCTTTGAATACAAGATTCATAGAAAGCAGAAAGGCCGGAGGGGAAATTTACATGTACTTGTGAAAATACAAAGCGTATCTTAATTTCCAGGGAAAAAATTATGATGGGATTGCAACACAAAGTAGCATATCCATGAATATATTTTGTACTTTTGAATTGAGAGTTTCATTTACATACGTGTACACGATAGCACTTTCAATATCAATTTCAAGTTGGCAATATCTACATGTAGCCTAATCGAAACTGGGATACTGCTTCTATAAATAGTTCCCATCCTTTCCATATTGCCACAGGTTCAATCTGAATAAAGATATTTATCACGCAGAATGATTCCAAGATATTTCAGATGTGGAAATTCAATTGGATCAAGGTCAAAACGATAGAAACAACAGTGCAGTTTCTTATTTCAAAGCTCAGCGTGATTAAAATTTCACAAAGGAAATTCAGTTTCGTTAAAAGCAATGGCCTTAGAGACAAGTAAGGTGACCTGAAGTTGACCTTCGACCCTGATCTGTTATTCTGCCTCAGGCTGGTGGTTGGGTGTTCTTTTGACCCACACAGTGACTCTACGTCTATGGTAACCAAACCTGGCAGTTCAATTTGATGAATAATTAAATAGAAAAGAATTCTCAGATATCACACATCCTTGCATATCACATCGTTGCATATCAGTGCTCGATGGAATTTGTTTAATATGACAGTACACTAATTCTATATCTGTTTTTAAAAAAATGTCATCCATGTTTTACAATTGTGCATTTGAACGAACAGCCTAATTCTGTCTGTAAAAAAAATCAACACAGTGCTACACAAAACAATACACACGCAGACTTGTAGATATTTTTCTCTCACTGATCTCTGTCTGCATCTCTGCTACATTGTGTACTTCCACCAACATCTGATGCTGATTCTCAAAAGGTTTTTTTTCTTTTCATTTCTATTTCGCCTTGTGGCAACAATTTGATTTTGAAATTTTTGTCTTGAAACCACATGAAATATTTACATGTGACCACAATATTTTATAGTGTGCAACCAACTTACAACAGTAACATTGTTTCACATATTTCCCAAATGACCAGATTCATATAATAGTATACATATAGCACCGGTACAATAATGAAAACGAAACTAAACTAACATGTGACCAGACCATATTTGCTGTACAAATAATCTATGTACACGTATACGTTCTATTTAAAGTTCTGGGAGAAAACATATTGTAAACTACGCACTCTACGCCCTTCTACATGGTCTATCCAATTTATGCTGAGCAGACATGGCAGAGGAGCCAAGCATAATTACACAACTGAAGCATTTTATGCTAATCTTCAAATACATTATGAAGTCTGAGATGAGATGATGCAGCCACAGCAGTACCTCACCCCATGGGATCATTAATGTTTAACCGTAAACCAACACCATCCAGCCATCCACTTAAACCTAATTTTAAAAACAAATCCCATTTGTCACGCCCAGATTAACAACCTCATAATGTAAAACCTTTGTTTACACAGACTAGTCAGAACATATACATGTAGTATTTATGTAGAGCAAGGAACAATGTACAGAAAGGTTGACCAAAGAACAATAGGCCATTTCACACTTTCTCTTGTCTACCCTTTTGAAACAGGGCCCAATTTCATGGTTCTGCTAAATGCTTACCATTAGCGAAAAATCCCTGCTTAGGCCAAAAAAAAAATATTCGGTCTCTGGTCAGACCAAAGTTCCGGAATTGATGTGGCGACGCGGCCTTTTTTTTTTTTCTTTTTCTTTTTTTTTTTTCTTAAAGCTTGGATTGTACAGACAAGGTGGGGTACTATTTTGCTTTTTTGGTGTCCTCATGTACATTGGTGTCCTCCATAATTTGCCTTGGTGCTCTCAATCATTTGCCTTGGTGCAATTTCCCATTCCTTGGTGCTCTTTGGTAGAATAATTGAGGAGGTGCAGCAATAGAGGGTGCTGTTGGAGCTACCGCGGAACATTCTGGAAAAAAAAAAGACTGACGCGCATGATTAAAATCGACGCGCGCGCTGACCAGAGACCGACTTATTTTTCTTTTTGGCCTTACTTGTAACAGAAATTCTGTGCTTAGTGTAAGCGTATTTCACTGCAATAGCTAGGAATTATGGCTTCTGCGCATGCATACATTGTACGTCTCGTAACTTAGGATTCTGTGCTTACACAGTCAGCGCAGAATTTTCCTGCCAGTGCTGTTAGCAAAAAATGGTGATCCTAAGCGCGGAATTCCGTAGTTTGTACAAGTTTGTACGGCCATGAAATTGGGCCCAGGATTAGTCGAACACCGGTAATTAAAGCAAGGTGTATAATTCATTTTCACCATGGAGCTATGAAACACACATGGGTCAACTGTGGATTTTCTACTTGTGGAGAGCCTCTCAACCCTCAGAGCGCAGGACTCGTTTGGAAGCTGTGTTCCATTCTTGCTAGTGTGAACAGAGTTTTTAGGTAAATATCTCCGCACTGGACCTGGGTCAAACACTGAGATTTTCGATAGTGTGAAAGGCCTGTAGGTCTTTAACCCAGGGTTTGCAGTTTCTGCTAGATTGATCACATGCATTTATAGATCTGTTATGGCTTGGAGTAGGCCATACATGTACATATTTTTAGCTAGGAATATTCTACATTTTGTCTTTGATTTATCCACTACCCCACAACACTGAAGTTTGTCTCCATCCAAATAGAAATCCAATGATATTTTTCTTCAAACTTAAAACAAACCTGGACATCACTCCCCATGTCAAGTTACTTGGCTAAATATTTAAATATTGATGTAGGTTCTTTGCAACTTTGGTAATACGAGCATCATTAAAGTACATTTGTACATGTATACATGTACTCAGTGCACATGTACACACTTTTATCTGCTTTAGGGCATAGGGTCACTCCTTTGTTATTTAACGTTACCATGTCAAGGATTAGCCAAGTCACAGTTTTGATGGTCCATGTCAATAAAATGATACAACAGTAAGCTGAAAACTTGCACAATGTAAGCAATGGAACTCTCTAAACAAAGAACAACATAACGCCACCAAAGCGTGTCAAACTCTTTCCATTCTATTGTGTTCTATTCAACGGCATTTACCTTCAGTCCATAATACACTATACACAGGAAGAATCCCTTTACTGTGCAATAGGCCTATAAAGCCTGCATTTATGACATAGGTAATAAAATCCATCCCACTCAGTCATTGACAACCAACTGTTTTGAAGGATATAAATAGATTCCCCTTGTCTGACCACACCTGATAAAATTTTCACAAATATTCGTAACAAGCATGAGTCATGCGAACAACAAACGAAACCGGCCCATCATTATTATCAATGGCACTGTTACCATGAAGAGGAAAACAAATGTTTTCTGAATCTAAATCTGAATCTGAATGGTATAGTTGGCAAAGCATCCATCAGGAAACAGCACACCAATTTGTTGGTTAGTTTGGGCCTGAAGCTGCACGTATTTTCAACAACATTTTTGGAACCACTGAAACAGATTGAGGAATTCCACTCTAAACGTTGAGTAAGACGTGTTCCCAGATTCAGTGATTACTAGGCAGGAGACTGTTCCTGGTGTTCCAATCCTTGATTGTCCTAGGGGAAGGAACTGTTGTTGAAGGTTCTGGTTCTGGTATAAAATTGATTCAGTTTGTGTTTCATGTCCCAGGGATGATCAATTATTTGCAATTTCATCAGGTGAATAAACTATAGAAATATTCGCGACCAACTCGGAGTCTCGGACCCATGCCAACCGGTACCCAACCATGACCAACTTGGACCCAACAATGACTGAATCATCATTGTTGGTAGTGTCAGGTTTTTTCATATTACGAAGTTGTATAAATTGTTGCTTGGTGAAATATATTCTTTTTCTGAATGTGTTCACTGTTTTTTGTTATTCAATTTGGAACTTTGATTTTTATTTGTGTAATTTAAAGTGTAGGCAATGTTGCTTGTAAAGTCGTAATTTTTTTTTTTTTTTATTTTACATGTAGGCGTTATTTTTATTTTTCTGGCAGTTGGAAGTTGCATGTTTAGATCTGTACTTAACATTTAATTTAATTTAATTTCATAATATGCCCACTTTGAATTTTCGTGTGACTCGTATTTCTATTTTTTACTACTGAAGTTTAGCCAAGCCGTTTGTTTAAGTGGTTTCTTGCCTATTTTTTACTAAAAACATTTTAACAACTTTATTTATCCCTTTATTTATTGACTTCAGTTTTGCCTAAGTAATACTTGCTTTTGCAGTATTATGTGTCAGATTAATATGTTTGGAAGTGTTTGTTCCACTCGCCCCAGGAAACAGAGTAAATGTGGCGACTATAGTTCATACCAATGGTGGCGTCAGGCGGGCCAATCACAGGGCGCCTAGCTGTACATGAGTACACAGCTAGGTGCCCTGTGATTGGCTCCTCTGACGACGCCATTAATCGCATTTACTCACATTTAGGGGCAAAATGTATAACGAAATCCTTTACATATGTTGATGTGGTAATAGTGTACTGTGTAGTTCGCGTTGATATGCTATGTTGCGCGGAGCCCCATAGTTCTAGGGCTGGGTCCGACAAATTTATTGACAACTACTAAGTACAAAAATGTACATCAAATTGTAGTCTATTGCCAGAAAACCGCTGCACAGTTTTCCCATAAACTCCGTATGGTACTTCTTGACATACTCATGTATACTGCACCCAAACATCCCGAGTGGATTCTGTTCCGATATTTAATTTAAAAAGATGAAAAAATATGCATTGCGTACTGAGCAACATGGAGAGATACACGTTGATGAAGATCGCTTGCTATTGTTTTGACTTGTGCCCGTGCGCGCACGGGTAGCATCAGACAGGCCAATCACAGTTAGTCTGGTTCCCTGACCCATTGCCCTTTGGTCTTAAAAAATGGGAAAACAGTCTAAATCACCGTCATGACCGTGCGCTCTGATTGGATGCTGTAAAGGCGTCAAATTGAGGCGCCCAAGTTGTTGGCCCACTATGATTGGCCCGTCTGATGTTACCCGTGCGAGCACGGGAGACAGCATCATTGGCAATGCTGTCTTAAAAAATATTTTTGACTCTAATTTGATCAAAACAAAACAGGGGCCCTACACTATACTACACAATCGCCAATGGTTTGACCATGGTTTACCTTGGTTCCTGCACTGGTCATGGCACTGCAGTCTGACGATCAAACCAGTGTCAAAAACTCAAAGAAAAACTCCACCTTACATGCCTTAAGGCTTAATACTCACAACAGAAAGCTCATTTTCGACGCCACGATGGCTGGTTGTTGTTGGTCATCTATCCTATAAGAAACTGCAAAATTAACGCTATATACCAAAGGAAAATACCCAGCAGTCGGCAAGAATGAAGAACAAGTCAACATGCATTGACGGTCCTGTCGATGTCCATACAAGCTCCGTATATCGTACGGACGTACGTATGCGCATAGCGGATCGTGTAATGAGCTAGAGCCATATAATATAGAGCACACGTACGGTACGGGCACACTAGGTCACAAATAGCGCCCTCTCTGCTTATTTTGGAATGATTTCTCGGCTGTTCACAAACGTAGGAACATAACCAGAAAAAAAGATAGCTTATTAATTAATGTGAAGATACTAGGGATGGTACGAAATACCCGTTAAATTTATTCCGCCTAAAACTGTTAAAAAAAATTAAAAAAAATACATATTAAACCCCTTGCATTTTTTCCAATGTTGTCCGAAAATCCAATTTCTTCAAACTTGCTGGAAAGATGCCCATAGGACCCTAGAACACATTTCAATGCGATTTCTGGACAGATGTGCTTTCCAAAATGAAATTTGGACGAAAATATAGGGTGAAAGCAGTCAAAAATTAGGATTTTTTTCTCTAAAAATCTATGATATTTACCCGAATCTGCAAAATATTGGGTGTTTACAGGTTGGTTGATGCTCCTTTTACCTCTAAAGGAATTTCTGCATCTTTTTGAGGAAAGTCATTTTTGGGCCAAATTTCATCAAAAATGTAAGGCTATAATAGGACATGATATCTTACCCAGAATGCCATCCCCACTTCCTTCACAAGATTCTGTGAATGGCATCAGCCCTTAATTCCCGGCCCAGCGCCCTAGCCCCTGTTAGCAGGGCGGGGTTACGAGCGAAGCGTTATCGTACGAAACATGAAAATATGGACATCATGAACAGGGCCCCCTAGTGTAATGTGGTGTCCTGGTTAATGTTGTTTTCATCTACGTTTAAATATTTGTTTTTGGTTGTTGATAGAATTAAGGATGAGAACGTACTGTTCACATTATTTTTGAGGAAACAAATCCGTCAAAACAAATTATCGTTTCATTTTCTGAAGACGTGATAATGTTGAAATAGTCGTGACGGAGTTGAAAATCTGTATCTGTCCAAATACAAATAGTAGAAGTCAGGCGCGGATCCAGAGGGGGACGAACCCCCCCCCCCCCCCCCACCAGTCAGACACACACGAAAAATAAATAATTTTTAATCAAATATAATAATATCACGGTCCGCCCTGTCCTCAATAATCGGATATAAATATCCAAGGTGCCCGGACCCCCCCCCCCCCCCCGCCCTGCAAAAAAAACCTGGATCCACCCCTGAACGCACCCGATAGCTCAAAAAAGCCTGCATAATAATAGTGTTCACTGTTGCGTAACTCTAAGTACATTGAGCACAAGATGTTTAAATTGCCGTCGTCAATCACCAACGGTACCTTAGCTTAATCGGTAAGCTCTGCGGCTGGTACTGTCCGTGAGTTCCAGGTTGGCGTCTTCGTACAGGTTCAGGGCATGTGGTCCACTCGGAGGATCAGGGCTTAGGGTGCCGCCCTGTTCCTCCCTTAGCTCTTTGCTTTTACATGGCGCCTGGCCCTCCGGGGTTACATGGATGGACAGGGAAGGAAGTGTGTATTGGTCGGGGACACCGAGACCCCGGAAGAGAACTAAGGGGTTGGCTGGGGCATTGTTATGGCTCAGACCGACCCCTGAAAGCTTGGCTAGCACATAACTTTTTGATTTTTTTTTAATCCTCTAATTTTTTTTTTAACTTTGCTTAAGTTGGATATTTACATCTGCCCGGCAGGTCTCCGGTAGTATTTAAAAAGGAATCAAAGGTATACGTCGCGAATTTATCAATATTAAATAATTGATTATTATCAAAATTAAGTTTCGTTCGATCAATTTGACTACGGTAACCGTTCATTTTACGTCAATTGGTAAATTTTGTAGAAGTTAAAAAGAATCCAAAAAAATTCGCCCGAAATTTTGGCCTCAGAAATATATATATATTTTTTTAATGCTTGACATCGACATGAGCTGATTTTTTTGGTTCAATTAATTAATTCGGATTTTCGATTGAAGAGCGGGATGCTCGGATCCTTATTCGTTTTGAATAGTGTGCGCAATTTCAGAACTGGAGCGCGCAATTTAAAACCAACTTTTCAAACTGTGTAAAGGCCTCCAAACTAGCTGGATATTTTTGTTCCTACTTTCCCGATATCTTTGGCGCCTATTTTACCCAGTATAGCGCATCCAGGATTTAGCTGGGGGGGGGGGGGGGGGTTGCTCACAATGTTGTTGTTTTTTTTTCAAACAAATTGGGTGTTTTTTTTGTTGGAGGGGAAAATATTTTGACGTTGGTGGCGCCACTTATACACCCCTATTATAATACTCGAAGATATGCCACATACATATCGGTCAATTCGTGGACCAAAAATATGAAACACCGCCCCCGAAAAATATATAAAAAATTAACAACCTCTACGAGTGGGAGGGGTCAACACCCCCCCCCCCCCCCCCCCCCGGGTGCGCCACTAATTTCATCCACCTCTGGCCAGTGGCACAGCGGTAGAGGGGTGTTTGCAGAGTGGCAAACTGCAAACTGCTAGCTACAGATTTTAAGAGCGAGCCAGGCGGGGATGTGCGAAGAAAAATCGGGCCAGCGACATCGGCCGGTCGTAAAAAGCTTGTCTCGTCAGTCGACAGGGATGAAGAGCGCCACCTACTGCCAAAGAGAGTCTATGAGTGTCCGCTTTCAACAGTGCCCTATAGGTGCAATGAATTGCCATCGGCTCCAATGATAAATTTCCCCACTTTAGAAATTCAAGAAAATAATCACAATTTGCTCTCTATCAGGTGTTCGAAACATGCATTAAAATTAAAGCTTAGTTGGATCGTCCTTCTATTTTTCCTCATTTTTTTGGTGGTAATCTGATTGTAAGTTGGGAGATTCAAATATGATCACTCATCGCCATTTTGAAAAACGGCGCCTACACTCCAATGCAAAATAGAGCGCTTTTAGAGCCCCAATTTTATGCGAATTGCACAGAAATACAAGCTCACGTTCCTGTGCACGGCTTCCACCCTCACTGTTTACGAACCCTCAAGTGCATGGCCCACAATATGCTCAAGTACTGAAGAATTTGAGGGCATGCAAATCGTGATTTGGCCGGCGTATGCTACTTCGGACCCATTTTACTGCCTCGACCCTTTAAACAGCCGCAGCTATAATTTTGATTTTTAACCCTTGCATTTTTTCAAATTTTGGCCCAAAAAATCCAATTTCTTCAAACTTGCTGCAAAGATGCCCATAGGACCCTAGAACACATTTCAATTCGATTTCTGGATAGATGCACTTTTCAAATGAGATTTGGACGAAAATTTGGAGTGAAATTGGTCAAAACTGAGAATTTTTTTCCTCTAAAAATCCATGATTTTTGCCCAAATCTGCAAAATATTGGATATTTGAAGGTTGATTGATGCTCATCTTACCTCTAAAGGAATTTCTGCATCGTTTTGAGAAAAGTCATATTTGGCCAAATTTCATCAAAAAAGTAAGGCTAACCCCTTGCATTTTTTCCAATGTTGGCCGAAAAATCCAATTAGTTCAAACTTGCTGGAAGATGCCCATTGGACCCTAGAACACATTTCAATGCGATTTCTTGACAGATGTGCTTTCCAAAATGAAATTTGGACGAAAATATGGGGTGAAAGCAGTCAAAAATTAGGATTTTTTTCTCTAAAAATCTATGATTTTGACCCGAATCTGCAAAATGTTGGGTGTTTGCAGGTTGGTTGATGCTCCTTTTACCTCTTAAGGAATTTCTGCATCGTTTTGAGGAAAGTCATTTTTGGGCCAAATTTCATCAAAAATGTAAGGACATGATATCTTACCCAGAATGCCATCCCCACTTCCTTCACAAGATTCTGTGAATGGCATCAGCCCTTAATTCCCGGCCCAGCGCCCTAGTCCCTGTTAGCAGGGCGGGGTTACGAGCGAAGCGTTATCGTACGAAACATAAAATATGGACATCATGAACAGGGCCCCCTAGTGTAATGTGGTGTCCTGGTTAATGTTGTTTTCATCTACGTTTAAATGTTTGTTTTTGGTTGTTGATAGAATTAAGGATGAGAACGTAGTGTTCACATTATTTTTGAGGAAACAAATCCGTCAAAACAAATTATCGTTTCATTTTCTGAAGACGTGATAATGTTGAAATAGTCGTGACGGAGTTGAAAATCTGTACCTGTCCAAATACAAATAGTAGAAGTCAGGCGCGGATCCAGAGGGGGACGAACCCCCCCCCCCCCCCCCACACACACACACACACACACCGGTCAGACACACACGAAAAATAAATAATTTTTAATCAAATATAATAATATAACGGTCCGCCCTGTCCTCAATAATCGGATATAAATATCCAAGGTGCCCGGACCCCCCCGCCCTGCAAAAAAAACCTGGATCCACCCCTGAACGCACCCGATAGCTCAAAAAAGCCTGCATAATAATAGTGTTCACTGTTTCGTAACTCTAAGTACATTGAGCACAAGATGTTTAATTTCCCGTCGTCAAACACCAACGGTACCTTAGCTTAATCGGTAAGCTCTGCGGCTGGTACTGTCCGTGAGTTCCAGGTTGGCGTCTTCGTACAGGTTCAGGGCATGTGGTCCACTCGGAGGATCAGGGCTTAGGGTGCCGCCCTGTTCCTCCCTTAGCTCTTTGCTTTTACATGGCGCCTGGCCCTCCGGGGTTACATGGATGGACAGGGAAGGAAGTGTGTATTGGTCGGGGACACCGAGACCCCGGAAGAGAACTAAGGGGTTGGCTGGGGCATTGTTATGGCTCAGACCGACCCCTGAAAGCTTGGCTAGCACATAACTTTTTGATTTTTTTTAATCCTCTAATTTTTTTTTTTAACTTTGCTTAAGTTGGATATTTACATCTGCCCGGCAGGTCTCCGGTAGTATTTAAAAAGGAATCAAAGGTATACGTCGCGAATCTATCAATATTAAATAATTGATTATTATCAAAATTAAGTTTCGTTCGATCAATTTGACTACGGTAACCGTTCATTTTACGGCAATTGGTAAATTTTGTAGAAGTTAAAAAGAATCCAAAAAAATTCGCCCGAAATTTTGGCCTCAGAAATATATATATATTTTTTTAATGCT